GGCGGAATGCAACCGTAGAAGGTGCACGACCGATCGTGTTGTCTGTACAGTTGCTGAATTAATGACGTGAAAGCACTCGCCGTTGTCAGTGCATCTAGCGCGCGTTCTCTCGTAGTTGCTTCGTTGTCGGCGAGCTGTTACTCTTTGTTATTACTCGGACGAAGCGATTTCGCTGAAGGTGTCCCGCTGGCTCTGAGTGATGAGCCCAGTTCCATTAGTTTCGGATCGTCACGACACACGCGCTGCGCAGCCCACGTGCTTTCCGAGCCGGAGAGGGAGTCGCGCCTTCTGCTTCGCATTCATATGTAAACAAGAGAGGAAAATTTGCCTACTCAATATGGCCGACTTCCGGCTTCATCGCGGCTTCACAACGAGTGACGTCAGGGCCTCTCCTTACCTTTTCCTTCCTCCGTGCGGCTTCACAACGAGTGACGTCAGGGCCTCTCCTTACCTTTTCCTTCCTCCGTGCCTTAGCCTAACCAGCCGGAAACGGAACTTTTGAACCACTCGCACCATTCCTTATAGTAATGCCAGGCGATTATTTTTTTTATAAGTCAAACAGAAACATGCAGCATTTGATTACGTCTCCTGAGGTACGGAAAGTTATTTTTTATTGCAGCTATATTCATTACTAGCGATAAATTGTAGTCGGACGCTCTGACATCATCGGGATCATTTCGCAAATGGCCCACTTGTGGCGCACGTCGCGTAACAAATTTGGCTTAATTTCTTGGTAAGTAACGCACTGCTGTTGATAACATTGTCATTTTTAGACGTTGTAATACATTGAGCTTTTGCTCTGACATGAATTTTCATTTCCTTTTAGTGTCCCTTGAAACCGCCCTGCTGTTTCATAGTAAGTAAATAAGAAGTCTGGGTAGCTACGCTACATTGGTGCGAAGACCGAGGAAGCAGTGGTGCTGTCAGTGATGTTCCGTGCAGGGAATTTCCCCCTTTTGAAGGAATCTTCGCTTGTCATTTATAAGAAAGGGCAAAAGGGAATCTTTGCCCCAGTAAAAAAGAAACCATTGACACCAACTGGGAAATCCAATTGGTCTCAATTAATTGTGACCAGTTGGTGTGACCCATTATCCAATAGGTTTCAATGGGATGCTTTGAAGTGTCCAGTTAAAATGCTAGTTCATTGGCCTTTTTCCAGTTGGTCCTCCAACATATTAAGAAAAGGTCACTTGGTCCAACTGACCATACCAATTGGGCTCCAATGGGATAAGCTAAAACTAATTGCAACCTTGAACTTCAATTGGATTTCCCAATTGGAATTAATAGTTCCAAATAGTCATGACAATTGGTACAAATTTTCTATTTCACCACCCTATCAAAATTTTCAATAATGCAAATGCTTATACAACTTCAATTAAGGTCAATTCATATCGGAAGATTGTTCTTCCGATCGGAACAGTTGGATATCATTATACATGTCCATGTGATATCAGACCTTGGATTTGACCTTTCTATATATAGGACCAATTAGAGATTGTTACAGGTATAATTGGTGCTCTATATATGAAGGCTCTGGGTAAAACTTATTACGTTTACTGAGTCGATATTAATTATATTTAATATCTAGTCAAGAGAATTGCACGCGGGTTCAGATTGATCAAATGATTGATGGAGAGTTTCATAGTAAAATTTATAAATAAAAATGGGCTAGAAACCCCTTACAGCAGATATGATTCTAATGAGAATTCTGTCAATTGATTTCAATTAGATTTCACTAATTGCCAAGTGATTTCAATTGGACATCACAGAAATGAATAAAGCTGTAAAACAAGAAAATAGTTCATAGAAACATGTTTACAATTACACCATTACTACTGAAATAAAATATCTTTAAATTTTAATGTGGTTTACAAGGTGTGTAGTTTATTTCATCTGTTCTCATTACAGTCGGCCGCAAAAATGACCTAATTGTTCTTGGGACCTAGAAAACTTAAACGAACAACAGTTTTACGTAAATATATGGGGACTAGTTTTCAGGGTGCATGAAACCAAAACATGACCAAAACCACGTGGAAGAACGTGTGCGGCCTTTCCTTGAGGCGACGTTGACACTTACATGTGTTGACTAAACTGCAGCCAAGCAGCGGCATTCGGTGGCTACGTCAATGCTGCACGGTGATCGATAGCGCAGAGCAGTGCAGCTATGGTGCAGCCATAGACACGTTCCCTCTGACGTGACGATCGATGTCTTCTCAATGGGTACAGTCCCACAAGTGCTTTAAATGAGTACGCCCCAAACGGGACTACTGTGCAGTATTTCTGCGGGTAACTGCACTGTACGGCGAAGATGTGTACCTCTACCCCGCAAAGGTTTCATCTACGTGAGAAAAGAACCAAACGCCATACCAGTAAACCACCAAAAGATGCCAACGCTCTTTCTCAAACTGCTCTTTCAATTCTTCATAAACATCCTCCCACGCAAGACTTTGCTCTAATATGGACACCCGCGCATATGCTAGGTCGAGTGGCAATGAGGGGGCTCACGCCTTTGCTTGAGGAACGACTGGCCTGGTTGTTCCTTCGACGTTCTAAAACGCTTTATTACTGATATTAACGCGATTCCGTTCCCGACATCAAGCCTACCTTAGGCCAGTTTGTAAAAGTCACAAGAAGCGGCGCGGCTGTGGGGTAGAATACTGTAAAAGTGCGGGTATGTTCCCTACCCCATCTTTTCGGCATCTTATACTACCTGCCACACACCGCTCCCCTTTATGAATTTGCAGCAAAGTAAGAGCTAATCTAGACCGTATCATGTGGGGGTGTACTTGGAAACCACCACTTAACTCTCGACACATTGATAGTAAGGAGCAGTGGGACCCTGCCACGTGCAGCTCGGCGCCCGAGGTCCAGGACCAGATCCCCGATGGGGCTCAGAGGATAGCGGTGACCTACACCGGGCGGGCCCTTCTGCTCCCTCCATCACCGCACTTTTCCTTCTTGGAATAAAGTCTTTCTCCTCCTCTGTTTTCACTTCGCTATCATGGAGGGTATTCAGAGAGATAGACAGAGGAGCCAACAAACGTGCTTGCTGTAGACTGGAGTACAACTGCAACGTCACAACTGAATTTCGACCTCTGGTTGGTTTAAGGCTACTTTAAGAATTGAAGGCAATGGCATATCTTTCTTTGCAATCAGACATACAGCACAGGGCTCAGTATTCATTTAAATTAAGAAAACCACAAAACAATAGCACCAAAACCATATGCTAGATGATAAGGTGCCTGTGAAGACTGGAAACACTCTCCCAAGCGTTCCCACGGGTAAATATTAGGCAACAGCTGTTTTGTATTTCTCAAGAGGGCTTCGAATGACATCAAACAGTTCCTCCTTTAGCCTGCGTATTTACAGCTTTCATATATTAATGGGAGACCCGTCTAGACTGCCATTGTTAGAACATGGAAATTACACAATATAACAGCATAAATAAAATGCTCGACGAATGCAACAAATTCATCTTGGTGAAAATGGTTGCGGCACCAGTCACGGCCTAACACAGTAACCACAAAATGATTTACACTAGTACCATTGCTTTTAAGTACTAATAAAACATTCCCCACTCATGCTATACCACCCACGTTTCATGCAGTTATTTTATGTGCCCCGGGTTGGTGGACGTGGGTCGCTAACTGTAAATTTCGTCAATATCCGTTAATTACTACACATTCTTTGCAATGCTCCAAGATTTCTTATCTTAGTATAATATTAGAACGAAGTATACAGTGCAGTAAAAATTGTGAAAAAAACACTTTACTAGCACGCTTTCATCAAAAACTGAGAAAGTCAGACTTCATAAAATGTTTTCCTTCAACACACAGGTGCCACCTTGCCATTATCATAAAGACGAGATGTTGGATCACAAGCTAGCCATACTGCTGAATTCCTTCCACCTAGAGATAAAACCAGCTGCATTCAGAGTTTCGTTTTGTAAGCATTAAGAATAATTTTTTTTAGCTCCATTACCTCTAATTTTTTATGCAGTTGCTGTCACTGATCACTGGGCCATTTTACAAAGCAGGATGAAATAATTTCGTTTTTCCCACTTATATCTTGAAACATTGGCATGTGCTATAAAGCTGTACATTATTGCCTGCATGTCATGCAGATCTTTATAATTGTTTTTCGCAAATGCCTGCTAGAGAAAATGTATGAACCATTAAAAAATTATTGTGCTTATAAGATTAAAAATATACTAATAGCTTTATAGAAAGGAATAGACCCTCATGAACATGCCTAAGCAAAAGTAGCAAGAAACATAATTTATTGTTCAATTTGGGGGTGACAATAAGAGTCAATCAAGTGCTGTAACTCAACAACAACAGATAGCTTCAAGGATATTTCTATTTACATTAGCATAACAAATTACATCTGCATTTCAAGCTTTCTTAAGTTGTTCCCATAAATTACAGGAATACACATCTGCATTCCGAACTTTATCAGTTTGTTCCCATAAATTACAGGAATGCTACCACGTGTTAATAGAGCCTCTAGACACACTAATGCTATTTTGTATAGCTTTTTGCCTTGACTCCAGAGCCCTCCCCAGCTGCTAGGAGGCAACTGTGAGAGCTTTGCTGTGTTTACAAGGGGCGGCCATCAGAGGTGCTCGCCTACGTACCGGAGGGGGTGGGTAAAATCCAAGGGTAGGACAGCACGTTCGTGGCTTACGCTCCAGGCATAGTTCTTTAGGAGGCGTTGGTTTAGCGTACTGCACATGTGCATTTCGCTCCCTCTAAGCTCACTAATCTACAACTGTCTATTGAACCCCACTCAAAGAAATAAGGACTGATACTAATTATTGCATGCTGAATGCCATGCAAATGTTATACATCTAAGTGCAATTGTAACTATGCTTTAACTCCCCCAAAATGAGTGCTAGCCTGTCGTTTCTGCCAAGCATTTCCAAGTTTTGTAACAATGAAACCAAACGAAAGCTTCCGAAACAAAGGAGTAGGAAGTCATAAGCACACATAAACAACGGATTCATTTCTGAGAACAGGTATGTACATTTTTATTCGAAAAGGCATCAGCCCCTGCCAGAAGTGTGTCTTCATACAGCACCATGACAATACCACTAGAGACTTAAAATTGCTGGTTGTAAAATATACATTTTTATGTACAATGTGTAGAGTTCTCAGCCAAAACCATGTAATACAAAACCAAGGCAGGCTCAAAAAAGCTATGAGAAATTCTAAAACCTACAACACCATCCTGAAGCTACACCCTGAAGCACTGTCGAGCACTCTTGAGGAGAAAAAGGCACAGATTTCGGAGGTTCTCCTCTTCTTGTTTTTGGCAACTAGTCACAATATGATGTGCGTAGAAAATAAAAAACTCGGGTTGATGAGGGCAAAAAAAGCCCACCCTGTTTAGTGGCACCGACTATATTTGGCAGAGGGTAAAAAAATTTGAGCCTCCCCGATTTCCTCTAGGTATTGTGCCATCCACACGTAGATTAAGTAACGTAGACAAACAAACAGACAGACATTAGGACTACACATAAAAGCAATGCATTGCACGTTGTACTGTGAAAATTAAAACAGGAGTAGACAAAACAGGTAATAGTGTACCATATAAGCTGATCTGCATGAAGGGTCTGAAAGAATTACCTCAAATTTCAGCAGAACGTCTCTCGCTTTAATAAAACCTACAGTATATGTACTAAAATAATATAGCCACAACACATACTTAATTTACCCATAAGTTCAAGATTATAGTTGCTGCGTGTGAAAAACTGTTAGGCCAATGCAACTGCAGAACAACACATGCAATAAAACATTGTATTAGGAGGCTTTACCACAAAATGATTCTTTTTCTTAACTTTCCCTCCACTCAGTCAAGACTAGAAAGAGTGCTGAGCATGCCTACGCCAGAGGGTGTCTGTGCAAGTGAAAATAAACCTTTCCCCACAGCTTGCATACAGTACTCCTCTTCTTGGCCAAAAAAGTAGAAAACATAGCAGTCTCTCGAGAACAGCAACGCAAAAACTACTGTGAACAAGTCATTTATCTACACGGTCCCAAAGAGCAGCTTTTCTGAAGAGCTATTCAGTCCTCTGTCTGTGCGTCAGCGTGTTTCTGCTCCAAACTCCAGCGCGCACTGTTCAGCCCTGCAGTCAGCCCCTCCCACCCAACGGCGGTGTGTCAGCAGTGCTGGTCGTCTCTCAAGCCGAACTGCTTGTGTAAACTGTCCAGCCTCTCCACGAATTCTCGCATACTGGCAGGTTGGCTCGGGGAAGGCCGCGATGGGGTTCTGCAGGGAGGAGAACAAGCGGGTGCATATACAATTAAGAAAACAACCACAACAGTTTTCAGTGACATCATTTAGGCACTTTAGAAAAGCAACCATCTATTTGTGACTATACTCTTTAAGGAAAAGGCCTTAGATTTCTGCCTTTTAAAGTCACATTGTGAGGTATAAAAAAGCACACAAATAAAAAAAAACCAGCCGCACAATCAAAGCAGGTGAGCTGCATTTCACTTTGTCTTTGCTCCATTGGCCAGAATAAAAAAGATAGTTAAATGCCGTTCACACGACTCTCACTTTCTCTTAGCGAAAAGGTGAAAGTGACGCAATAATGACAAAGATGAAGACCTTTTGATGCTAGCATTTAATGAGTGAAAGTTCGTTGCATGGTGGTAAAGAAGCTAAGTGAGTACTCAGTTAGTTAGTGTTTAGCAAGAGAACCTAATTAGTAAAACTGACATTTGTTAAAATTAGTAAATGTTGAAAATAGACAAAGTACATGCCAAAATAGCCAGACTGCATGGATGCCTTTCATCTCCCCATCATCTGAGGCAAATACATAAGGAGCCCTGGGGGTTTTTCACACTTGAGATGTGAAATCTAAAGCACAGCCCTGGACACTGGCTTTCTGAACACTAGTCTTGCTTGTATTGCAAGTACATTGGCTTGCCTTGCAAGCACTGTTTGTCATTGAGATGTAGAGTGCCGCGCAAGCATGTAAAACTACTTGTTTGCCCCTACAGCTTTTTGTCATCCAATTCACAATGAATTGTTCATTGTTATAACCATAAGTGAAATGTTAATGCTCTTAACAGTTTTCACCCTGTTGGATTTAATTAATCTTTAACATCTAGCACTGCAAATTGGGCAGAGATGATGGGATAGAACATGACCCAAGCATTTTCTATGTATGATGCAATAGTAATCATTTGTGCTATGTTTTCTTTCTATTCTTTGTCTTTAGGTGACCAATTCCTTGACATAATGATGAGACATGTTGATAAAACCTCTTTATCAGCCCCTAAAGACACTGCTCGTGTCTACTTAAAGATGCCAGTAACGACCCATAATTATGAGGTGAAACATTAGAGGCCCAGCTACCAAGGTTTTATGCGATTCAGTGTACCTTAAAGAATACCATATGGTTCACTTTACGGAGCCCTCCACCACAGTTTGCCTCGTAATCATATTGTGGTTTTGACCCACAAAACTGAAGATGATATTAACAGCAGAGCTGTTCAAGCTTTTCGTTACGTTGTTTCGCATTAGAAGAAAACTAAGCTGTGCCTAGCGCATGCAATGCAATGACTCGGTTGGCGAGCACTCTCTTCTTCATAGGACTGACTATAAACAAAGAGAGTTTGCTCTTGGCTAGGTACATTGGAGAAATGAGAACAGTACTAGTACATTTTTTTTGTAATGCTTAGTAAATTAATAATGAGGGCTACAGCCAGCATAACCATAATGGTTGATGCAATTGGTGAATAATGTAGGCATTTCATCAATGAATGGGCCTTCTGAAGAAAATAAAAGGGATGCACTAAATAGATAAAGGAAAGAGACATTATCTAAGAGGACCTTGCTAATTAAAACAGCACTATTTATAACACAGCTAATTGGGTCTTAGCTAAATAATATACTACAAAAGGCCATAACAACTCGTTAATAGCTAATTAACATTATGCAAATTACAACTAGGCTAACTAAAACCTTACTAATAATCTAGGCCCACCACAAGCTTCGCTATTAGTTCAGCCTTGCACCACCAGTAAATATTTTAATTTGACAGCATTAATGAGCTCATGTTGCAGAAATTCCAGCGTGGACATCTTTGTTTGCAAGCGAAAATTCGAGCTGGATGCAATAAAAAAAGTAGTTGAAGGACCCAGTGTATTCTCCATCGAGAGGAGAAAGCACGCTAGGAATTGGGGAGGCGATGTATGTTGCAGATATTGCTGTTGTGTTCAACTATTAAAGGCAAAGCTTACAGGAGTACTGACACGATATTGAGGCACTCCAAAGGGGACATTTTTCATTTCCATGGTGTGCACTATAAACGCTTTCCCCCACCAGAGCCTGAAAACACAGATAAAATATTTTTTCCTTAATTTTAAAGTTTTCGCTGGTGAGCTTTTGCAAGCCAGTCCCCCTGCAACAGACATTGTAACGACAAGGCAACACAGTTCACAGGATTTCTGAAATATGTGTGCAGCATGCCTCTTAATTAGCAGAAGTCACTGTCAGATCCTTAGGATGACCATTCACTCATCACTGTTTACGTTAACCCCTTAGGACTGACAGAAAATTGACAGCTGTTGGTTGCATGCCATGAGTTGCAGTCTTCTGTGAGTTCAGCCTCGAGTTGACACGTCACTGTGAAACCACTCCCTTAATATTGAAACCGAAATTGCCGTTTTAAGTTGGTGATTTTAAAAACACATATTCAATGCATGCTCAAGAACTCTTTAAGGTTCTCTATACCCATGCTTTTATTTAGAATGACAACCTGAAAGTATTTAAAATTCAGGTCAGTACTCCTTTAAGGGCTCTCCAAATTTTTTTGTATAATGATTAGTATATCATCTGGCTGGTAAAGATAATGCCCACCTGGGTGATGGTGACTGTGGCAACCTGTGGCTCAGTACTGTTGCTGCCGATGCTTGGCTTGTGTTGGGTGAGACCAGTGACGACTGCGATGACTGTGCAGTGGTCATAGAGAAGCCCTCACAGTTTGAAGCTCCTAGCCTCCATGCACCACCTGTGACGCATATCAACACTCATTGCCATTTGTAGCCTTATGAACATAAGCAATGCCTTACTTGCTGCCATTCCGTAGCTAAAAACAATTGACAGGACGGTTGTTGGCACGGTAATACATACTTGAGCAAATGCTTCAGCACAGCAAACATGCGTGCTTGTGGATAGAAAACTGGCTCAGTTCTATGAATTTTTGGCGTGCCATGTAATCAGATAGGTGCTTCCTTTCCCTTCATTTTATTACAAAAAAAAACACACACATAATTTTTGACTAGAACGAAAGCGAAACCGAAACGTTATCTGCTATTCCGTTCCGGACAGAAAACGAAACGAAATTTTTTCAATTGTGTTTCTGTTCACGCGAAAACTTGGCAATCCGAAATAACCGAGGAATAAAACTTGAGTGCCCGACTCAGTACTAGCGCATATCTTATGCGAGAATTCCAAGGTAATGCAGTGCTGAAATTGGAAAAAAATAATAAAAACAGTGGCAACCAGTGATCTTTACATTCATACAAGTGGACTTTCGTGTACCTGTGACACAGGCCAGCATAGGGAGGGCATTATTGGTGCAGGAAGTTATTTTATAAGAACAGTGGTCTCGTATACCAAAGATGAGCTCAAGGACGGGCTGCTCTTGAGATCATGCTCACTCCCTTAATGCAAAGCATTAAATTAAGCATTTAATTTTGAGACATTCACTTTTGACAAAAACTACTATAACATAAAAGGGCACTGGTTTCCGCTGATTTATAGGCTTATGCTAATAGTAAATTTTAAATTCAAAGAGAATTCGAATAGTCTGTATATTGCATATTATAAAGAAAAACGGGCATACTTGTCATAACCTAACTAACCTGCACAATATTTAAAAAAAAAAATAAACAAGGCCTGTGCAAATGCTTTTTCTTTTGCAACAAAAAGCGGAAAAAAGCGGAAAAAACGAAACTAAAACTGAAACGAAAAGCATTTAATTCCAACATCCTTATTAAGACGATGGCGTTCCAGACACTGCGATCAGACTCAACTCTGTCCTTAACGATAGTTATAGCGCGAGAACAAAACGACGACACAGAGACAACACAGAGTGCTCGTGTCTTTCGTGTCCCTCTTGTCTCTGTGTCATTATTTTGTTCTCGCGCTATAACTATCTTCATGCCATACCAACTAGCCCAAGCTGCCACACTCCGTCCTTAAGGCACAAGGCAAAAGATACTTGTTTATTGAGCTGCACTCGGAAGCGCTCAGCTTTCACTTGAGCATCCTCGTGTCTCTCTCTCTGCTCTTCTTTTTCTTCGGTTCCTTGTCCCAGCCAGGAATGTGCAAAATAAACAACACCCTAATAGGAACATTGCAGTAGTCGCTTCATTCCACTATAAAATAATAAAATACATACAAAAGTCCATGAGAAGCAACTGATCATTATTTTATACATAATATTGTCATGGGGTCGTGACGTTGACAAAGGCAGGGACTGTAGATCGTAGATAAAACAGTTTATTTGGGCCAAACTTGTGGCCGGTGAACGAAAAGTCAGATTCTAGCAATGCACACTGGCACCAATAGCGCTGAACAGAGCGTTGGCCGTTGATCAATTGACAAGCAGCGAACCACGTCGTCATTTATACATGATGTGGGGGAGCACGCGCACCCAGCTTCCCTTTCCCTTTTTACGGCAGCGCGAAAGCCGTGTTGCGGGAATACCCGCACGGCTGGCTCTCGCGATTCCCCCTTTCCCGGTGCGCGGAACGGGTTTCTCCCCCTCAGCGAAAAAAGGTATTTTTCTAGTCAGAAAGAAGGAAACCGGGGCAGGGGTCAAAACTGTCGTGCGCACGGCCACACGCTCTCTCTGACAGCGGCCAGGAACTAAGGAGGTTGGACCCGCGACCTCTTTGCGAGCCTAGGACGTCAACGACCGAGGAGTAAGCGTCTACCCTTGTTTTCTGTACTTTCTCCTCGCGACATTTTGCGCGAGGAGAAAGTACTGCTAACGCCTAGCAATAAAGTGTTGTTGTTGACCTAGCCTGTTGCCTTATTCGCCCGAACCCGTGTAGCTGCAACGAGAATAGCTATGGATAGGGGACGTTAATCGTGCACGGTACAACAGCATGCGGCTGAGGCTTTAGTTAGGCTTCTGCGTCAGTCGTACATAGGTACGGACCTCCTGAAATGTGCCGCTGAATATTCCAGCCTTATCACAGGTCGTCAAGCAAGCTCGAGAGTTCCTGTCTTGAGCGCAATCTTAACAGAATGATCTACAATAATCGTGAACCTTTTCGAACAGTGAGGCACAGTATGCGCTGAGCATTCCCAACAGGCTTAAAGAACGAAAATGAATGAAGCACAAGTGGAAAATAAGGAATGTGCATGGCCAGAGTAAGAAAATAACCAGAGTAAGAAAATAACCAGAGTAAGAAAATAACCAGAGTAAGAAATAACCGATAACCAGAGTAAGAAAATAGCCTTCATGTGAAAACGAGACCGAAACCACATTGCCAACAGCTTCTCATCAGAAAAGTCAGATGCAGTGTCATTGCTATCACATAATGGCGACAGACCACAACTTTGCATAGAATGCCTTCTTGTGGACCTGAGCTGCACGCGTTGCAATTTGTTAGCTTGTAAAGTGCAACGAGAGATGTCCTGCTGTTATTATGAACATTGACATTTGGTGAAAGTAATTTTGCACGGTGAAAACAGCTGTGTACCGCCCTTATGCGTGCGCAAGCCTGTGACTGCGAGTGCAACGAAGGCAGGAGATCAGCTGTATGCCGACCAGAAAAAGTTTCAACAAACCGAAAACATGAAAATGTCAGCTTTTCCACCGGCTGAAGCTACTCTGTGAGGATAGGGCTTGACTAGTTATTGTTTCCATGTACGCACACAATCACGGCGTATGTAGAAGTGCATAAACTTCCAGGGGAATGAATTTTCTAGTCTGAGAATCATCTTGTCTCTACTTTTATATTTGTCAACCAAGGGAAACACAAGTTCATATTTTGCAAGCGTGAATATTTTGGGGACGTTTGATTCGAGTAAAGGTGGCTTTTTTTCTTTCGGACAGAATCTGAAAGTCGTCGTAAGATGTGGGGTTGGCGTAAAACTGCGTCCTATAAGCAATGTTTTTAAAACAATACTTCTGTGGAGATTTTTACAGGACCAAACTGAGTCATCGTAAAATATGGGTAGTTGTGAAACCGAGAGATGTATAATAGAAGTTCCACTGTACCTAGTTATAACAAAATTGCTTTACTCAAAATATGACTTTATTCTAAACTTCTAATGGCCCTGACACAAATGCATGTATATTAAGCTACTTTACTTAAAGTGCATGAATAGCTTGACCAGCTTAGAATGAAGTGGCAAGTGGAGGCGTTGACAAGTGGCAGCGGCCCTTTAGCACATGCAGTATCAAACTAATGCTGCCGATGCCTCACGCAGGCACAAAACAGGCCACAAACATACCAAACACGCGACTGATGACCACATAGTAAAGGGTACTAAACAAGTGCCCAGTTCTTCCAGCTGCTTATAGATACTACGGAGAGAACAGAAGTTGTCAAAATACATGGTGCAGTGCGCTTGAATGGTTAATCACGGTCGTCATCGCATCAATGGTGTCCCTCGTGACAGATTCTACACAAAAATAAAACTTATTGCGTATTTTGCAATGCCACGACATTATGGTGCCTCGAATGCCAAAAATGGCCAAAAAACTGTAGACCGGCTTGCGCCATAGCATTCCATTGGGTGTGCTGTCCGATTACTTAGAGTGCTCTTTTTGCACCTGAGTAAAGTACTGCTTTAATGAATACAATCAAGGTTTAACTTGCTTGCAGTTTTAGTGTAATTAAAGCTCCCTTGCTTTAACTTTTAGTGAGTTTCACATATATTGAAATGCCACTTATAACAAATTATCTTTTGCCATTTTGCAGACTTTATTTTATTACGGAATTACTGTGTATTGTTAGAGCCAGTATCACTACAAGTGTGATTGATTTTGCCTTTATTTTATTTAACACATGAGATAAAATGGTACTTTTGGATCTACAGAACTTTATCTCAAAATGAAAGACTTAAAGTATCAGCTGTCTGCCTCTGCTCACAAGCTCAGCTGGGCGGGCCTGTTCTTGTTTGATGTGTAGTTAACACATTGTACTTGTATATACCACTAGTTAGGGAAACGCGAGAAAATTACAACAGGAAAAGAGACACTCACCGTGTGGAACTGTCCGCACCGCCAACTCCACCTTGTGCAAAAGTACAGGTGCTGGTGGCACACACGCAGCCAACCGCCACTTGTGCACCAAGTGCTGCATGCGGTGCAGTGCTATCACGGCTTGCACTGCTGACCTGAATCGAAACCGTGCAGGCATGGGTGGTGATGATGCTATGCCTGAAGAGCCATCAGCCGACGAGTGGGACGACGATCCCGAAGGAAGCGGAGCTTCATCCACTGAATCTTGGCGACCCCGTGATTGGTAGGTCAGCAAGTGCTGGAAGTGACGACCCCCAGAGGAGTCGGCCAAGTGCAGGCGGAAGCCCTGCTGCCTGGGACGTCCATCATCGTCACTAGATGTCCCTATTCCGTCTATGTGATGCAAAGGCGGGGGTGAAGGAGGGGGTCGACGTCGGGTAGTGGACAGCATCCGTAATGCCACATCTTCGGTTGCCTGGAAGCCCTGAAGCAAGCCGAGTAGGTACTGCTTCTGGTATACAAGGCCCTTGCGCCAACTGTCTGCCTTACGGTACTTCCAGTACAGCTTGTGTAGCAGACGACAGATAGCAGGCGACGGGTTGCCATCTGCTGTTGTCTGGCCAAGCAGCAGATCCTGGCTAAGGGTGAGCTGCCTCAGTCGCGATATCTCCTCCTCCGCTTTCAGCAGAGATTGGCTCAATGACAGCTTCTCCCGCGCGCACAGGTAGTGTCCACCACTGTGACTGCCGCTGTTATCTGCCTCACCAAGCAGAGAGTTGTCCAGACGAGTTGTGCTTGATGGAGCACCTCCACGCATCTTTTCAATGTCGCTCAACTGTGCCTGCCGTGCCAGTGTGGATGAAAGGGGTGAGGGTACCGCTCTGAGCTCTTGTATAAGCTGTAGATCCTGCTCGTGAGTCCTGGCTCCACGCCGTCGCTCCAGCTCCAAGGTGGCCTGAAGCTGGTTGAAATGAGCCCGCTCGGCATTGACTGCATTCAACATGTTCTGCGCATGAAGTTTCTCAACCTCCAGGGAGCTCCTGTGGGAAGACATGAAACCTTTGGTATTGCATGGAAGGTGCTCCTGCCTCGAGCTCTTTTACCATAATTACATAGTGACTAAACATAAATACCCAATCAACTGAACACCAAGTACTAGTTGGGGCATAGTCCAACTTTTGGTGGACCATTCTCTAACAACTTGGTTGTTGTTTGTCTGTTGTAGAAGTTTTGTCTGTTGTAGGACAAACTAAGTACCATATTTACTTGCATAATAGGAGCCCATTTTTTCCAGAAAATCTGCCTCCAAGTTTGAGGTGCGACTATTACACGGGGTAAAATTTCCGAAAATTTTATCTCAGACTACAACATAGACCATTGATAATGTCAACGTGTTACTGTTTTTCGATAATGTATGTAATTATCTGCACTACAGCCAAAACAACTTTCTTCAAAGACTACACTAGTGCAAAACCTGTTGAGCATGCGGTCTCGTGTGTCCGAAAATCGAGGCTTGCATTCAGGTGTGCATTCAGATTTTTAAGAATTAAACGAGCACTGACATCAAATTTACTCATGTCAAGATTTTTGCGTGAACGAGTACTATCGGCCCCATAGTAGCGATTCGCAACCTAAAACGCATCTGAGGTACGAATGAATATCTGTAATATTGATTAATATATCCGCTATCGAACGTGGTTCAAAATGGCTCGAAAGAACACCAAATTGTAGTGCTGTCAGCGCAACCTCATGACCACATAGAGGCCACTGCACAGCTGATGCTGCTTCCGAAAAAAATGGTTACGTCACGCACACTGGCATTTCGTCTGCTAGGAGCGCACGTGCAGTCAGTCCAGCTTTGCCTCTGATGATGTAGACTACAGCCCCACTATGCGTTTTCCGTCGGCTATAGGTTAAGTAGCGCCAACTCATTCTTTTACTCTCCCTTTAGCCCCGGCCTCGAGAAGCAGCCTCGTACTGCCAGTGAAACCCAACTGGTTCGCCACCACAGTATTTACCCTGTAGCAGCTCGGCGCAAAGTAAAGCGAGCAAATGCGGCTGTTCTTAGGCGTCCAGTCCCTTTGTCCATCGGCATGTACGAAGTAAACCCACTGGCTGCGTTGAGGTTCATGGCTTGGAAAGGCATGAAACGCCACGCAATTACCCCTTTTTCTGCGCCTTGACGTGCAGGTTCTCACTGCGCAGCGGTTCCTCGACATTCTGGTACGCATTGTCACTCTGAATGATCGTACTCACACTATGATGCACACGCCAAATCAGTCGATGTGACAGGATAAATCGCACGCACGCTTCAACACAGCAGGGAGAGCCATTAGTGAGACCATGACTGGGAGTCGGCTCCAAACACACTAAGATCGTCGACATCATTGTTACTAGCGTATCGTCACTCAGGATGGTATTTGTGGAATGTATCACATCGAACACGTAGCACTAGTGTCAATGTCACAGGGCATTATGTTTTCAGTTTTTTTCGTTGGCTTTTCTACGCTATTTGACATCAAATTAAAATAACTTTCACAGGACAGATGCCATTCAAGCTTGACCAAAAATACCTATGCATACCAAGCGATCGAATGATGGGCACATGTCGATCTTGAAATTTGATGTCAGTACTCCTTTAACATCGGAAGATCTGTGTTGCCAATGAAATGAAGGCGAAAAAGGGAAATAAAAAATCAAAAAGAAAGCGCCATGGCGGAAGTTCGCTGATTATGTTTCAGGCCACCTAAATTATGCACATTATCGCGACTGAAACTTTGTGCACTGTACGCGGTACCATTAGTTTGACTTTGCAGGCTCGCACTCTGTATTCAAGACATTGCATACCACCAATTGAGTGTTACAGCGCCACCCAAGCCCCCTGCAAGTAGAGCCACTGAAAAGAGTTAAATAAATGATTTTGTACAATACTGCAACTTCGATTGCCCGCGACCGCCACTGAAAAGCACCAACTGTGATTAGGCCTCGACCAAGGTTCGGCATTTTGTCACGGGAAGTTTGTACAACACAACATGAAGATTTGGAGTTGAAAAAAATCACACTCTCAAGAACCGATCCAGGAGTAGCGAGCGTGATACAATGTTTAGGTTCGCGGCCCTGAAATAAACGACGACAAAAGTTATTTGAGCTTGTGCAAGTCCATGTAGTGCCAGCTGTGAGATCAAAGGTGAAATCTCCCAGAGAAAAGCCAAAAAGCATTTAAATTCGCAGACGAGGTAGTAAACGCGATAACGACAATGCTTCTCCCGACAGAAAACTCAATGGCGCTTAACGAGGACGCGATCGTGCATTCCATGCAGAGCGAGCATAACCGGCTAGCAGCCGGAGTCACGCCGGCCGCTAAGACGACACCCAGGCGACCGCCCTGCCTCATCACTTGGCGAGCCCGCAGAGCTGGTGCAGCGTTGCCGTGGTCTTTTCTTTCAAAAATGATAGTCTTTCTTGGGATACTTCAACGCAAAAGTCTCGGTCTGTCTGTCAACCAAAATGATTCAGCTATTCAAAGTTCAACCCTTCCTCAATGCCCATGAATCTTGATCAGGTGTCTATGTTGATATACTTGTACGAATTATCGATTGAAAAGCAACTATTACGCATATCAGAGGTGCAATACCAACACGTCAACGTTTTGCAGTGTGTTTCTTTATACCGATTAAATAATTACCAATTGAAAAGCAACTATTACGCATATCAGAGGTGCAATACCAACACGTCAACATTTTGCAGTGTGCTTATTTATACTAGAAAATGCATACATAAGTAATTATAAAGACAGTAGCATTTAATATACTGCACTGACAATGCAATGCTATGCACGAAAATGCGGGTGTTTTCTACGCTTTGTTAAGACAATACAGAGCTTCCACCTACCCGTGGATTTGCATTCTACAAACTATGGCCTCCGAGATGGCGCGCAGATGCCGCGCGTTTGCCATATCGAAGGTCATGTTCATACAGACCCTCTCGTTTTCTAAGATTACTGTCAGATGGCACTGGTGCCTCCCGCATCGCCTCCAGAATCCCATTCATCGAATTTCTTGTGTGGAGCATAAAATAAACAATTAATTCACTATCTGAAAACAGAAGACTATCATTTTTTGACAACATTGGCAGTGCAGACAAGCAGATAAAGGGCCATTTTTTTCCCGCAGTTCTTTGCTTTTTTTTTTTCGCTTCAGCTAACACAAGAGACCTGCAAATATGGAAATACGGTAGAGAGCTACTGATCACAGCTAAGTTCAGGGTGTGCCTCTTATGTGCGGAAATAAAAAAATCGGACTTCTCGCGACTAAAACTAGGGGTGCACCTATTGTACAAGTGCATATATTATGCAAGTCAATACAATAATTACACAAACTAAGTTAAGTAATGAGTACTACCTGGTTTATTCAACAGTCTGAGTAGCGCAACACAATGCTCCATTTCAATCCATGCCAACCTGTACACTGTGAAGGTGGCAAGTACAGCCTATGGAGTGATTGCTGGTTGCTCAACAATGGCAATCCAAGGAAATGTGGCCTAAACTCTTTAAGCTGACATATCTACAAAAAATTATGAAAAGAATTAGTTGAAATCAATAAATTTAGTGACAATAAATCAGTCTGAGGCTAACATAACCTTGAAAATGAAAACAAAATGCTGCACTCTATCAGATTCCATGAAAGTGCGTCTGCACAATATATGCAACAAGAAGCAGCATGCAAAGAGGGCTCAGGAATCAGTGAAAAGACCTTTGAAAGAAACATAAACTTGAAAATTAAAACAAAATGCTGCCCTCCATAAGCGTATCAGCTGGCGAGAGGGGCAAGGGGAGCACGAGCCGCCCCCCCACTGAGAAAAGTTGGGGGGCTGAACCCTCCACTTTTGATAGTGGTCAATCTTGCTGCACGCTGGGAAAATCATCAAGCAAGGTGAAGTTTTCCGTCACAACAATAATCACTCAATTATGTTCTTACGGGAGAATGAAATTGTTACAAGGCAATGTTACAACATAGTGAGATTTCACCAACAGTTCCTCTGTGATAACTTTCCTTGTGGGCTTTTTGCGGTGCGTGTCACCTATGCGACGCCTTCGTGTCTTGTGCTGTAGTATAGAAGAAGGCAGGCGCTGAACAGGGGCCCTATGATATTACATCACTTGTTCATGCTTTTATTCTGCTGTGACTTTTTGATGAAGTTACGGATAGAAACGAGCAAACCTTTTATAGATCGGTCAAAGCATTTGCTGCTTCTGAAAAATAATTCTCTTCAAAAAGAATATATCATCCCCGCTGCTCTGTCGAAACTGTTGCGAGCCGATGAGTGTGACGAATTGTTTTGGATGCTGAAATCGGGCTAAGGGCACCATTCCTCAGCCTGTTAAAGTGCGATTCAACTTCGTGGTATCTAAGAAAGCGAACCGTGTCACCTCTGTGTATGCAAATTTCTATCAAACTGTTAGGATTAAATAAAAATTTATTGTTTTGTTTCCTATACTGCACTATTCTCGAAGTTAATGACTTTTATTATGGTAGCCGGAAGAAACTCTGATCATATATATATATATATATATATAGTGGGAGTAATCATTCAATGGGCCAGTTAGTCTTCGTGAAGGTATGGGATATGGCACAACGGGAGCGTTGTCAACAAGGATAAATATATTTATTTCCCAACAGTTTCGGGAGGGGTCCTCCCTTCATCAGGGGATGAGTTATACTGACATGAGCTTCCAAACTTCGCTGCTGCCGCGTCCCTCTTGCCTTGAAAGATGTTTGCGAGAGTGAGAGGGAACTAAAAAAGGAAAGAAAAAACAAAAAAGGGGAAAGAAAAAAAGGCGAAAAAGAAAAAAAAAAGAAAGTAAAAAAGAGGAAGAATTACTGTCAACACTGAGAACGAAAACAACTGTCCGTGTACGTCCACATACGGTTCATATCACATGCTGTTCAGTTCTCGACGTGTGTCGGGCCACCCAAGATTGTCGCCGCGGTGCCGGGAGGGTCCGTGACGGCGTACGTAAAGAAAGGGTTTCCCCGTAATGGGTCGGTCGGCGTGCGGCGTGCGTAAAGAAAGGGTTTCCCGTTAATGGGTCGGTCGGCTATTTACCGTATTTACACGATTGTAAGACGACTCTTTTTTTCAAATTTGACAATCCAATGTTGGGGGGTCGTCTTAGAATCGAAATCGAACCATGTACCTTAGAATCGAAATCGAACCATGTATTGTCATCTCGAATAGTTTCCCGCTCAACCCAAAGCGCATAGTTTTCCGCGTGCTTATACAAAAGCTTTTCTTTTTTTAGCATCTACTGCGCGCATTACGAGTGCCTTTATGACGAGCGCACGGCTCTTGAGGGAGCACCGGTAATCGATGGAAAAGCCGCCGTAGGGGGGGTATTGGTAGTTGACGGAAGAGCTCCTCTTTGTCGGGGCAGCTTGACGGGGCAGCTTCAGCCTCTCGACGTGGGGGTCAACAAGCCTTTTGAAGACCTCCTGCGCCGCAAATACAACGAGTGGATTTCGTCAGGAAGCCGCGAACTTACGCCAAGCGGGCGTGTGAAAAGAGCCTCCCTGGCTACTGTGTGCAGGTGGGTCCTCTCCGCATGGGCGGCCGTCCCACGCGATGCCGTGGTGCGGTCGTTCGCGAAGTGTGGACTCACACTTGACGACGACGTGCTGTGGGACTGCAGCAGCAATGACGGCAGCAGCACCAGCGAGGACGACTCCAGCGACGATGAATAATCCTCCGCAACCACGTGAATGAATTTCCCTTGTGTAAAATGCGCGCTCTCTCTTTTTTTTTTTTTGAGATGCGATTTTGGGGGGGTCGTCTTACATTCGAGTCGTCTTACAATCGTGTAAATACGGTACCTTTAATCTTCGTCCGTTTCCCTTCAATGGTCATCCTGGTTTCCCTTCAATGGTCAAAGGTAAATAGCCGATCGACCCATTAACGGGAAACCCTTCCTTTATGCACGCCGCACGCCGACCGACCCATTACGGGGAAACCCTTTCTTTACGCACGCCGTCACGGACCCTCCCGGCACCGCGGTGACAATCTTGGGTGGCGCGACACATGTCGAGAACTGAACAGCACGTGATATTAACCGTATGTGGACGTACACGGACAGTTGTTTTCGTTCTCAGTGTTGACAGTAATTCTTCCTCTTTTTTACTTTCTTTTTTTTTTCTTTTTCGCCTTTTTTTCTTTCCCCTTTTTTGTTTTTTCTTTCCTTTTTTAGTTCCCTCTCACTCTCGCAAACATCTTTCAAGGCGAGAGGGACGCGGCAGCAGCGAAGTTTGGAAGCTCATGTCAGTATAACTCATCCCCTGATGAAGGGAGGACCCCTCTCGAAACTGTTGGGAAATAAATATATTTATCCTTGTTGACAACGCTCCCGTTGTGCCATATCACATACCTTCATATATATATATATATATATATATATATATATATATATATATATATCATGGCGGACTAGTGAGGTAGGTTTGCCCCCCACTCACGAAAGAGTTGGTATGAAACTGCACTCTATCTGATTCCGTGACCGTACAACCGCACAATATATGCAACAAGAAGCAGCATGCAAAAGGCTCAGAAATCAGTGAAAAGACCTTTGAAAGAAATTTAGCATCGATGTGAGCAGCCAGCGAAATACAAAATGCGACGCACTTGCAGTGGAGGACTTCCTGCTTGAGGGCGAGTATCTGGCGATTAGCATCGGCAAGGTCAGACCGGCAGTTGGCCAGTGCCATCTCCAGTTCCAGACCTGAGGACCGCTGAACATTGAGCTGTGTCAGCAGATCTAGTGTCTTGGCCTGCTCTGCGTCTAGCCGCTGCTTGAGCTCTTCTGCCCGTGACCGCTCCTGCCGAAGCTGACCTTCCAGTGTATCCACTGCAGGGAAGAGAAAGAAAGAAGAAAAAAAGTGGTGAAGCAGTGTCAGCTGGCAGCCAATTGGCCAATTGTGCCGTCCCCTCTCGAAGAGAGCGGCCAGGAGCCGTGTTTGCCTTTCAAGTGCCGCCAAAGGAAGTTGGGGGAACGCTTAATCCCTTAATAGGGGCTACTTCCACGTCTTGAAACCCCTTTTTCCTTTGTTATCCACTTTAAACGGGCGCCGCAAACGACCTTCAGAGCGTCATTTGTCATCTTCTCTGTCGGCTCACGGAGAGAGTGAAAACACCGGTCGTCGACGGAAGAAGAAATGCCAAGCGGCGAGCAGACTCACCCTACCAGCCCGAGCAACAGCACCGCTTTTTTACGGGGGGACTTACTGAGTGCTTGTGAATGTTTGTTGAAATGTGACCCCAATTCCTGTTAATTAAAGTTACTTTTGTTTAAATGTTCACGAGTGTTCGACCGTTAACTGGCTGGATAGCGGACGCTTTGACCCGTCAAATGCGAGCTGCGAGACCAGCATAGTAAAAAAGCGCTTAAACTGCCATCGGCCGCCAACTCAACGTCCGCCGGCAATGGGATACGTCGCCACGGCAAGACCCCCGGTTGAACCCAGACACACGCCCATTGCAAGGATTTCATCGCCAAGGAGTTGAGCAGCTGACAGCAGAAGGGCAACAACAAGGTGGGCTCATTTCATCTCTCAACGCTCACAGTAAAAAAGCGCTTCAACTGCCATCGGCCGCCAACTCAACGTCCGCCGGCAATGGGATACGTCGCCACGGCAAGACCCCCGGTTGAACCCAGACACACGCCCATTGCAAGGATTTCATCGCCAAGAAGTTGAGCAGCTGACAGCAGAAGGGCAGCAACAAGGTGGGCTCATTTCATCTCTAAACGCTCAACGCGCAGCTTAGCACCATTTGTTTCACATACGTCCGCTCCGAGACAAAACGTGCAAGCAAGAATGGATCAGGACGAGCTGACGCATGAGTGCACAAATGTCACACCACAAGATGAAACTTCCGCATCAAACATTCGGCCGCGAAGAAAAGCAACCCCATCGACAAGGGCTAAAGAAATGTATCAAACGAGCCGCGAAGAGCACTGCCGTAAACTAGATTCTGTTTGGAAAAACGTGGAGAGCGCTGTTCAGGCACTGTCACGCGCTAAGGGAGAACAGTTTACCGGCGCCAAAACGCACCTTCGTGCAAGTTACGAGTGCTACGAACGTGCTACCGCAAGATACTCAGCCTTTCTCGAGAAGGCGAAGACGTTTGAAGCCAGACACGAATTACAGCTTCAACAGGCAATCGATGAAGACCGTGAGGCGATCGTGAGCGAAAAGTTACGAGAGGCTACGCCACAAGAACGCGACAAGGCACATAAAACAGCATCGCAGTTCTCTCTATCGGTTCACTCAAGAGCTTCCTCGCGATCACGACGATCGGGCTTCTCCACGATTAGCCTGGCTGCTGTGCAGGCCCGCGCGCATGCAGAGGCCGCCAAAGCAAGAGCTCAGTTTGGTCGTAAAGAGGCCGCAATGCGCTTAGAAAAGGCAAGAATTGAGGCCGAGCTTGAGGTACTACAACATGAAAAAGAGGCAGCTGCTGCAGACGCTCAGGCAAGTGCACTCGAGGCAGCTGTGGAACAGGATGGTGGGGAGTGTGTGCGCCCACACCCACCTTTAGACCGGACACTACGGGTTTCGAGCTACATCACTGAGCAAGCCGCCATACGTGATGCCGAGCTTGCGTCTCTTCGGGCGCCTGTTATTCATCCGAGAAAACAGAGCTTGGAGCATGCCAAAGTAACCAACCACCTCATGGACTTGCGTGACTATCATCAGCCGCCTGCGTACACGCCGGCACCTAACCTGTTCGAGACAACGCGAGAAGAAAACGAGCGTTCCCTGTCTATAGAAGATAGAGCCTTCCTCAATATCATGGATAGGGAATTATACAAAGACAGGTCAAACAACTGGGTTGCCCCTCTACCTTTCCGCTCACCAAGAAGACGGCTTCTGAATAACCGAGAACAGGCTCCCTCTCGCCTGTACTCGCTGCGACGCACGTTGCGAAAAAACCCTGAGACAAAGGAGCGCTTTGTGCACTTCATGAAAGAATATAAAAGAAGGCGACGTCGTGCTCATCAGGGACAAAGAAACAAATCGCAACGATTGGCCCATCGGCGTTGTCACCCAAAGCCTGCCCAGTGCGGACGGAATGGTGCGCAAGGTGGAGGTGAAGATTGCAAGGAATGGTGCAATAAGGAAACTCTGCCCACCGATATTGTAAGTGGTGCCCTTGTTTTCGCCATCAACAAACTGTGGCGTCTAACAAGCAGACACGAGACGGGGAGTGTGCCGTCCCCTCTCGAAGAGAGCGGCCAGGAGCCGTGTTTGCCTTTCAAGTGCCGCCAAAGGAAGTTGGGGGAACGCTTAATCCCTTAATAGGGGCTACTTCCACGTCTTGAAACCCCTTTTTCCTTTGTTATCCACTTTAAACGGGCGCCGCAAACGACCTTCAGAGCGTCATTTGTCATCTTCTCTGTCGGCTCACGGAGAGAGTGAAAACACCGGTCGTCGACGGAAGAAGAAATGCCAAGCGGCGAGCAGACTCACCCTACCAGCCCGAGCAACAGCACCGCTTTTTTACGGGGGGACTTACTGAGTGCTTGTGAATGTTTGTTGAAATGTGACCCCAATTCCTGTTAATTAAAGTTACTTTTGTTTAAATGTTCACGAGTGTTCGACCGTTAACTGGCTGGATAGCGGACGCTTTGACCCGTCAAATGCGAGCTGCGAGACCAGCACACCAATGCTGCCCCAGTTTTGCCAATACGACTGCCTGCACAAGAGTGTTCCGCACTCACTGTAAAGGCAACAGGTGGCACTGACTGGAGCTCCCACGCTTAAATGCTGATATATACCCTATAAAGAGGACAGGGGGATGACCGCCACCATAGCTCAGTGATAGAGCATCAGACGCGTTATTCGAAGGTCGCAGGTTCAGGGCTGGCCGGTGGCAAGTTATCTTTTCACCCACTTTTTTTTTTCATCACATTTAAATTACGATTACTCCCAATAACACCCCCCATACGTTCTTTGGCATTGTTATCTGTTAGTTCTCATTAATACTGTGTCTAACAAAGAAAATAAGCTCATAAATTTTCCCTTTCCTGCCTGCCTGGATGCACTTTGTGGACTGCAGACCATGGCCATTGCATTGTTTACCGAGATCAACTTAGGCTTAAAGTACGGTGATGTTGAGGTTGAGTGACAATGTGAACAACAGCATCCTTTCAGAGCATTCACATTTGCAATGATGTTTCATGCACAGATGAAATGCAACTGCTGCTACTTGAGTGACCCCCTCTTCCTCCTGCTTATTTCATGCTCGTAAGACGGGTAGTGTCCTTTCTGTTTGGGCATTCAACGGTAGTTATAGAACGCGAGGGGGGTGGGGGCGACACACACGTTATCGTATGCATCCTCCAGGCGAAAGAGATGGGCCGGCTCATTTGATCTCTGCTTCAGCAGCGCTAGCACGCTTTAGCCTGCTCGTAAAACTTACGATGTGCGGGGGCATGTTATCAATTTCGACTTGAACGGAACATGGCAGCAATGGCAAAAACTAGCCAAGAGTGCCCACATAATTGCTACCGCATTTACCACCAAATAAGAGTTTTGGGTTAGCTCTTCCTTCAGTTCTCTTTTTGCTAAATTTGTGCGTTTATTTTTCAAATTTTCGTACTGAGTCTGCATACAGTGAAATCCCCTTTATCACACATTTTTCCGGGAATCTGTTAATTTCGTTATATCCATGTTTAACTGTAACTATTGAGTCTGTAGCATAGTGTTTCAGCTTGAAACAATATTGAGGCATTTCACTTCCAGTGTACCTTTGGCCTTGAGTTTCAGCTCCTTCTGGTCATGCTGATCTCGGGAACGGTCCATTTGTTCCTGGAGTTCATCGAGTGCCTTCTTGTGAGCCAGGCCCTCCTCCTTCAGCGCCTGCTGCAACTTCTGAACGTCTTCCGCTACAGCTGGAGAAACCTGAGTTGGATAATGTACGTGCAGTTTGGAGCACAAGCATGGGCTAGAAAAAAAATAACAAAATTGACAAACCACAAAAAGATGAAGCCAATCGCTCATGCTGAAGAAAAAAAAAAAAGTTGGAGCAATGTGAGATAACATTTTCAAATTGCTACATCAAGAAAGTTAACGAATGGCAAGAAGGTAAGCCTTTGAATGCTGTAAAACTATGCTGTCTTGAGCATTCCAAGAAATTATGCCTCGTATCAATGAGCCCAGAGGTACTTTTGAGTGGCAGACTGATGGCACAAAATCAAGCAATCTTAATTAAAACTTAATTGGATTCTCTATATTTAAGAAAGGGTGCAAGCAACTGACAGTTTTTAACATCTTGGAAAGCTCAATTACCTTAATAGCGTCCTAACTCACTCCAACAGTCAAAACTGTCAAACAGCTCAGGCATTGCATGTGGGCAGAACTGCAACTAATTTAACGTGCTAGCTAAGGGACTCGCTGGGTAAACGTGCAATGACATGGTGGGCCAGTGCTTCATTTTAACATAACAGGCAACAAGGCCCCCCCGGCCTTACTGCTATGACAGTGGCTGTAGAGTGGTCGGACGCTGCTGTTGTGTTTCCACTGTGCTCGGGTGATGGTGTGAAGTGTCGCTGCAGCAACTGCCGTTCTGTCAAGGACAGCACCTGAGAAGGAGCAGATACTCGCTGTAAGTGATGCATCCAGTTCTGGGCGACAGAAGCCCAATCGTTCTGAGCCGAAATGTGGCGGGAGTTGCGGGAAATCAAAAAGTTTTGCCAAGAGTAAAGCCTGCTTTCTCTGCATTGCTTGTTCATTCATCCAAAAAGGCACCATGGCCATCTTTCAAGGTAAATGAAGGGCAAGCCACAAAAGCTCATAATGCAGAAGTAACGGCTGGTCAATGCTCCATGATATACAGATGGTGCAGCATGAGATTAAAAGGGCCCTCTAATGCTTGAAAACATCTGTGCCGAGTGCATAACTGGTAGTGGCCCTCGCCAAAGCTACTGCGAGCAGAAATGACGCTGGAAGGTTGCCGCCTTATGATTGGATAAATGTAAGGTTAAATGTGATGGCGGCATTGCAGCAAAATAGGGATTACTATTGGATCTATTTTTCCATTAGCACGTTCTCTCACTCAAAGCGACAGAGAATAAAGCTCTGTGACTTTTCCAGCTTTAAAACTGCAAAGCTGGTCAAAGAATGCGCCGAACGACATGCGCTGAAGGAAACACACCAGAGACGCTTCGGGCGCCGTTATTTGAAGAAACTAAAAGAAAAAAAATGTAAGAGCCTTGATATATATACGTAATTGCAAAAAGAAAGATCAGTCAAGCTAAAAACATTATAGAAACGTTCGCGAGTTGGCTCGTTTTGCGCATGTCGTTTCCTCTGCAAGTACCACATTGTTTGTTACCATCGCAACGGCGTCATTATATGCTGGACGAATAGGCAATATGTGATGTGAGCTTCTTGTACAGTAGAGCTTCCAGTTTATTTTATTAGGCAGCCTTCCAACGTCAGAAGGCGAGGGAAACACGGTAAGGTGAGCCCGCAAAAATCGAGTTGAGGGTAAGCATCCATTTGATTGTATTTTGATATCTCTACGCTGAATAACTTTGCACTGTGTGGCCATATCGGTGCCGTTCTTGCGGCACTTATCTCTTAAGCTGTCAATGTACACAACCAGATATAAAAACATGTAAAGCTATAAAGTCGTGAAAAGTGTTAGAGGGCCCCTTTAAAAACTGGCTTAAACCAGATATGCAAGAGACCATTTTCTGTCATTTTAAACACTGTTTTGGGTCTAACTTTCAGTTGCATGTAGTGTCGTGATGGCAGCTCACAGCGCAAACAAACTCATCACCATCCATGGGTGCCGGCAGCATTTTGTCTTGGGGTGTGCTAACCCATGTAGGATCATGGTGGGAGAGGGGGGTGAGGCTCTGGTGAGGCTTCAGTGGGGGGGGGAGTGCTCGTGTAGCTTGAGTGGGGCAAGTGCCCCCGGGGTTTGCACCAAACTGCCGATGCCCATGCCATGATCTACGGTTCCAGAAACTGGCTATGCTTTCAATTGTCAACATCAGAAAGAAGAAAAACTGATGGCGCTTCGACACTCCCATTGGGAAATTCCACATATATAAACTACTAACAATTAATACACGTATCACTTGTGAGGTTTCCAAAATCTGCAAAAGTTACATGTCGGGAAAAGTGACCTTTAATATAAACCACTCTTTGGTCAATTTAACTCAGTTTTCAAGAATGAGACGACACTAATTTTACCACCCTGCTACATCATTAACAGGACTATGACACTGGCACTCTAATTTTGTGGGCACACACTTAAGGAGAGATGCAATTAAAAAACAGGAAGGTTTCGCTAATATACGGCCTGGGGTAATAAAAATTGTGTGGTATATATAGGCTCTCATGCTGGTTTCAAATACGCAATTAGTGTCATAGTAAGTTGCACGGTGTTCATTTTGTGCCATGAAAAAGTATAAGGTATAGTTTGTTCTGGAAAAACTTTTTATGCCACTGAACTTTTATGGTTTTGAGCCAATACTGGCTCATATTGCTCCACATTATCTGCAGAATGCAAATAAGTATTGAGAAAGTGTGTATAAGACATTTTACTGGACAAAAAAAAATTGTAATGAGATAATTCTTAGAATCCTCAGACCATATTATTTGCTTACCTTAAGTTCTTAATGATTATACAGATGATATGAAATTTTAAACAAGATACTTCCACTCTTCACATGTTAAAAAATATGTGGACAAAATTTCATCGCAATTGAGCTATCAGGAGTACTGAAAACATGATGTCCAAACTCAAGACGTTGCCCAAGAATGGATCTTGAGAAAGACACACTTTAAAGGTATCAGTGAGAGCTCATCCACGTGGAATAATTTCTGCTATTATGAGAGCTTGGCAATCATGGTTATTTTAAGCATGTGGTATTGGTGAACTGCTCATGCGAAATGCAACGGCAAGCAGCCAAGTGACCATTTCCAGGGGACTCTAGACAATGAGCTCTTCTTAGTTTTTAGAAGCCACCTTGTGCTCCTTAAGGGCAACTTTAGCCTACTTCGAGTTTAGTTTCAATGTTCAGGTTTTTTTTTTTTCATGAGAGTAAAACTAAACTTGTGAAAGCAAATAAAAACAAAAGACATGTAATCTGCGAAAAAACTTGCATTTTTCTACTTGCATCTCTCAATAAAGCAGGCACTATTACGAGAAAGAACGTAGCCTCCGAGTCTGAAATTTCTTGTGCAGTTTTTGGTACATACACGTCACCTTGCTCACGGGTGAACAGAATTGTGAAATATTGCAATTCATTTACCGGTAACTTTTTTTTGCAGCGCCTAATACTCATGCTACACAGATGACGGGAAGCACACAGGACCTCGCTCGTGTTATCTTATATCTGAAGTCGCTACAACTTTAAACGGCAGCAACAGTAACTGTCACAATTAAAATAACTGCAGTGAATGATTGTAGCAAGCTCACTTGTTAATCATAACATATGTAGCTGAAAAAATATAACTCATGAATTAGGTAAAAGCACGAAAAATGTCTCAAAAAACATTGAGACACATTTTGCGGCCACACAGCTATGCTGTTATACAGCTAATTTGGGGATGAAGGTCATGTACTTAGTGCCTGAATGAACGCGCCAGAAAGCATTATGCAACAGGCACACAATATTAAGGGGAGATGCGGGTCGAAAAACGAGAATTTTCTAAAAAATTATCAATTTTTTGTTTTCACCTGTTTTGTTAAGATTAGTACCTCTACTATTCTGAAAAAAAAAATCTATGTCGAGAATCAACTGGAAATGCTTTAAAATTGCGTCTGAAGAGCACAAGGTGGCTGTCAAAAGGCCGAAAGTGTGTCATCTTCGAGCACCTTGCCGCTGATAATGCGCCGCTGCTCGCCATTGTCGACCGCATGAGGCGAAGAACCGAGCCTCACTCTTCAAATAGCGACGGTTTGCCGCGCTGCTGCAACGCAAGAAATAATAAAGAGAAGCGCGCTTTTGCCGCCTTTTTCGAGCGCCGCGACTGGCTTTTAAATCACGTGGTACGGATCGGGAGCCGCCATTGGCCGCTGCGCGCCTGTGTGTGCTGTGAAGCCTACTTGCAGGATCCGTGTCTCGTCGAGCAGCACAGCTGAACAACGCTTTTCTCGAGTGCTTATTCGTTATGGATGAAGAAAGCCGTAGGAAGCGCGGTCACCGGCCTGTAAAGTTTCACGCGGCGCACAAATTTCGAGGATGCCGGCGCGAATCAAAGCCGAACACTCAAACCACGAAAAGATCGTCTGCTGCCGCAAAACGTAGTGGCAATGACGCCGATGCGCCCGACGAGTTTGCCGCAGCATTCGAATATGTGAGTGCCTCCCAGAAAAAGATCGGACTCTTCGAAGACGAAGAAAAATCACAGGACGACGAGTCTTCGTTGATTGCTGATGTGACAGCACTGAACATGCTTGTTGTGCGCGGTGCAATGTGTCCGACGTGTCGCCATTTGGGATTACGTGTCCGGGAACCGGCCGAGAAGCGGAAAGGACTTGCGTCGTTCGTCGAACTCCACTGCCCAAACAGTGAGTGCCCCGAGACTATTCTTTCGGCGACATATACTTCGCGGCGAGTAGCTTCAGGCGGGGAGGCCGGCGTGAGCGTGGCGGGTGACGGACTGACCGCGAGGAGAACATACGACAGCGGGAGCTTGCGCGATAGCTACGCTGTCAACGTGAAAGCTGTTGTGGCGGCGCGCTCTGTAGGCATGGGCTACGAGCAGCTGGTCCGATTTTAATGGCAGTGGCCACTACAAGGACGATTTTTCTTTCTTGTGTACAAATTTCGTCGCATTCAATGACATCTTTGATAAATAAACATGCAATTTTGACTTTAAAACTTCTTTTTCTCAAAACACAAATTTTGCCATTTTTGTCAATGTGCCCCTCCTTTTTCGGGTACTTCTGGTGCTCAGATCTGCATGAAATTTTTCCCAAATTTTTTCCAAAGTACGAGAAATGCAATTATCTTGTTTAAGTTTCAATATTCTTTTTATATAATAAAAAAAAATTATGTAAACTTTTACTAGGGTAGGAGAAATATGAACTTCCCACGTTAAAATTTTTCACGTCTAGTACATATTTTGTATGGACTTCCAAATTAGTTGTTTGCATTCCACACTTCATTTGAAACATTATGAACTATCAATTGTAAAAAATTAATGAAGTTTAGGTATGAAAAGAGGGGGGGCAAAGGGCTTAAGTTTTTCACTTTGTCATGTTGCTAAACTAAAGGTATGCAACTTGCAAGACAACTCATTATATATTCGAAATCAGCATAAAAAGTTCTATAAGCACCTCAAGTTTCATTGCTCTCGAATGAATATTAAAAAAAAAGTGTCTTCGACCTGCATCTCCCCTTAAATGCCATCAAAGGGGTCCTGCGACGCTTTTTCTGCTGCATCCCGCCGTACTGGAGTTTGTGTAGAGCTGAACACTGAGATAAATGCAAAAAGAGTTATCAAAATTGGTACACGGTAACGGAAGTTATTGGCCTTCAAACTTCAAAACACCAGTAGACGACGAGAAAAAAACGTTACCTTTTGTATTTCACCCTCCCACTAGCATCAGAGGCCGCTCCCAATCACTGAACGCCTCTTACAAACATATGCAGGACAACTCGCCTCGCCGTGGTGCAGCACCCCTAGCGTCGTTTTGCAAATGTTTTCACACCTTCGTATTTCAAAACAGAAATCCTTTTGTATCAGAAGAAGTATAAAGGGTGCTTTTTAACATAATTTTTAGCGCACTGTGACCTATCTGGAATCATATGAATATTATGCGTGACGTCCCGTCAAACCAACTGACAAAGCACGGTCAATGTCGCCACTCCCACGTGGGGAAGCGTCAATTCTGATAACAAAATAGCCGCATTGTATCGCTCTAGCTCGAAAACACTAGTTTTTCCATAAAAATAAGATTACAACAGCCTTGTTTTTGGCAGTGCTACTCGTGCTATGATATCGGTGCATTCCACAGTTTGAGAAGAAGTAATGAAAACAACATGCTTAATTTGCTGTATGACCATGCCTCAAGGCAGTGTTTTAATACCCTCTTTAAGTACGCGCGGCACTGCAAGGCACGGGGAAGTCAATTCACTTTATGCCCTAGTGTATGGGCGCTATTCGTGAGCACCGAACAATGCAGGAATTTCAAAAAGGCCACCTATAGTGGCCTTTACTGCTTCCATGGTTTCCTTTCCTTGGAAAGTGGAAAAAGAAAGCCCGCAAACTTTCACTCAACATTTTTTTTGTGAACTTCCACACCAGTGCACGGCAACTTACATGCAGGCCCTCGCGATATATTTTTGCCAGCAGGTTACGAAGAGCTGGCGGCAGCGTGGAGTCCTGAGAGTTGCCTTCCTCTAGCGTGCCGGTCGAAGCTAAGCTCGAAGCCATGCTTGAAGCGGTGCTTCCGTTTTCTGAGGGCGGTGTGCTGCCACGAGAGCGCAGAATGGCAGCCATCTTGTGAGCACGCAGCTTCAGCTTGACACCTGGAAAAGTCAGGAGTACACAAATGAAAATGTAGCCACACCAGATGTGATGTATGTCGTACGCTAGAGTGGTCCAAGCAAGCATTAATTTCGTGAACATTAACAACACTATAATCTGGGATTCCATGAAACAATCTCTAAGGCTTTTGTCTCTGTTAGAAAGAGTTCTGAGTCCCGTTTTGCTGAGAAAATCTTCTGGTAGTATCACGGAAGTGTAATTTCACGACACAACTTTAGAGTTGCTTATAAGAGTGTGCAAATAGTTCAACCTCTGCATACTTTTCGAGTAGTGTTTGCTACTTGATTCGACTCACACCGGAATTTTACTGTTCTAACTTCCGAAGGACAGAGTCAACCTAAAACTTGCAATGGCCCCTTTAAACACTCGATATGCTTCATCCCATCACACTCTCGCATTGCAGCAAAGCTGCCTTTAATAATCTGCTATGATTGCAAAGGAATTAAAAAAAAAAGTCGTCAATTTCAGCATGGAGATGATAGACGCGGATGAAAGGGGGAGGGGGCTCAAATAGTGTTTGGACCTGAAATTAGGGCAGAGAGTGCGAAAAATCGAACGCTGAAGGTATTTAGCACCCAAAAGTCTAGATGTTAAATAGTGATGTGTATGAGGCAGATATGGAACTCCGGACTCAAACGGAGCACGCCCTTGCACCACCCTGCCAGTGCCTCATCAACCTAACCAAAAGAAACCCTTTCACGTTGCTATCTCATAAGAATAAGCTTAGGAATTCTCTCCAACTTTTTTTTCTGCTATTTCTCTATGAAGTATTAGAAAAATATTCAAGAAATATTCGAGAAGTATTTGATTCGATTTGCACTCATACTTCAATTTAAATTCAAACACTTAAATTCACTTCGCACCTGAAATTTGGCTACTTGCACTGCTCTAGTTCCTTACATAAACTACGTTCCTAAGGTTGGTATTGTATAAAAGACTCCACTGCACTCTCCATGACATGTGCCATGATGATAACACACACACTCTAATCACTATACAGCTGACTCCCAATATTGTGATAGAGGCGAGAGGTCAATTTTATGGGTATTTGATAAGCTTGTGCGAATACTGAATTTGAGGTACGAAGCTAATAGTATATCTACCGCATATTATAAAAGTGAACCTATTTGTCATGACCTTAGCAACCTGCACAATATTAAAAAAAAAAAAAAAAAAACTGAAACAAGGCCTGTGCAAGTGCCTTTTTTTTTTTTCATCAAAGGAAGTGTAAACAACTTTGAATAGTAGCAGGATTTGACTTTCTGTAGAATGCAGGTGACAGCAGGCAAACTATGTTATTTTTTTAAATTTACTGTACTTAGAGCATGTAAGTCGGTACAACAAGCTTATAACTTAAAAAAAAAAAAGAATCGATACGAGGGTAATATCTTCATTTAGCCTTGAAGTGAGACTTTGCGGAAGTGCAAATTTCCACTGGATGCGTGTTTTCGTGGCTTATCACCTCTCTAGTGCAGCCAAACCACTTTTACAGGTGTCACATGCCGACTAATATACATTTATTTGTTTGTTTTGAATAATTCAAAATTTTCAATAATTTAAATTCAATTTGAAGTGACTTTTAATACTGCATTATGCATTCGAACATTCGAATATTTGCACAAGCCTAGTATTTACAATGTTATAGCAGTGAGGATTACCACGTGCAAGCATTTAGAGCACACTAGTCTTCATCTTTGGTGAGCACTCATACCGCTCAGTAACAATATAATGACGATCAATATACCAACGAAGAGGTTCTTCACCAATATTGACTCAATATACCGATGAATAGGCTCCTCACTAATATAAAGGCATTCAAAATGAATGCTCCATAAAACGATGTTGAACACAACTTTTCTCTAACAAGGTTTGAATATGTCATTGTGGAAGGCAATCAGAACTCACGGTCTAGCTCCAGTCGGAGGGCCTCCACCTCCTTCAGCTGCTCTGCGCGGAGGGTCTGCAGCTGCTGCGAGTGTTCCTCCCTGAGCCGCCACACAAGCTGCTCGTGTTGCAGAGCAATATGCCCCTTCTCAGTCTCTAGCTGCGCTCGAAAGGTAGCCTCGGTCCTCCGCAGCTGCTCCCTGTGGGTGGCGTCTTGCTGCAGCGCATCTGCCTGAGCTCTTCGCAAGGCGTCCAAAAGCTCATCCAGCTCATGCTGGAAGCTTGCCTCCGTGGACAGCAGGCGCTGGTCGGAGCGTGCCGTCAGCATCTCTTCCTTCTCTTGCAGCATTCTGGCCATCTCAGCTCGCAGGCGCTCTACCTCTGCCCGGTGTTCTTGCTGTAAGCGTTGCACCTCTTTCGCCTTCAACGGGGAACTTGCCTCCTTCATGGTGGAGAATTCTGTGGCTGCAAATTGCAATGACGAAATGCAGGCAGGGATACTTAAAATCGCAGGAAATGACACACATCAAGTGGCACGCATCGCAATGCTTTGGTAGCCTAGTGAGGCTAAGGTGCAGTTTGGAGGCATTCTAGAAATTAGGCATTGGATTGAGTTCGCCTAATTTGAAGTAGAAACACAGAATAGGAATATGTGTACTAGTATGCACTAGAGGAATATCTGTAGCGGCGCTGCTACTGCTGATACTGAAGTCATTCCAATTCGATACATTCCCATCGCAATACATTTCGACATTGCATCGAACTTCAATACTGAAGACATTAGATAATCACTTGGAAAAGTAGTTCAAGGCCCAGTTAACTAAATTTATATCAGGCATTTGAGTTTCAGCACTTTTTCAGTGCTCTTGATCTATTTAGTCATCGCACGCTCACACAATTGAGCTTGATCCTTAAAGTGTGCTCAGAAAAAGTGTTAGTTTTGAGCTAACACTCTAATACATATAGGCATATATACAGTCGGCTCTCGTTAATTCAAACTCGAAGGGACCTCTGAATTTCGTTTGAATTATCAAGAAATTTGAATTATCAGAAGTTCTCGGATAGATGACTCTGGGTGAGGTGACACCACAAATTATGATTAGGCAGCAAGTTTATCACATTTAAAATTTCTTGTGTATTTTCAAACCCTAACTGCACGTAATGAAAAGAAAGCAGAGGTGTAAGGACCACAAGGTTATTGACCATTTACTGCTGATCATACCTTTTAAAGAAATTGTGAATTGCCAACTGCTTCTTTACTTAGGTATGTCTCGACATGTCGATTCCAGCCGGAATGTGCCTTGGCACAAGGCTTTCTATACCAGTTGAGAAGGATCAAGGTTTACCATGATTGCGCTTTGTCTCAAACATTTGCTTACTAGAAAAGCCTTTTTCCTTGAAGGCCTGAGTAGCTTATTTTTCATTTTTAGCTGCTAGGATTATATAGGCATGATAATTTTTAAATAGTACTGGAAAATCACCAGATATTTTCTGGTATAAAACTGCAAAAAAGTATGAATTAACCAAATGATGGAGTTTGAATTACAAGGCTTTAAAGTACATTGAAAGAATAGAAGGCCAACAAAAAAATTGAATTTCGTTTGAATTAACCAAAAGTGTGAATTATCATAGTTTGAATTATCACGAGTATACTGTAATAGGAAAGACGAAATATGTGAGCAATATATTTATTGAGTCTCGATACTGCCAAGTTTTTCAGGAATAAAAGGATGTTAATGTCATTTTCTTGTGAAGTAAGCTTAGCACTGGAGAGTTCAAAGAACGAATGAGAAAGCATCATTGGAATTATGAGACAAGTGTGCTGCCCTTACCTGATGTCCCAACCTGTTGCTCACTGCTCCACTGTCTTTTCATGGTTTTCTTCAGCTCGGCCACCTCTGCTTCATGCATCTTGCACAGCCTGGTCACTTCTTCGACGACACGACGGTTGACCAAGCTACGGATGTCTTCCTGAGTCAACATTTGAGCAGCCTGGCCACTGCTGCCACCTGGCATACTGCTGTCACTGCCATTCCTGCTTGCCACCTGTTGCCACGTGTTATGGACTGACGACGACTGCACCTGCACATCGTGCCGCTCTTGCTGAAGTGCCGCCTTTTCGGCTTCAACCGTCTCTCTGAGCTTGGCCATCTGTTCTGCGTGCTCCCTTGTGAGTGCCTGCCTTATCTGCTGCTTCTCCTGTTCGTACTGTTGTCTAAGTGCCTCCAATGTGTGCTGGTGCTGTGCGTCCAGTGCAGCTGTTTCCTGCAATAAAAAGTGTACATTTAGGGCTTGCTTTCTTTTGTCAGACAGAATGGTAATGAGAACAAACAGACAATAATGCCAAGAAAAGTATAGGAGATGTTATTAGAAGTTATTATAGTGTAAATGTGAAGGAAGGAAAGTAGACAAAAAGATGACTTGCAATTGGCAGGGATCGGACCTACAACCCTCAACAGAGGGATGACCAGCGCCATAGCTCAGTGGTAGAGCATCAGACAAGTTATTCGAAGGTTACAGGCTAGGTCCCTGCCAGCAGCAAGTTACCTTTTTTTTTCATCTACTCTTCACATTTACACTACTATTACTTTTATTAACATCCCCTATACTTTCCTTGGCATCATTGTCTGTTAGTTGTCATTAAGATCAGTTCCTGCAATGTTACTTAAAGGAAAACAATCTGTCAACACCTACTACAGTCGACGTCCAATTTCCCGGACGCCCGAAATTCCGGACATGCCAGATTTCCGGGAACCCATCTGTGGCACCGTCTAGTTTTCTATAGAGTCAATGTATTAAAAAGTTTGAAATTCCGGACGCTTATAGCCTTCGGCATCAGATTATTCAGACTTTTTCTGTTAACCCGGATAACTGTTTACTGTTAACCTGGATGTTGCATTCGATGATCTGCACACGGCGACATGTCGATTCCAGCCGGGATAACCTTTGAGGGCTTCACCGACGCTGACAAAAACCTCAAGCTAAGTGCGGACTTGACCGATGACGAAATTATTCCTCAAGTTATGGAGGATTCTGACGACTCCGACACCGAGAATGATGAGCCATCTCCTACACAGCCAACGAGCTCGGAGTTGACGCGAGCGCTGATGACACTGTCATCGGTGTACAGCAGCAACATGACGTTGTCTCAAATTGAGGCAGACATGATCACGGGCAAGTGGAACGCCGTGCAGAAGTAAATAGGCGACTTTTTTGCACCCAAGTGCTAACCTATGAGGTAACGCCGGCCACGTTGATTTTTTTTTTTTTATAAACGGCTCTTTTCAGAGCCACCTAAATGATGCATTGGCTGAATTGCAATGGGAATCTTGTACTCCAGCTGTTACCCTCTCCGTCAGTGAAAAATATCTAAAAAAAATTTGTGTTTTCACGTGCATTCATTTTTCCAGACTGCCCGATTTTCCAGACGTTTTCGCAGTCTCTTGAGGACCCAGGAAATCGAACGTCAACTGTACATCTATGCAATGCAGTACATAGAGAGAGAGGGAGAGACTGTCTCAGGCTTCTTTTATTAGCTGCTATAGTAGCTTTGCGGCTAAGATTGAAAATGAACTGTATAGAGTTTTACATGCCAGACCTTGATATACATGCTGCAGAGGGTGATCCTGAATGAATTAATGGCGAAGCTTAGCATGTGGCCAACAGGACACATAGAAGTACACACAGGACAGGTGCTTGCTGAAAACTCATGCCTATTGAAAAGAAAACCCGCTTCTGATAGTTAGCAATAACGTCACAACAAAACTGCAAATGTTATTGCCAACTATAAGATGTGGGCTTTATTTTCAACAAGTTTCAGTTTTCAGTAAGCGCTTATGTGCATGAACTCACTCAGATCATTCCAAGCCAAATGTCCCACTTTCACCTATCAAAGATGATCTGAGCGAGCTCAAGCACTTATATGTCTTTTTCTCAAGCACACAGGGTGCCATAATACTGTAATATCATTTACAAGCACAATACCACAAGCAGAACTGACTGCAAACCAAGCAGTGAGGCCAACCTTCACCCACACTTAGTTAAAATTTTGCTCTATATTCTCCCAAGAAAAAATATTGCTTTGAATGCATTTGCCTATGTTTATGGATTGACTTAGCATGTCAGCTTAGTCAATCCATTACTATGCTTACTAAATTTGCTTTGTTCGACTCTGACAGGAGGCTCTCCCACAGTTCTTACTTAGGGGCTTCTTTATGAAAATATTTTGCACCTTCACATATATGTGGTAGTTTTCAATTCTGTTAATAAAACTGAAACTGTTAACTAATTTTTCCGATTCCAAAGAGTACAAGAAAAAGGTATCTTGTGGAATGTTTCTTTTAAAGTTTAATTTGAGAAGTGAAGCACAACTGCTGCAGCATAAAATTCCATCCTAGCCCGCAAAGGAAAACAAAAAGGAAAGAAATAGATGCGCAGCCAAAACATGCCTGCTCAAGGTAAGAGGCCATCTCTTTCTCCAGGTCAGTGCGGTTCCAGGTGCGCATGCGCGCGTTAAGCTGGCACTGGCGCTCCAGGTCGGCGATGCGCTGAGCATGCTCCTGCTCCAGCCGCTTGCGCTCGGCTTCCAAGCGTCCTCTCCACGTCTCTTCCAACAGCCGGATCTCCTCATGGTGCTTGCTCTGCTGCTGCTCCCGCTCGGCCGACACTGCCTTGTTCAGAGTGGCTGCAGCCTCGTCCTTAGGCACGCTTCGCGACTGCACACAAATGGGCAGTGGCTGCACTGTCTTGAGTGTCTCCAGTTTATGCTCTAACTGCCATTAAACCAAGAATTTACAAACACACACACCTATGCACACCCCCAACAGCATCCTAACACACTCCAACGAGGATTCAAACGTCAACCGGAACCACCCTTCTCACCTTAAAAATAGGCATTTACCCACACACCCTAATGTTGTGGTAAGATCCCCCAACTCCAGAATAAAAATTTCGGATAAACGTCGTCGTTAGAGGCCGTGATAATCACAGTGTGAGCAAGACCTTCCATGAAAAGGGTGGCAAAATTGTTATAACAGACAAAATGCCAGGTTCTTCCGACATGCGCGATTTCTTCTTTTTATGATGCTGTCTTTATGTGCCTAATTCACTGACATTCTGTAATTGGGTATGATAAAGCATTCTGACTGAATTTATCTGCTGCACTTAACCACATACCTGCTCGAGTGCTGGTTAAACTGGTTAATGTTGGTTAACCTTGGCTGCTATATTGTAGCATCATATCATTCAATAGGAATCAGTATGCCTGCTGAATTTCATTCAAAAAGAGTGAAATTGATCTTTCTGCCCTTTTTCCCCTTGGTGAGACAATGAATTCTCTCAGCAATATTTTTCAATATAAATGATCAACGGACATAAGCAAAAAGAACAATAACCTTGCGACTCATGAGTGTCATCACATTTGAGTGATGGCTTCACTAAAGACAAAGAGCTTTGGATTAGCCTCGTCTTCTCTTTCTTATTTAGAACACTCTCCCCTAAAATTGCTTAAAATTTGAATAATTGGCTGGTCATTATATATAGTCCGTGCTTCTCTTTATGTAGACTGAATATTTCTGTAACAGAATACAAATTCTATGCGCGTAACACTGCTGGCTGTCAAATGGTCGAGGCAAAGCAATGTAGACTATTATGTATAGCAAGCCACGGAGCTAAACTATTATACTAAGTGCATTGCTACACAGGGAGGAAAAAAAAGTGCTGAGGACAAATGCAAGGCAGAACTATGGCTAAACAAACATGCAATTTTAGTACGAAGTCACTTTGCTGAACAGCAGGGTCTGTCGGGATGCAATGGTTTTTGTTTGGCCCCGATCAGAATGCCTCTGATTAAAAAATGTCTACATCAGACTTTGATGCAACGGTTGACGAGATCTTCATTAGGCCCCAAAGAAACGGCAGAGTGACCACTTCCAAGGTATGGATCAGAAACAAGCCACAACCGATAATAAAGACGAACACCACATGATTATATACCTGCCTGGAGAATGAAGATTCGTAAATCCACCGTAAAAACCGGAATGTAGGTCAAATTTATTAAAAAAAAAGTGCAATGAAAAGTCGACTGCCATACTTATATACTGGTCATTAGTATAAAGAGAAAGCGGTAGTTTTGTAACAATGGGTAGCTGAAGTCAAAAGCCTCCATTGTCATCATGAGCATCAGCAGCGGCGTCGTTAGTCAAGGCTAGGCAAAGCTTACAGTGTTCTAGCAACGCCAATTTGCCTCAATTATTTGCTGTTTTCTTTTATCTATATCCTTCAAAAACGAGTGGGCGTCGACGAAAGTTTACGATAGGCTTTAAGAAAGAAGCTGTCTAGTATGCCAAAGCGCACGGCAACCTGGCGACACAACGGTAAATCGGTGCAACGGGAAAAAGTGTCCACTACTGGAGGAGCCAAAAGCAGCGCATCACACCCTGCAGCAACCAAAAGAAAACTTCGTTTCGTGGATGGACTGCAGTGCACCCCGAAGAGGAAATGCTATTCGTCGAATTCATCCGGGAGCTGCATGTAAGGTCGCTACCTGTTACATTGAAGTGCACCCACGTGAAAGCTATTGAGATAGCGCACAACTCTGGGCTCACGAGGGCGCAATTCAAGGGCTGGCCATCGTGGGTGCGCCGATTTATGAAGCGGAAGGGCTTTGTGCTGAAGCGGAAGGGCTTTGTGCTGAAGCGGCGTAATTTCATCTTTCTGCAAATGCTGCATTAGTAACATATTGAATAGAATGGAGGACGATGCACTCTGGGACGTTACTAGTGAAAAACAAATGTCGTCGGAACCCAGTTCGGACGAGTCTGAGTGACAGCACTTAGTGGCCTTCTGGCGTTTAACTACATAATATTAGTGCCCAAATGAAAAGAAATGACACCACATTGCAGCTGGTTGTGTTGCATATTCACTAAGGTAAGGGTGCGCCGCGATACATTGTGATTTTTAAAAATTTTTTTACAGATATTCAAATTTTGGGGGGTTGACCGGTAATAGATGCCCACAAGACTAACGCTTCAGCGTCTGTTCTATAAACACATTGCCAAGCACAGTGCCAAGCTGCATGCACTGCTCTGTGCGGCAGATGAGAAAGACGGCATACCAGGTCATCTCTTAGTGCGAGCACCTCCGATTGGAGTGCCTCCTGAGCTTTGGCGTGGAGTTGCTGGACTTCGTGCAGCCGCAGCTGAAGCCGCCTGGAACTCGCTTCGTGTGCCTCCCGTGCACGGGCCAACTCCTGCTTCAGGCACTCCCGCTGCTCACTATCGACACGCTCCCGACTCACCATCTCTTCCTCCAGTGAGCGCAGCTTTTCACGCAGTGGGGAAACCTGCGACAAACCACGGCTTTGCATTTTTTTGTAAAACAACATGCCTAGTTAACTAAAAATAATAAAGACTGGAAGGGGAGGAGGGGGGGATGAAGTGCCTCAGCCTGAAGGCATAATACTTGCTATCTATGTAGACACAGGTGTGACCGTAGAAAGTAAACTTTCGTAATACAAACACTCGACGTTGCACTGTGCACCTTTAAAGATCACGTCATTCACAACAAATTTTCAACCTTCATCTTATAGCCAGTCCCAGCTAGAGGTAACAGCAACAGTAATATAAAAAATGGCCACGAATCTTGCAATGGCAGAGAATAGAAAAGAAAGATAGGTGACATTGATGCTACATTCCAATGCTATGCTATCCATATAAAATGAGATGTAGCACACCTACTCCTGGAAAGATGAAATGACAGAAAACAGAGATACAATGAAATATAGCATGCATTTTGCATGTTAGTCACACTTATGAACCTTTCACTTGGTAACTCTAACGAAAAAAAAAATATATGTATATAGAAGCATAATTAGAAAAAGAAAGCACCTCACACTACATCAGCGTGATGCACTAGAGATTCTATGTGACATGCTACTTACTTCTCAGATTCATGCGAATACAGCTTGTTCTCCTTAATTAGTGTGCGACAGTCTCTGTGCTGCTACAGTTATTTCCTGTGTAGTTTAGCCTCCGCATCGGTTTTTGGCAATGTCCCTAATAAATCCATCAGTAGATTTGCACTTTTGGCTTAGTGTGAAAACTGATAATGACCATAGCCTCTGTGGCTCACATTATAACAATTCTGGCCAATTATTGTGCAGAAAACAAGTTAATTTTATGAATGTAAGACTTTGCTAGGGTCGAGGTTGCTTTTATGGTCAGTGCAATTGCAGATATTCTTGCCAGATTACATAGCGGTGCGTTTTTATGGCAAGCAGGAGTTCCTTGTGCAGGCAATGCGGAGTGGTGTGATTAAGGAGGGAAAGGAGAGAGAAAAGGAAAAGTGTAACATAAAAAAAGCTGCTTACCTGCACGTCCACAGCCTGGTGGAGGGCTTCAATTTCTTCATCTCGCTCCTGCAGCAGTGCTTGCAATTCAGCGATGTTCTGCTTTTGCTGCATGAATGACAGACGGAACACCAATGGCACCAATAATATGAGCAATAATAATGACAAAGAGAGAGAGAGAGAGAGAAGAAAAAGAAGACGAGTGAACAAGAAATAAAGAGAGAGAGAGAAAAAAAAGAAGAGCGAAAGGACAAGCAGTAAAATTCTGTTGAATAATAGATCTGAAGCTCCAAGTGTGCTGCTTGAAGTTCAGTGCAGCATTTTCTTACACCAGATTCTTAATACTACTTGGCTGACAAATAGCCATGCAAATGGCTCAGCACCAAACAGCCCTGTTTTATCTACACTGAACACTGTACTTTCCTCAGCATATTTTCTTTAAAACTCTCTCAAGCCATTGTGTCAAACCAATGTCCACAAGACAGAGTGTACCTAGAAATGCAGTCCAAGAATCAATGCAGGCCAAGAGCAGGCGAGTGTCCATACGTATCATGCATAGAAATATGTATGCGAAGCAAAAATACCGCAGACACTTTATGAAAGTGAGAGAGTGAACCCTCTCTCCTTTCACCTTGAAACAGAGATATCATGCAGTGAGACCAGAAAAGACCGTCACCGAAATGAACTGCCATCACCGAAATGAACTACTGTGTCACAAAGTAAGACAGGGGACCGCAAGAGGCCAGATTGAATGAAGAGCCCCTCAGAGATGTTATCTTACCATGGGTAACATGTCTGTCTCTGCTGCTTCTGCTACAGGCCCGTCCTTTAAAATTTGCGAAAAAGATGGGACGAAGGTGATCGTCAAGTTTGATTCAAAGCTGAAGTGCAAAATCACAATCGTAGCAAAAGAAATTTCATGAAATAGAGGCAACAGAGCCTGCAATGTTTATTGTGTTAGCAAGATTATGATTCAAACTCAATAATTAAAGATATTGCACATTCATTGGGACAAACCGTTCAGAAGAAAACTAATATAGCTTTCATAATGTATACCCTTCGAATTCATTTTCACCAAAGGTCTTCCTTTGCCAAAAGTTCTTAGTGCAAACAAGTATAAGATATACATGTGTAGAAATATACAGGAGGCCTTGAAGAGACTGTGCTAGGAGTATTAATCTACATCAAGACAGGCAGGCTCTTTAAAAAGATGGCTGTCAACCACAAATGTAAACAAACTGCCTCTCTCGCATTATACAAAAAACTTCAATCCAGAACTCTTTTCCCAATTCAATTCAAACCCAGATAGCCCTGACAAGAAATAAAATCATAAATACTACTGATGACATCCCAAATGCAATGTTCAGACATGCATAAACAGAGCAAGGCAAAGGGTAGATGAACCTGACCTTGCGCCTTGATTTTCCGCGCTGCACTCGAAACGTGTCCAGCCAGTTACAAAACATGTTTCTCCATTCTAAGGCTTGCTGGCCTCCTGGTACTCTATAATTTACAGCGTTTCAAACGATGTGAAAACTTGGCAATATGAGCAGTTTCCGGACAAAATCCACGTGTTGGCTCAGCCAGAGAAGCGAGATGGCAGCTGAGAGCCCGAAGGGCAACTATGTGCCAGACTGGCACAAGGCTGGCTATTTTGGGGCTGTTGGCCCATTGCCCCTTGTCTGCGCTCAATTTAGCTGCGAGGGGAGGAGGGGGTGCTGATCTAGCTGAGGGAATACAATGCACACAAGCCGAAAAGCTGAAGTGCATCGTCATTTCCAGACACTACAGTCAAGCAGAATACATACTTGCAACATGATGAACCACTGAAGCTGGCTATTGAATGTGTCACACACATCCTGTCTTTCGCAGTCCTGAGGTGTGATCGTCATGTAATTCCAGCAACTTTCACACACACAGTGGCATCCTTTCTGCAGTTCCGTTCACCGAAGCATGACACAAGACACATAAAGGGTGTTGAATAGGCGATGTGAGGAGCTTTCTTCAAGTGTATGCTGATTCTTAAGGAAGCAAAGTTGGCAAATACATGAACAACCGTGACCACCTGAAGAATATGCTTCTTCTGAGTTACATGCACAAGATGATGTTCCACGGAATGTGATCTAAGTTTATGTATCTCCTGTTTTGATATTGTGACATAATGTAGCATAATGTTGCAGAAAATAACATTTAAGATCTCAGCATAGGTTAAACATTTGGTGAATTTACAGTATGTCCGCCAAGAGATAATGCAACAAGCAATAAAAGTTCTCACGTACATTAGGTGTGCAAAAGCCACTACCTATTTCATTATGACAATGGTGCCGCATGTATTGAAAACAAAAGAGTAACCACTATAGCAATGGCTTCTCGTTGCATACTGCATTGAAAAGTGAGGACAAATAGAAAGAAGAAAGAACAATGACGAAGACAGGTCTAATGAAATTCGTGATGTACACTGACCTCCGGTACTTTCTTGCTATGACAATTTGAGCTCTAATGATACCGGTGAAGTGTTTGCCTGTAGACCTTGGAAACAACTGATCTGCCATTTCCAATTGGGATAACTATCTGACCGATAGCAGCGAACTGAAGGGCATTTTGACAAGATTGAAACCGGAAATTGCATATCAGCACAGGGAGAGCCAAGTGCAACTTTTATCTGATCTTATGTGGTGACGAGATGCACATGTCACGAAACTTACTAGTAGCCAATTATTACACTGGGCTGAAAAAGCTGATACCACATTGTGCAGTCAAGTACAGTGTTGGCAATTCAGCGACAGCGAAGCCAAGTCCCGTGGAGCCGAGACGTGCACTGCGTGTGGAAAAGCAGAAGTTGCATGGCTTAGAGCCGTTACAATGCATCTACGGTTTTTCCAGCACCTTTAGATGTGTCTATGGGTTCTTGCAGACTCTGTAGACAATGTGGGATAACGCCATTACTCGAGTGCATAATCAAGTGCATTTACGGCAGGGGGGTAACTTGCACACCACATGCATGGCAAAACAGCCCAAGTGAGGAGCCACTACACTACTTTGCGCAATGGCTACATCATAAAACTAACAGTGGCGCGATAACTGCACCATCATGATGGTAAGTTTGAGACGAGATCATTACCCGAGTGAATAAGGTAATGTTAATGACGACATGTGTGCAATCACGTTCTTACCTTGTCGCTGCATGCTGCCTCCAGCTCAACTGTAAGCTCCAAGGACTGAGCTCTACGCTGGGCAGCCTCCAATTCCAGTAGCCGCTGCAGGTTCAGATCGGTCATGGTTCCTCGTGTGTATTTCAGCCTCTGCAACTGTGTGAAATTGTCCACACAAAAACGATCCCAGGCTCAGTACCATGAAATGTCATTGTTGTTGCTCATGTGGCAAGTTTCGCTTCCCATGAGCCCAAATAAGGCAAAAGTTCTGGAGAAGATGAAAGCTTGAGAGATGAAAAGTTCAAGAACTTTTCATCTCTGAAGTTGCAATTGAAACATTAAAGACAAGACCATTCGTCAAAGCAGTGACTCTAGACCTGTGCGACTATCCGAGCACTTCCAATATTAAAACAAATGTTAATGTATTGAAATTTAAAGTATTGGAAATTTCCATGCATTCGAAATGAACGAATGGGTACATATTGGTCAGCACATTACCCCATGTAAGAATGGTTTCACTGCAGTAAAGGGGTGCATGCTGTAAATACAATTCCCCCGCCCCCTCCAAAAAGGCGGGGGGGGGGGGGGGGGCACTGCTGCAAAGTCCCGCTTTAAGGTTCAAATAAGATATTACTAGGCTTGTGCGAATAGTGAAATTCTAAATAATATATTACTAGGCTTCTGCGAACAGTGAAATTTAGGTTTCAAGTCAATATTGATTTTGGTTGGATGATTTTGAATCGAATTGAAATAGTATATATCATATTATTATGTAAAAATGACAATGAGGTGTGGCTATTTAGAAGCTGTATTTATACTGATGTGTACAGCATCGACCAAGACGGAGGACAGCACGCACTGCTGACCGACCAGCCCACTTCTTCAATGTCGTCTTCTGATCGCTGATAGGTCAGCTACGTAGCATTACCCCCGGCGGTAAAAAGGCCGTCTTGGTGCACATAAATGACGGTCTTCAGATGGCAGGCGGTAGGATTTTAGCCTACTGACGAGCGCTACATCAATACTGGGCGTGGTTGCAAGCAGGATGGTCTCAGAGGCAGGAATGATCTTATAGGTCACATCGGTAACCTGGCGGACAATAAGGTGAGGACCCGATGAACCGAAATAACAATTTCTTTGATAATCCAACTCGACGGACTGGGCACCACAGAGAACTGGGTGAGAAGCGAACGTTTACACGCTTGCTGTCGTAAAGAGACTTTTGAGCTTTTTGTGAAACCAATAGTCTAGAGCAGGCGATCTGATGTGTGTGGCCAGCACAAGCGATAGCACCACAGGCGTATTCGCTCGGCGGAGGTATAGTAGTCGGTAGTAGGGTGTCCGGTGGTGAGGTCAGATTGCGGCAATAGAGCATATAAAAAAGTGAGTAACCTGTGGTATCATGACAAGATGAATTATAGGCAAATGTCATGCTACGTAGCTATATTATAACAAAAAATGGGCATATTTTCATGACCTAAGTAACCTGCACAATATCTTTTCAAAAATTGAAGCAAGGCCTGTCCAAACGCCATTTTCTTGGTTCAAAGCAAAAGGAAACAACTTTGACTAATAGCAGGATCAGACTTTCAACAGAATGCAAGTGATAACCTGCAAAATATGTTATATTTAATAATTTACCTTGCTTGAAGCACATAAGCCAGTATAACAAGCTTTTAAACTTTAAAAAATGATGAATTGATGTGAGGGCAATATGTTACTTTAACCTTGAATAGGGGGTTTTCACCAGTGCGGATCATCCCTGGATACGTATTTTCACAGCTTAGCACCACTTTACTGCAGTGAAACCACTTTTACAAGAAGTTACATGCAAAATAATATACAGTGTAGGTGCTTTCACGGCTTAGCACCCCTCCACAGCAGTTAAACCACCTTTACAGAAGTTACTTGCACACCAATTTTTACATATTCGTTCGTTTAGAATACTTCAAAATTCTAATTTAAATTCGAATCGAAGCAAGTTTGAATACTGTAATACTCGTTCAAATATTCGAAGCCTCTGAATATTTGCACAAGCCTAGATATTACCCACACATTGATTCCCCATTTTCTAAGTTTAAAAGCTTGTTATGCTGGGTTATATGCTCTAAGTATGGTAAATTTTGAACCATATTTAAAACAATTCAACATATTTTACAGGTTATCACTTGCATTCTACACAGTCAAATCATGCTACTATTCAAAGTTGCTTCCACTAACTTCGAACCAAAAAGAACAACATCTGAACATGCTCTGTTTTAGTTAAAAAATATATTGTACAGGCTAATAGTTTTATGTATACTCATTTTTGTTTATTATACTTGATATATACTATTTGATTTCCATTTGAATTTATTCTAACCAAACCACTATATGCTTCAAACCTAAAATTTACTATTTGTACAAGCCTACTTGAGTCCAGCAACAACCCATGTTCAAGAATTTTTCATCACTTATCCTAAAGGCCAACTGCAAAGAAACTTTACTTGGACGGAAACAGCCATAAATACGTAGTATATTTACAGTACGTTATGATAACGACAGTGAAAAATCTTAAAGTTGCATGTTTATTTTATAACTGGTGCTCCAATTGCCAGCAAGCAGACGATGCAGAGCTCTAGCGGTGTGCCCAGGCAAATTAGACAGAACCGGATATGACAATTACTACAGAACGTCGCCGTGTCGCTCCTTGTGAGCAATCCTCACTGCCGCTGTATGCGTTTGTGCTGCTTTGGCACCGCCTAAAGACAGCGCGTTTTAAATGCGTTCGTGCTGCATTGAAGTCGATGGCATGTCAAGTTCAAGTCAAGCAGCCTTTCTGAATGCGGGGGTTAGACACTGCAAAGCCACCAGTGGGAAGCCCGGACCAGCGTTCGATAAGAGGCATGTTCACACAGCTTTCTTAAGTCAACATAAAAAAAAATGCACTCGTGATGTGTGTGCTCGAGGAGCGCGGAGCAGACGATTTTTCTGTCGTTCACGTCACTCCCAGTCAGCCGTAATGGTGTCATTTTTTCTAGTTTCCGTCTTAAACACACTGTCGTTTGAAAGTTTTTTTTTTTTCTAAGGTAAGCCCTTGTATTTCGAAGGTGACGTTTGGCAGGCAGCACTACCTCTAGCTAGACTATTTACATATTGACTTTTTGCGGAGCGCCAAATTTCATTGCAGTTGGCCTTTTAAGTGTATTCAAGCTTAAATACTTCCTGCAATTTCCTACAGTTTCATTTTTCTTTACTCGCTGACAACAATGCAACTTTTGCACAAGAAATACCAAAATTGACATTTGAGACATTTTCATTGCCTTGAGATAAAGAAGGAAGCCCACAGAAGATTAGATAAGTACTATGACACATGTTCATGTTTCTAATTTGCTACACTGTCGAAATTCAGAACAGAATGAACTACAAAGTAGGAACATTCCACTGCATGCACTAGACACTGATCAATTTTGATAGACTACCACACAACTAGAAAAACATGATAACAGAGAACAGCCGAGCCAGCACTTAACTTGCCTTTGTCCACTATGAATGAACCATTGTCTATGAAAGCATTGGACTAGTATAATCGTTCAGGCATCTAGCAAAATTCAGCATAAAAACATTTCCTCCGTAAAACTACACCTGCTTTTCTCATTGGAACAACATTAAACCGAGTGTTTCATTTAGCTGATTCTATTTTTGCTATATATTACAACATAATAACTGACTTGCTAAAAGACTGAAAGAATTTAATTAATTTGAAAATTTACCAATATTAAGTTTCAGAGGTTCAATTGCACTCTTTTGTCCCTTGGTTTAAGCACTGTAACAGTGGCAGCAGCATGGCAAGAGAAACATGACATGCACAGTTGTACGTAATTTAATTCTCTATATATTATATTTACTTGACTGTAACGCAAGTTTTTTTCCAGATTTGAGCTACCTAAAGTCGACCCCCGCATTGCAATCGAATACTGAAACGATATTTTTTTCTCTCCTGAGACGCAATTAAGACACCTCTCCTGTTACAACTGTGGTTCTTAACTTAACTGCATGTTTGTACTTAACTGCATGTTTGTAGAATGCAATGTATTTCTAAACGAATTGTGCTTGTCTAAGGTTTCAATGTAATGCAGTTTCTCTGCAGCTGCCGAGGAAGACTGAGGAAACGAACTTTTTCTGCCAGTGGTCATACGGCATACCGTACTTACTCGGGTAATCCTCGCACTTGCATAATTCTCGCACCCTCCACATCGCCCAATAAAAATACGATCTCTTTTTTTTTCTCAAGTAATTATCGCACCTCTGAAAATTGCCGCAATAATGTAGTCTGCTGTTCCAGCCATTGATGATGATAGCGTGCGCCGTCTGGCGCCATCTCCTAAGCATAGAGCGTACTATTATTGCACCGAAATTCAATCTAATCCAATCCAAGCCAAAGTGGCAAGTGCGCGTGGCGGCGTGATTGGTATGTTGTGTCTGTAATCTTGTTACGTTATGGGGCGATACGGAAGCTACATGGCTGCTTTCAAGTTGAAAGTGATTGATCATGCATGAAACAACGGCAACAGGGCTGCGGGTAGGCCCTTGGGAGTAGACGAATTTTGTGTTCGCTACTGGTGACGGCAGCTGAAAGCCACCAAGACGTGTTGGGCCTTGACTGGAATTTATGGTAAACTTTATTTCTTCAGAAGGCAACTGTGGACGATTCTGTTAAATGGCCATCAGCCAAATACTGACGTCCTTTGCCTACATTTTGAGGACTCCTGTTCAGCAACGAACGCAGCAACGCCCACAAGCTTTGCGCACGGTATTCTATTTCTCGACTATTTTCATGAGCCTTTTGTGTCTCAAATAAATCTTGCCTTGTGTTTAACCTGTGCTTTTATTCTTGAGGTAAATCTTAATTAGCACTTCTCAAAGCTTGCTGTTAGTTGCTGGCGTGAGAATCCCGACTTGCGGCCAGTTTGTTTTCTTTTTCGCCCTGTACATTTTCGTGGAAAGTTTTCCCCGCGTAATTCTCGCACCACCCAAATTTGCACCGGTTTTTCGCCAAAAAAAAAAAAAAAAAAAAGAAAGTGCGAGGATTATGCTAGTAAATACGGTAGTTGCATGTGCTTTTCGAGAACATACTTTTCAAATCGGTGCTGCACAACACAAGCCGATCGGTGAAATGGGACAACTTTTCGCCAGGGCGCACCTCTCTCCCCTAGCTTTCAGAGCAGCAGGGAGGGAGAGCGGGCATATGATTCACGACATGCGAGAACCCTGGTGCATCACAACTTCACTATTGTCTCTCTGGGCAGCATAGTTCTGTATTCTGTTTAGCAGGTGCAATGCGTCATTGGCCGATAGGGCGTCGACGATACAACTGCACATCGAGTAACAGACACGAGTTAAGTTACAAAAATGATAGATAGCACTACACGCAACAAGCTCACATATGTCTTTCGAGCAATTGTGATCGTGTGGGAAAAAAATTTTTCTGAAAAGGCTAGTGTCTCCCGGGCGATCTGGATTAACAAAAAAAGAGCATTGCCCCCCCCCCCCCCCTCGTTGTTTTGGGATATCACTGAACCTATACCGTACCCTATGAAGAATAGGGCAACTAATTGGCCCTTACACTGGGAATGAAAGCTTTCCCTTTTTTTTGGGTAAGGTACAGCTGCAACAATTTTTGAGCAGATGGATAATTTCTTTTTGAAGTTGCACCACTATCTGCTCTATGATATGACGAGGCTGTTCTGTGATAAAGCCGGCTTGCCAAGACTTTTGCTGTGCCGATTCATTGCAAATACCGACAAAATTTGTGACATCAGAACAAGTTTTGTTCAATTCTTTACACATATGTGTATGCAATGTCGTAAAACGCAAAACGTGGCCCCCATGGTAGAGATGTGTAATACAGGTTGTTGCTTCGCTTTTATACGACACAGGACTGGAGGACTTTTGTAATGTGGCAGTTTACAATGTTGCGTGCTCATAAGACTGAGTGAGACAGCTGCTTAGTTCAATGAACATGATAGCATGAACACTGCCGCTCTGGACAACAACCGATGACAAGCCATGGGGACAGAATAGGCATCATGGCTTTGTGGAACTTATACAGTCGCCGAAAGATTTTTCGAACTTCAAAATTTCTGCCTTGTTAGATATTTCAGACTGCACAAATGCATCATCAAGGTTCCCATTGCACTAATGCATCTTCACGGCCAATTTTTTGGACGAATTTATGTTCCAAAGTTAGATTTTCCTGAATATATTGTTTGTTTTGAGCTATACCGCTCGATTTGGAAAGCTGCCATGTTGAATTTTTTGTTGGGTTGGTTGAGTTGGGTTGCAAAGGCTAATTGTGTAGCCTTCGAAATTGGAAGTGCGCGCAGTTTTTTGGTCTCAGAGGCTATGTCTGATCTTCCTTGGCTAGCATAATGGCAAAACTTTTTTTAGTCAGCTTTATCACCGTCATTGATCCACCGGTAGGTTGTTTTTTTATTTTCTGGGCATTTGTCTTTCTGGTAGTCATTGCACACGTGGTTGTATTGGTGGTGTGCCAAGTATGCTCGAGCCATCGTGCAGGTAACATGGTCGCCGCTGTTCGCGATTGCTCACTATAACACTGCTGGAACTCCGAGGTCACGGTGCTCGGCAACTGACCTGAAACACCCAGGTTCGATCGCGGCCGCGATGGTAGCGTTCTGATGGTGGCGAAATGCTGGAGGCTCACGTGCTGTGCGGTGTCAGTGCACGTAAAAGAAGCCCAGACTGTGTTGTTAAATCCCACCAAACAGGCAGAACGTTGCAAGCATCTTTTTGCGACCGGCATAAGTTTTGTTTGCTTGCTCCCATGGAGCCACTAACTTGGCCGCCCGCAACAGTCGGCGGCACCGATTGCCAACGCGCTTGCCAACAATGTTACCGTAGGCCAAACGGAACCAAATTTGCTCGTCCCCAACAACAGCATGAAGCATAGCATTATTGAAGATTTTTTTAGGCTTTCCTTGTTTTAAATAAACTTCATTTTCACGGCTTGACCATTCTGGCAGACTGTTCGATTTTTCGGACTATTTCGCAGTCCCCGCCAGGTCCGGAAAGTCGGTCGGCGACTGTATTACCGCAGCGCGCAGTGCCTGCGTTTCTTTTGGCTTAATGCGTAACATATGGCCGCTGTGAAAAGAGCTTTAGAGGCACAGCATCAAGTTGTGGTTGCTGGACTTCAGTTTCATGAAAACTGATTTCTGAGCTATTGAGAGTAGTTCTCCTTATACTATTGCTGTATCATTCTAATGTTCTTGCTGCGTAGAAGAATCCCGAGTTGAATATACAGAAGAAGCTTATTGATACATTTCCACTTCGTACGATTTCCCAATGCCAGCATTTGTGATATTTTTATTAAGTGAAACTGTGTGACCTCTTGGTGAGTTCGCAATGCATGTTCTACTGCATAGTGTCTATAGTTTTTTCCCTGTGTTTATTTTTTTTTCAGTGGCAAATTATGTTCTACTCGCTTTTATATTGATACATAACAGCCGCCGCAACGCGGCTGCATGAAAGAAGAAGACAAAGTTAGTTTTGGTTGATGCTGCACTGGCGCCACCTTGCTTGTCGAGTTCCGTGCATTGTGAATAGATTATTAGAGAAGTTACTCATAGCAATATAAAATGGTAAATTTCTGCTAAATGAAGTTTCAATACAGCACAGGAAACAGTAGTCTTACTGACTTTGTAAAATTAAAGTTCAACTGTACCGCACATAATTTTCAAATGATGAAGAGACATCTGAAACCTACATTGTAGCTTTTTATACCACAGTGCTGAATGTACAGGTTGCACTACAGTGAAATCACCTAAATTAGTTGCGGGTAGTTACAACAAAAAATCACAGCCTTCAATATAAAAATGCTGTAATTTAGGAACTCAACCTCTATACAACTAAGAGAACAAGGATTTTGTGACAAGGGACTCTAATAAAAAAGCTGCAGAAATGAGTAAGCGCCATGATAAACTTTGCAGTTCATGGATGTTTGCAAAGTTCTTCACGGAATCAGTAGCCTTCTGTTGAACTGCACTTTTCACAAGACAAAAAATTTTCCAAATTTTTTTTTTTTTGCCTTGGGTAGTGATCAGAAAAGTTCACTTCAATCTGACAAAGTAGTCAGTGGTTATCAAGCAGGACGTAGCATGCAGTGAAAGCAAGTGAGTTTGAGGTGTGAAGCGATTAAGCCAGGAAAACGTGCGAGTGCCCAGGCAAGATGAAAGCAGTTCAGCGAAAGAAAAAAAAAAAAAAAGGTGCGACAGACTACACAGCCACCTTTGCAAAGTGCGGGGTAGGAGGGGAGCGGTTGGCCTCGAGGTCTCGGGTGAGCGTGCCGACGTGCTGCGACGGCCTGAGTCGTTCTCGCTGCTTGGCGGCTAGCTCACGCTGGCGGTTCATCTGGCCGCGAAGGCTGTTCACCTGCTCCGTGCTCAGCTGCAACTGCTCACCCCAATCACCACCACCACCACCACCACCAACACCATTGTCAGAGTGGGAGCCGTAGGCGTGAGAGGGGGAGTAGAGGGGTCAAGTCACCGACAGAAGAGGAGGAGAAAAAACAACAGAACGAGTGCTTAAGTGCAAAGAAAACAAAAACTGAACAAAAGAGAGAAGAAGCAGTGTGCAATTAAGAAAACGACTCTGCTCATTTGTTGCGAACCAACGCTACAGACACTCATTTTGCCCACGAAAACACGCATACACATACACACAAACATCGGTTCATTCACCAGACATCCAGACAAAGAAGCGTGCACCCGCCACACACACACAGACTGGTCAGCACTTACAGACAGGCAATTCATACACAACCTACCTTCCCAAACATAATACTTTTTACCAATGCAGCCCAGTGCATTGCTTTGTTTTAAACATAAAGAAACAATAAATCAGTTTTAAGTATTGTAGGAAAAACAGCACTCAAGAAAAAGAAAAGTTGCTTCAAGAGGACAGTTACATAAAGAGAAAATGAACAACAAGACATCAGTTTCACACTGAAATGCCAGTTGCAGTGTGTCTGTTAACACTAAAATTCGATGCATATTTTTCATGTGAGCTTTTGTTTCTTTCCTGCTGCAGCGCAGACCTTTCAAACACTTGCTAAACTTGCCCTTTAGCTCCTTCAGAATACAGTGACATTCATTTTCGCTGACAAAAAAATGAGCTAGGCCTTTGCAATTACCACCAAAATCAACAAACCACGACGAGCTTGCGTGCAAAGCCATATCTCCTGTTACACAAGGCAACTTAACTGCACCTTGAGGAAATGCACTTCGCCGCTAATGTCATTCGCATGCTGTCATACGGAAGCACTTGGTTGCATTTGCTGCAAAGTGCACTTGCGCCAGCGAGTGCATTCGCCAAACTCGCTTCGCTGCGACAGAGTGTCTAGCCTTGGTAGCAGTGGCCTGAGAATAAATAAGGTATTATCCAAAATCGAGTTTACAGAATTTGTTAAACTACTGTTCTCGTCACAAAGAACAGTCAAGAGTCTGAAAGAATCTCATTTGGTCGGAAACAAACACAGTAAAATAAAAGAAAAATGCTGGCCAAGGTAAAAAGTACAAAATAATTTGTACCTTTTGCCTTGGTCAGCATTCTTTCTTGCGCAAACGCTACTCTGCTGTTCTTGCAGTCAGGCAGTTAAGAGCCACGACTGCTAAGGCCATGCCGAGCACAGACCATTCGATAGCCGCAGCCACCACATTTGTAAAAAAAAATTTATTTTAAGGGCTGCTTATGGCTGTAACACATCGTCACTGAGGAAACATTGGCTGAAACAACTAATATCTATCATGGTATTTAAGTACCTACCATCATCATTAGCATAGCCAAGGTATACACTTCCCTTTGTTGTGCAGCAGTGCACGCAGTTCACAGATCAAAGTGACATTCTGATCGCAGATCAAAGTGACATTCTGGAGGCCGTAAGTGCACCTGCTCAAAATGACACTAAATTTGCCAGTGTGACTGGGGTACACAGCAGCATCACAATTCATCTTTCCTGGCTCATTGATCTTGCTTCAAGAGTGCTTGTCTAGGGATCCTAGAAGCTTATTTTGTTGTTCTTTAACATCTGCACATAAGGAACTATGTACTAATTGCTTGTACACACAATAATATGGGGCAAGAGGTAGAATGTCTGGGAAGTAGTGATTTCTTGCCAAAAAAGGCTCTTTACAATAGAGATACATTTTTCAGTAGCTCACATACCCTGTAGAAAGCTCTGCTGATTTTGCATTCTCAACAGTGTTTAATACCGTATTTACTCGCGTAATGAACGCACTTTTTTTTCTCGAAAAATCGGAGCAAAGTTGGGGGTACGTCTATTACACGAGATAAATTTTATGACAACTTTTTCGGGAGGAGCAAACAATGCAGTAATGCAAAAAAAAAAAAAGTTAGGTCGCTTAGCCTTTCACAATTTACATATGCGTACACTGTTCGGAATCAGCTTCTTCGCCCCACTTTACTCATCTTTGGTGGTCGACGACGCTATCTTCTGCAAGCTGTCCTGTGCCGCCCGCGCATGCCATAAAATTGTTTTGCGGCTATCTTTTCTCGCAATCGTTTAACCGCAACAGTGATATCTGCTGTTCTCAAGGGGCGCCCAAAAATGTGCGCTACGACGCTACGACACACTTTGCCAACTTAGCGAAAACCTTGCACGACGACTGTGACGACGCCGTTAACGTTGTAGCAAGCACAACGAGGTCGTGGTAGCAAGTAACCAACATTGCAGCAAGCTACCCCCGAAGCATCAAAACAAACCGTCAATAACAAGATTAACAACAAAATACGGCCGCTTCCTCGCTTCTACATGAGAAGCAACCTCTGTGGATAACAAGCTAAAAAGCGAATTGAGAATCGGGGATGCTACCATGTTGCGGAAATTGTCACGATCTTCTCTGGGCGACAAGTTATTTTTTATGGTTTTCCAGAAACCTGCGACGTGATAGGGATGAATGACCCTTCAGCACAGCAAATCCTGCCCTCGTCACTCGAAAGTCGGGTGCATGTGGTTAGGCTTTTTTTTTTTTAAGTGGGGGGTTGGGAGGTGATTCTTTAGAAAAAAGAAGCAAGGTAAGAAAAAGGGGTGTGGAGTGCATGATAACTGTCTGATGTGAGGACAGGATGATACACTAACTACACTCATGGAGAACGAAGATATAGTTAGAATGAAAAAAAAAAAAAAAAAACGAAAGTAGGCAATAAAGGGGGGGGGGGGGGGGTTGCAGAAAGTGAGGGAGGGAGGGAGGTCAGTAAGCACAGGCAGTTTGGTGACCTTCCCTGTGCCATGTGTGCTTATCAGCTGCAATGTTTCTACACCCACACCACTGGTGAACCACACCAACCCCCACTGTGGCCCACAGATAAGACAGGGGGGGGGGGGACACAGGTCCCACAGATAGAAAGAAAAGCAATTCACTCCCTGCAACCCATGAGGGGGGAGCCAGCTAAGGTGGTTGAGGGGGGTCGGCAAAGTAATAAAAAACGAGAAAGAGATCCACTGGGTGAAAGGGTGAATAAGCCCCTAGTGCCGGTTGGAACAGCAGCAGAGGATGAATGTAGGGGGTGTGTTTATTATGCAGGAAAAAAAATTCGAATTTTCATGACTGAAGTTGGGAGTGTGTTTATTATGCGAGTGCGTTCATTACGCGAGTAAATACGGTATCATAAAATTTTGCATTACCACTTTTTTGTCAAAGAATGAATTCAGTGCTGTATCTGCAGCTTATAGCAGATGGAACACAACTGCCATGAAAACAAAAGACAGGTAATATTGTTTTTTCATGGAAGATAAATGATAAAGTACCCCTTTGTCTCACACAGCTGCTTTGGGCACAAACTGACTCATCGAATGGCCACTAAGAATCAAGAAAGAAAGAGAAAAAAGCAGCATAATTTTTGTTGTTATGCTTTTATGGTCATAAGGCCCAAACACATCGCTGCTAATCTAAACTGTCGTGCTGCTGCTTATTCTTGCACAACTCTCAATCAACTTGTGTTTCTCGTAAGCATGCAGAGCAGCTGTAGTCGTTCGTGTTGCTCGTGGCCGAAGGGGCTCTCACCTTGTGCTCGGCGGCCTCGCGAGCCTCTTTCTCACGCAGCAGGTCCTTCCTGAGCTGCCGCAGCTGCTGGCCCACGGGCCCTCCACCCTGGGTGCCCGCTGGGGACAGTCCCAGCCGGGCGTCCTCTACGTGCGCCTTCAGCGCAGACACTTGCAGCAGCTGCTGCTGATTCAGCTCCTGGAGAGCACGCTTCTCACGCTCAAGCTCCTGCAACAGCAAGCAGAGACATAGATTCTTTAAAGATCAAACACACAACTTAGTAGTGCCCAAAGTGAATTCAATACAGTAGAATACTGTACTGTGCACACACTGTGATATCAACTTAGCAACAAGGCCCATGCCAAAGAAGCCTAACTGACACTGTCGTACAACGGGTATCCCCATTCGAGCTGCCTGCATTGACTGTTTCTAAATTGTGTCTTACATCCTAGAGCTATCTAAGAGTGTAACTGCTTCTCCAGTGTAGCTGTATCACCTCCTTTACAAGTCTATAAACTTATAAACGGCATTGATGTCGCAATAGCTCAATAAAAATAGAAATGTGTTTTTGTTGTCTTCAACTTTCTCAAACAACTGAGATGGGGCTAGCTGGTTCAAATCTGTAGCTTTCGATGGCACAAATTAAACGACTCCAAGAAAGCAGAACACAGGACCAGTGCTACTTTCAACAACATCATAGTACAAGGCAACAAAATTAAGTTGAACGTAGCGCTTGTCTTTTTGTTCTTCGACACATTACTTGTTCCACTTTTCTTAAGACACATCTGCTGCTTTGCCTTTATGTGAAAGCCCGTTACATGGCTGAAAGTGTGTGTAATTAAATACTTTCTGAACATTTTTCGTGTACTGAACAGCCATTTTTACAATGGATATTCATATTCATATTTTTGCTAGTATCCACAATTAAAGCCGTAAAAGCCCAAACGGAGCATTGAGAAAAAAATGCAGAGAGCAGTGCAAAGCACTTGCCGTGCATCACAGTTAGCCAAGTGACATCGCCTGCTCCTCTACGCAAGCTCTCATGTTTTATGCCTGTACCGTGCCTGTCCCAAGACAGAATCTATTATACTTTTGCAACCGCATCATGTCACATTTCATATTTTAGCATTTTAGCGGTGAAAGTGTCCTTTAACGAGGAATGTTACTGGCGTCAATATCTCCATCACACCCACCTCGTGCTGTATGCAATTGTACACAAGGCCAGTAAATATAAGCCGGAAGGACAGGAAATATAAGCAGTAAAGTGCGAAAGGTAAAGTGAGCCAGATAGAAGCGAATCACACAGAAATTCACAGCCCAGCATGGCACTCCTTAGTGCTACAGCCATTCTTGCATGCTGCTGTGAAAGTTTGACCAGCACACAGGCTATGCCTTCATATACCACAAAGCACCACACTCAATTCCGGGAGCACAAGACACATTTTACTATATAATTACAGCATCATATTCCAATATGGGCAGATAACAATAAATACTGGCACAAAGAGATAGAGAGAGGAGAAAAGAAAGGCAAACTTTGCACAAAGTATGGAAATTCTGACAATCACCAGATGTACTTTAAATTTTACCGGTGACACCTCATTTCCACAACTGTTGGCATATAGTACTAATTCTGTGAAAGCTCGAGTCTAGGAAGCAGAGTCATTATTTAGCTACAGTGGCGCCATAAGCTTTAGGCTTATCCTAATTTTGCTCGTAGCATCAAATAAAAATAATCTCAACTCAAGTCATCCTAGAGATCTATTTACAAGCTCCCGAGGACGCTGGGAAAACTAAAAACTATTTACATTAAAAAGAAGTTTTCTGGACAGAGCCAAGTTAAGTAAAAGCAAAAAGACGTCAAAGTGAAACAAGAAAAAAATAAAAAGCAGCAAATCTCACACAAAACCTTTCGGGACAGCAGCAAATGCAAGGAACAACGAGCAGTTGCCGGGGGCGTTGCTAAGGAAGCCAAATGTCAACGTAACCATAGCAACCGCAGCAAAGCTGAAAGACATTTTTACACTGCACTTTGCACTGAAAAGTGACCACTGTTTCAGGCTAATTTCGGATAGTTAGTTCCACAAAATTGTTTTGGAGAAGATGAAAAAAGTAACTAATCTACTGCCACCAGCCAAACAGTATAGAAACCTGGCAACCTGTGCAGGATAATAGGCTAGACACATTTACAAGACTTTGCAGCCTCTCATTTGTTATTCACATACAAGAACAAGCATAATGCCGAGCGAAAGTGTTTTAGGATGGATAAAACTATAATATAATGCAAAAAAAAAAAAAGCCACGTGCTGACTGGTACCAATAAATGGCAAGATGTAGTCAGCCTGTACATAAAAAATGAAATGGTTTTGCAAAGAAATTACTTAACTGACTGGTGGAAAACTTTGTGCAGTTGAGAGCAAAATTTAAACTCTAGTGAGTCCAAGAAGCATAATCTAGATTGAAGCAGAAGTTTCAAGTAATAGCTAAATATGTAAATTTACCAGTCTTTGGGAGTGCACCCACAACGGATACTTTAGTTTAGCAAAGAGTATCTTCTACAACGTATGAAGTATGAGCTGTGGCAAGAATTGACTTATTTAAAAAAAAATCTACTGCAGTGCATCAAATATTGTACCTTTTTGAACCTATATTAGGCACTATTTATGAATATTTATTATAACCTCCTGCCTCATTATAGCAAAATTGTATCTTACACAAAACTAAGTTTGTTATATCATAAAATTTGTTATAAAGATATATTCCTAAAGATGTATGTATTGCAAGGCTATTGTTCATATACTTCGTCATAACAGATACTTCGTTATATCCAGGTTTGCTATATCGAGGTTCGAGTGTAATTTTGATTGCTTAATTACAGCACTGTAAACTTGATCAGTGAGTTTCTTGACATATTACAGTCTTTTTGTAAGACGAAATTGAATAAACATGAAAATCTGCACATTACAGTTACTAGGCTCTAACTTAAATGCAGCAAAATTAATCTAAATTAGTGCTGTGGCAGCAGACAAAAGCAATGTTTACAATCTCACATACTTAGAAATGATAGAGCTAGGAGATGGATAAAAGTAATAGAGCTAGGAGCTTAACGAGCTGCTGCATGTATTATGAATTTGAGAAGAAAAAAAAGAAAGAGCAAAGAAAATGACAAAGGAGATAGATGGCACTGACTGTATCATTCTAGTGGCAGCTACAGCGGCCATATTTTCGATGCAGGTGACAATGCTCGAGGCTCGTGTTCTTAGACTGTGGGACAGGTTAAAAACCCCCAGGTGGTCGAAATACTATAGTGTCCCTCATAGTGATTTTGGGGTGTTGAACCTCCGGTATGATTATTATTATTATTATCCTAGCGATATGGAGACACTCTGACAGATTTGCAGCGATTGAAGCAACCACTTGCCTCCTTTTCTTTTCTGGTGGACTTGAGGGCCTTGCGGAGCTGGGCATTCTCCTGGAAGCTGTCGCCCACGGCTGCCACCAGGGCATCCACTTTCTCCTCTAGGCCACGCAGCTCGTCCCACTGCAGGGCACTGGGTGACAGGCCGTCCCGTATGTCGTCGACCGACAGTGTCTGCACGCCCGCGGCTGACAGCGACGAGGAGTCTTCGCTGGTGCCCGACAGGGCTCCCTCGCGGGATCCCCCCACCGGGCTCAGTGCCTGCACCAGTTGCCGCAGAGAGCCGTGCGCGTCCTGCACCTGCCGAATGCGGCTCTCCACTTTCTCCTCCAGAGAGCGCACCTGGACAGAAAAAACAGTGGTAAGGACCACAAAATAACAATTTCACAAAAGCGCATTTGGCTTGTTCTGTACTGATAACAGAATTGACAGCCAGGCTGGTTGGTCTCAATTCATCTTGAAAGGGGCCCTGAAACACTTCTTCAAGTAATCATGAAATGAATTCACTGGAAGAGCTTATTGCCTCACGAATTCAACGCCGCAAAAAATTTAAGAATTTGTCCAGTGCGAGTAGAGTTACAAAGGTTTGTCGCATGCTACAATTGCATTTTCTTGTCTCGTCCCGATGAAAGCTCTGGAAACTAAGCAGGGAGGGATGGCAGGGCCACAGAAAAACGTCACGCCTGCCTCGTGACCTAGAGCACTTTTTTATTATTTTTTCCTTCGAGTGCACGGCTTTTTCAAAGTGATCGCGCGTGCACGCGTGGACAAGTAGTGGCCTCTTGCGGCGATCTCTGTAATGAGCGAGTGTGCCATGCTCAAATCAGCCAATGGCTGATAGATGGGCTTGCATTGTGTGACTTTTGGGCATATTCTATGATTTCTCGAGAGAAGAGAAAACAATTTTAAGAATTCCAGGCTGCGTGCTGCGCTATAATATTTGGCTCCCGTGTTGTCGGGAGCCTCTACTATTGATCGGCAGTGTTTTCTGACCATGCTCAAAAAGTGTTGCAGGGCCCCTTTGAATTGACTCACAAAGTACAAAATACGACATGGACGACAAAGGGGTATACACGGACAGCATGACTCTCAACTGTAGGTTTACAGTATACAAAAAAAAAAAAAAAAGAACATGTACACTCATGCACAAGGAGAATTTGATTAAAGCAAGAGAATAAAACACAAAAATCTGTTTTTCTTTCTTGTGTATGATTTTGTTGATTTTACTTGAGAGCCAGTGCTCTTTGCAGGTGCTTCTTTGTTATCCATGTGGTACAGTAAACCCTCGTTAACTCGAACTCGCATATCTCGAAATCTCGGTTAAGTCGAAACTTTTTTTCGCCGTGCATTAACCTCCCATAGGTGCTATGTATTTGCCCCCTCTTATCTCGAAACGTTTTCCGGAGAGAACAGTGGATATCTCGAAATCTTGACAGGGAGGGCAGAAGGCAAAGTCTACTCCCAACAGGAAACGAGGGCTCCGTGCGAACGCTTAGCTCTTACTATACGTGCCGAACGCAGTCGTGAAGGGCGAATTTGAAATTCCCGCGGACGCAGCCGTTTCCTATCAGCCTTGTCAGGCAACTGTGGGAGTGATCACGTGTGCGCACCTGCGCGCGACTTATGCGCGGTGGGCGGCGTGTGCAGCATGCGCCCGTCAGTACGCAACCTAGCCCTTGCATGTGCGAGCTGGTATTCTTTGTTTTCCTCGTGATCTGTGCACGACGCATCTTGAGCTCAGTTTTGCTGAGTAGTGAGTGGTCTGTGCAACGGACGCTTCCGAATATCGAACATTGGCGCAGAATTCAGCGGCTGTGATGAGCTGTGCAATGAAGTGCGCAAGGCAACTGGCTGCATGAGTGATACTGAAGACGGTGAGATCGCCTTTGAGGAGTATGCGCTCTACGAGGCCGACGTCCCCGTTACCGGAATGCTGTCGGACGCCGATATCGTTGAGATGGCCGTGAACGACGCAGATGACCATGCAGATGAGGAAGAGCCTCGAGAAGTGCCTACGACGACAGAAACACGTAACATGCTGTGCTTGCTCCGCAACAAGGTCGAATGCAGCGGTGGCGACCAACGGCTCATGCGATGTGTTGAGCAACTGGAGAACGCCTTTCTCGGACCGAACGCTAAAGCGAAACAGGCGAGCATCACGCAATTTTTTGGTCCTCGGTAATAAATTTTTTTCCCCTCCGAATTCTTGTGCCTTTACTACGGTAGCTGTTTTGTGCAGTGGAGCTTTTCCTAGCAGCACTGGCTTTTCTTTTACAGTGACCTGGGCGAACATTTTCGGCGTTTTGCTTAACTCGAAATACCGCCTATCTCGAAATTTTCCCCAGATTTGATGGCTTCGAGTTAACGAGGGATTACTGTATTTTGCCCTGTAAAATCAATTCAAGATGTTCCGCTTTAATTGTGCTGGCCTGGCTGTTCTGCCCATATTAACCCTTTACATCCCGCAAACAAGCTAAACCACATTAGCAGATTTTGCACATCAGCTACAATGGGCTACCCAACGGTCACATATGCTCCCATTTGTCGTGCCAAAGGTGATCTGAGCAAGTCCTCCACATCCAGCTTCTTTCTCCATGCACATATGGTGCTATAGTAATGTAAACATAACTTTTTTGTTAAGATACCGAAACAAAACTACAAGGCAATGTAGTAAAACCAACTTCCATTCCCCGAGTTCTCCTTTCCTTCATGGTCACAAAACGATATGTCCTGATAGTGTTTTTTGCATTAATTTAATAGGCCAATTTCAAAAAGTATTGAATAAAAAAATGTGGGCACCTTGCACTACTGGTGCAAGGCTGTACTAACAGCGGAGAGCGTGTGGCCAATCTAGATTATTAGCCAAATCCTAATCAGCAATGTACCAATTGGGGATATATTAATTAGCATGCTTCTAATAAGTATCTCAATTAGCAATGTTCTCTCTCTCTGTGTTTCTGTCTATTCCCATCTCTTCCTCTCCTTCTTCTCTTCAGTTTTCTTCCCAAGGCACGTGCATTGAAGATTATACCATTACAGGTTCATTCATCTACAAAACAAATAATTTCAATTTTCTTCTTTTCAATGTTTTTGTATATATAGTGTCAAAATTGCTATGTTCATCGATTGGCAACAAAAAATTACACATTACATATTTTTCTTGCTCTACAACTTATATTTTTTTGGAAAAAGCGCTTGATTATTCAGTTTGGTATACTGCGATGTATGCTGCTGTACTTTTTATGCTGGCAAAAGACGTCTTCCAAAGAGCTATGAAAAATGACCATTTTTACGGTAACGAAACAAGTAAAACTGATAAAAATATCAGCCAGTTTTAAACCGTGAAAACTCTTGGACAGTAAATCTGTAAGTGCGCAAGTCTCTGTGATTGGCTAGCAAGATCATGTGGTGGCATAAATCTGTTGGTGGAATTGAAATACGCACGCTTACACATTTCGAGCGTCCTCATCGTCAGTTTGCTCAACTTGTTTACCATTCCCCACCTCTGGTCTAGCGTTTGGAGTGAGTAGTAGTGGTAGTAGTAGTAGTAGTAGTAGTAGTAGTAGTAGTAGTAGTAGTAGTAGTAGTAGTAGTAGTAGTAGTAGTAGTAGTAGTAAAACTAGTACCAGTGCTATTACCACTAGTACTACTTCGACTTATCAGCACAGGGCAGATTTAAGGCAGCTTCACCATTAAGAGAGAGAGAGGTTACGCGTGTTTTATTGTCTTTTCACTGTCTCCTACAAGTCAACGTTCGGTGTCAGGCCTGCAACAAAGAAGAATAAAGAGGCAGCAGTATGCACACACATACCTGCGCCCTGAACTCTTGCAGTAAGGATCCCATCTGGACCATTTTTTCGAGCTCCTGGGTGCGAGACTCCAGTTGCTCCTCCAGCTGTCGCACGCGTCTGGCCATGTCGGCTGATGCGTTGCTCTGGGTGCCTCCCCGTGTCTTCTCCAGCTCGAGCAAGGCCTCCTGTTCACCTCGACGGGCCTCTGCCAAGGCCTCCTCCAGGTGGGACACCTTCTGCAAGTGTGCATTTGCCAACAGTTTAGATGAGGCACTGGAATGAGAAAATCAATAATTTGGCCACATAATGGGGAGGGGAAGCACAACATTGAACTCAACTCTGCCCCTACCCATTTGTTATAGATATTTATACTATACCCAAGCTTCTATTTTTAGTAACAGTAGACTCTCAGTAAACAGTGATGTGTTTTATAAAATCACTGCTTAAATGGAACAACTGGTATATTATAAGATTGGTTCAGTACTTGTATTCTGTACCCCTGTTCATCTGTCAGTAAACGACACTCCTGTTAAATGGAACCTATTTTCCTGGTTCCTCCAGATTCCATTTAATGAGAGGCTACTGTACTTATATTTTAATTGCATTGCATATGCCTGTTACACTTTGTAAGCAAGGCACTTGTGTTTTACCTATGAGACACACTATAGAGCCACAGAGAGGTGCAGTAACACAGAGCATCAGTTTAGAGAGCTGATTTGTAGCATCTATAGTTGCCTACAAATGCCGTACATCATGCTATTACCTCATTTATCAAATTACAACGAGCCCTTGTATGAATCCTTAAAGACTGTCACAACCCTCGAGTGTGGTTTTATAGCTGCAGTCACACGGTATCTACACATACCAGTGTGAGTTCGTGGACAGTGTGCGACTTGTTAGACAGGTCGGCTTCAAGGTCACGAATGATGTCCCGAAGGTCATGTATCTTGTCGTCTCGAGAGCGAACTTCGGCCTCCAGCTGGTCACGCTTTCGCTGCACCAGTCCGTGATCCTCTACTCGCATCCGCAGTTGTTGTTCCAGGGACTCAATCTGGTAAAAAGATGAGCACAATGGTCACAGCCCCTGAGCTATCCCAGAAGGTGGCTCACATGCTCTCCCTGGTATGTATGAGAGACTTTATTGCAGAACCAAGGCTTCCGTTATGCAGTTCATCTGGTTTTGATGTCAGCGCCAGTGGTTGGACTAGATGCTAAAGTGGAAGCATCAACTAGTGTGTTGTTCATCTTTAATGCAGCAACAATGCTAGAAACACGAAGCAGATGGCCCAATCGAAATGAGAGGCCACACCAGGCCAGTGATTTAGGAATGTAAGTTGTAAGCGTGTACTAGTACATTTTTTTTACACCTTGTTCTGTCTATTGTTTCTAGCACTGTTACTGAATGGATGGTTTGACCAGGTTATTCCACAAGTTGGTTATCTCAATGTTTGGTAAGTAAGCTGCTAATAAACCAAAGCTTTCTTTGCAGCATTCAAAAATTGTACGTGCTGTAGATGGATAGCAGTATGAACAACTGTGACAAGGAGCACGCTGCGAGGAAGCGTAAGGGGGCAGCATCAAGAAAAAGGAGAAGTATACAGCAAAGCGCATTCATTGCTTGGTTGAAAGCGATAATACAATGATGATGTGGGGGCAATACAGAAACAAGAAATGTGCCAAAAGTGGCAAGACATCCTCACACATGCTAGGCTGAGGCAAAGTAGTGGACGCAAGAACTTACCCCTATCCTTCCAGTCTGTAGAGACAGGTGTAAAGGTTTCTACGGTTACGAATTTCAAGCTTTACTGCATGAAACAATGATGTTTTTTTAGAGTCCCCACGCTAATCATTAGCTGTGGTAATGGCCCTTAGAGTTATTGTAGCTTCTTACCTCCTTTGAGAGGCGTTGCTCGCAGTTCTGAATCTTCTCTTTGTCTTTGAGGGCTTCCTGCATCTTGGCCAGTTCTTGGGCAAAGTCCTCTCGCTCCTGTTCCCGCTCGTGTGTCTGCTCCTACACGTGAGGCACAAAAAAATCAGACTTACCATCTGTAAGTTGCATGACAGTAACAAAGCACGGCAGATGTTGAAATAACACATGCGCTGGTGTAACATGCGCCAAGAGAAATAAGCAAAATATTTTCCCATACCATTCTTAGAATCTGTAATCAAGCTAAGTAATACGACATGACGATGGCTTAGAAAACCATAATAATTGATTCTCACATAGCTGACGCTGCTAGTGCATGCTGTGGCCTCAGTAGTCTTTACGAGCTCTGCCACAAAGCATAAAACAAATATCTGAAACAAACCTCCACTGTGCTTCTGTGAGTATACTACACAATTATGTTAATAATGACTGCATGAGTTCAGTCTGCATAACCTTGGCATATCACGGTGAAGTAAAAGTTATGTCCAGCTAAGGATGCAGCAAATGTACATTCATGGCCCAATAAAAAAAAAACACGTAAAGAGCAAGTATTCAAGTATAGAAAAAATGGGTTAAGCTACATTTTTAAAGTACGAGTGTAAGTATGAATTGAATTCAAATAGGGTTGTGACCCCCCCTACTCCTCCCCCTCCGATGCCAAATCTACAATGTAAATAAACGGCTACGAAACGCCTTGTAATGTACCTCAATGAACTTTTTGTGTGACAGCAGCTGCTTGTCCATGGCGTCGATCTGCGCCTGCAGGTCTGCCACCTCGAGGCGCCGAGTCTCCAGAAGCTCCTCACGCTGTGTCGAGGCTTCCTCGAGGGCTGCTTCCAGTTCTGCGAGGCGAGCTGCAAGGACGTCTCGCTCCTGGTCCTGGCTGCGCTGCAGGCGCCGCTTCTCCTCGCTTAGCCTCTCGTGCTCTTCCAGCAGCCCTACTCACCGACATGCATGTAGGCGCGAGCGCAAAGGAAAGCAAGCACGAAGGGTGAGGAAGGAGCAGGAGGCATTGGCATCGAGTGGAGACAGAGTACTATGTGGCTAATTGCTGAAAATTAGTGCTGAAGGCGGCGTAAAGGTACTACACTTACGGACAACATTTCAATGCCATGCATGCGAAGCTACAGGAGGCAGAGGTACTGCACAGACATCACTATACGAAAGCAGTCTACACAGGTGAAGGGGCCCCTCTTTCACTTTCAGATGTTATAGTATAACTGCAGCATTGATTTCAAAGACTCATATTATGGTCGTGACAAACATCTTCAGGAAAGCACTAAACTTTAGATCTAATATACAACTGCTTGTTTTTTCATTCTCACTAATTGTGATTAGCAAGATACTCTTAATTACGATGCACTGTGCATGTAATGTGTCCAGTGTCTGCAAATGCATAGAACTTCACATTGACAAGCCTTTTACTAATCAAAGCCATTAAGTACTGCCATCTTGCGGAAGCTGCGGGCAACATGCATGTTATTGATAACATGGCATATATACATAGCACAAATTTACAGTAAAGTCTTGCATAAAATATTTCCATGTGAAATGCATGTTACAATATTCAGCATTATTATGAGAGTGCATCCCTAAATTCATATTCAAGAAACAAAATTTAAATTTGAAGCAATACTGAGCAGCACTATTATACACCTGCTCTGCCTTTGTAGCTATGGCTGCAAAGCCACGAAAAGTTGGCCCCAAATATAGCACAGCCCTAACAAGACAAGGACACAACTGTATAAGTAAACATGCAGACCCTGCTGCTATGCCAACTACACGGCTCTTCTCGTGCTCTTATCTTGTTTGCTCAGCACTAGTATTCCAAGATGGTATACCAAGCGTGCACTGCAGACTGAATGATGTAAGAACCCAACAACTGAGAGAAACACAATAATAATGCAAGCATAGTTTTCTTTTTCTCTCTCAGTTGCCTGCAGTGCAGGTTTTCAAGGATGACCATGACATACATGCCAAACATTAAGCGTTGCAACAGCAAGTACAAGCTTCAGCTGAGTTGAAAATAAAAAGAAAAGTGGCCAAGATGACAAAACAGACTCAAATGACAGGACAGAACACCTATTTTTCCTTTCTTCATTACTGATTTGACTGATGTTTACCACAAGTCAACCAATCTGCACGTTCCAAGGGCAAAACCTAGACGTCGCATGTAGGAAACACCTGACATCACTGATGAGGTCAGACGCTCTCTAGCTGTAATACTACCTTAGAGAACTTCAAAGTTGGGCCAATATTTAAAAAATCCCATATTTCCTAATATTTTTCATGGAACATCTATTAATTAACTTAGCTTGCTTATTGATGAGTGCACAGTGCGATTCACTGTATCACAATAACTGCACAAAAGCTGTACAAGTCGATACGCTGGTCGTACGACTAACACTCTTTAAGTGAAGCTTCAAAATTATGGTTTACCCGTCTTCTAGTTATACCAAGCATTTGTTAGGCATGTATTAATAAGGCTCTCTCTCTCTCTCTCACACACACACACACACACACTCACACACACACACACACACACACACACACACACACACACACACACACACACACACACACACACACACATGCACGCACGATGTGCAAAGACAAACAGTGGTCACTAAAGTATGACTGTTCGGCATATAAAATTATTCGTTAATGAGATCTCACGAATAGAGGAAGCCTCTGTTTGTCTGAAATAAAAAGCTTAAGTTTCCTTGACATAGAATAGAGAATTCAAGAATTTTTCTTTTGGTACATCGTTCACTAATGTCTAACTTACATCAGGTCTGCCCCACCTAACAAAAAAACCCTTCAATCTCGGATTTGCTTTGTCGATAAAATGGACAAAAAAAGTTCGTTTACACTGTCCGATAAACAAGGAAAAACACCAAAATACCATAAATGGCATTTGCCAAACCATACATGAAGAGCAAATGCTTTGTCGTTGCTATGTTAAACTTAGAAATTGCATCTCAAACCCAAGTATAAAACGCTAATCTCTGCATGCAAAATAGAGATGTGCAGGAACCCACACAAGTACAATGTTTGCACAAGGCCCTATTTTTTGAATGCATGCAACCTGAAAATCACTATTCCATGCACAGGCAAACACTCTTCAGTAGTTGCGCTAAGCACAAAACAGGGCCATCACACCATGCATGGTTAGTATGCGACGCTGTGACTCCATGCTATAACGAAAGAAACAAAGTATACTGACCAAATACAACTCTAAAAGAAAGACGTTTTATCTCCAGATAGAAACCTTGTTCCCAATGCGGTCAACTACCAGAAAACATACACTTGATTGACCTTATTGTGGACAACGCACAGATTAGAAGACAAGTGAAAGGTCTTTCGTCTAACTTTTATTCGGTTGGTGTACTTTGTTTCTTTTGTCATGTTTCATCCTGACTGCCCGCTGAACTTTAGATTTTGACTCTATGCTATGAATAATTTTTCAACAAACAAGATAAAACCGTGAACATTCAAAGATGGCAAACAAATGCACTCAAATGCGAAACAAACCATGCACCTCACAATTTTGTTAAGAAATAAAGACCACAAAACAGACAGAAAGTGCAGCCAATCCACACCAACCTTCAGGCGCTTCAGTCGGTGCTTGCTCAGATGTGGAAGTTGGGCATGGTGCTTAAAGAGGGTTGCAGAAAGAATCAAAGAGCGAGAGAGAAAAGGAAGAAAAAAGCAGAACAAGGTTTCAGAAAACAAAAGAATAGAAGATAGCATAAAGTACACCAATAATCTGTAGTGCTAGAAACTTACAAGGGCTGCCAGCAGCAGCCGAAGGCCTTGCTGCGGTTACGGCGGGCCAGACTGAAACTGCCACAATTTGCCTACTCATGAAATTTGCATAAGTGTGCCCTGGCCTGGGGCTTCCATTTACAGAGCTTCAACACGTCAAAAAAGATGTGTTAAAACAGTGTTCTCCAACTTGATGAAGTTTTCTTGCAGTAGGTGCTTTGGAATGCTACAGCGAAAATTTCCAACATGAGGATTGCCCGGATCTCCATTTCTGAGAGCTTTGCTCTGAAACCAGCTGGCTGTACCCAGTGTGTTTGAATATATGTGCATGATGCAGGCAGTTAACAGCCGAGGAAAGTAAAGCGTAAGGCTGGGCAACGCCCGTGTCAACCTAGGTAACTACAGACAACTGATAGCAGCGATGTTTTGAACCAATCAAAGTGCTACAGTATAGTGTACCTCGGCTTTATACTCAATGAATCTTTAAGGTATGTGACAGAATAGAATATCTTTGCTGTTCATGAACCCAGTTAGAAAAACTTGGTATCGCTTGTACATTTTATCTACGTAGTAGACTCATAAACTGGAACCTCGATGGACCAGAAAAATGTGTCCCATTTAACAGGAGTTCCGTTTACTGAAAGATGAGCGAAGGTGGAGCATCCAAGCGAAAAACCAATCGTGCTGAATCAGTTGTGCCGATTAGGCAGCAGTTTCATTAAACAGATTTATGTTTACTGAGAGTCTGCTGTACTTATTACAGAAAAAGAGAAAACTATGCACTAGCAAGAGGAAAGTTTGATTAGGGTGTTTTATGTATTCAGAAAGAATCAAATTTTTTTAAATTATAAGAATAGAGGTCAGCTGTGAATCACAAGAGAGGTGCTCAAAATTACTGTTGTGAACTAAAATAAGTAATTTGAAATATGAATCGAGGTTCATATAGTTGAAATACTGTCAGGAAAAGCTTTAAGAATGAGTGTTCATGAAATGTGTCTTTATTGAAATTATAATTACTAAAAAAAATGGCTTAAGAGTAAGCAGTTGACAAAACCAGGCATTGTTGCAAACTTCTATAACTTTTGCTTGTCACAGCAAAGTCTCCTACTGTTCTGTTATATGCTACAACACAGTATAATAAAGCAGTGACTGTTTATCATCATGAAAGGAGAATAATGGTGGCTGATGCTTGCTGAATTTCAAGTGATATTTCCTTGCTCACAATGAAATGTATAAGGAGGATGGTTTTCTGCATGAGTAAATAACTCATCTAGATGGGGAAAGCGAGAAAAGTTATGAAGACTAACAAACAAAGTGTTTTTAAAGGTGAAGGTGTGTTCTTGTAGAGTTCTTCTTTCCTTCTATTTGCTGCTTTTTTCTTAGTGCTTTCCACATCTAAATTGTTTAAGGATTCTCTTCTAAAACGCAATTGGGAAAGGAAAAGCAAGAAGTGGGAAGGAGAATCCAAAAGATATAGCAATGAAAGTACTAACTGATGCAATTAAATGTGAATCTAGCTACTTTTTTTGTGGCTATGTGCTCGCACACTGCACACAGATGCATCTTTTTCCGGACCAACTTGCTGACAAAAGGCAAGAGCTAAGTGAACTACACAAAGGTCACTGAGGAAGCCGATAAATGCCCACTTGAAAACACTTATGCATAATAAGTTGTATATAAAGTTGTACCACGGAGTAAGATAAGACGGGAGTGCCAATTCAACCGCTGCGCAATGCATTTAACTCAAACAAACTAAATAGATGCGGGTTGTCTTACTCATTCTTTTGCTCTCACCCTCTGCTCCTTTTTATGCTTTTGCTCATCCTTTATCCTTCCCTTACACTCTCATCTGACTACTTACAATGCACAGTGCCATCTGTCAAGACGCGTGGCAATCATTAAGCAACCTACTTTAATGAGTGCCTGCACTGACTGGTGGAGGCCAGCGGTGTGTACAGAGCAGATGACAGAAAGAGTGGGCAAGCAAATGGGGAAGCAGCAAAGCAGGACTAGGTATGAGAGAGAGACCCCCCCATTTCATGGCTCTGCTCAAGGAACAATGCCTCTCCTCCACAGATTTTTTTCATTCGTAGCACCATCTGGTGAACACACTGTGAAGCAAGATCTGGCATTGTAGAATGTGTACCATTATATACGAGCAGAGTCGGCGCTCCTGTCTGATCTTACTGCGCGATTTCTACTTTGGTAACTCCACATTAACATGCAGCTAAAGGTGATCAAAAAGGTGTCCAGAGAAGCACTCACTGATCTGAGGCTCGTGCAGCCCCTCGCGCAGCATGCGGCGTTGCTCCTCTAGCAGCTGGCGCTGTTCCCCGAGTGATTCCCGAGCGTCCTCAAGGCGCTGAGCTTGCGCCCGCAGGCTCCGCACCTCACGCTGCAGCTCTGTTTGCTGCTCTTCTAGCTGAGACACCATGTCCTCGAGGTGCTGCTTCTCGTGCTCCAGGGCACGCCCTCGCTCTAGGCAAAGGAACGAAACGCAAGCAAAGATGAGCCCCCAAAGAAGAAAGCATGCTCCACCCTTTGCAGCAAAGTCCAGTGTATCGGTGGAGAACTCCAAAGTTAAAAGAGAGAAAGGATTCCATAGCTCTACGCTCCGAACAGCATTGCAATGACTACATGACTATGAGGTTCCAAAAGATACACTGCAAGCAGTGGACAAGGTGAGTGTTGAAATATAAACAAAGAGTTTAATACCAGTTTTGCACCATTCTATTAGCGAAAAAGATGATGATAAATCATGCCACAATCTCTGGCAGGGCGTTGAACAACCAATTATAAATTTGCAAATGGTGCACCTAGCCTGGATATGTGTATCTCTTTCTCAGATGAAGAAGACTGCGATGGTCATTACAACTAAGCAGAATATGCATTTGAACCCCTCTATATGTAACGAATAACCTTGTAAAAGAGACCTCAGTGTGCCTTGACGGAAGCAGCAGTTGCTTAAAAAATGAGAATGTGGCACAAGCTGCTCACAAAAGATATCTCATTCAAGGGCCAAAAGCTGCACTCTGGAGTGTGTCTGTTATAAAGGAGTTCAACTATATAGCACTGGCAGCTAGCTATTTTGCACAGACAGCTGTCTGAGACATGTGCAGCATGCATTGAAGACCATGCACAATGTGGCCTGTGCGTCCAAATCTTGTGACGACCTCTACCTTGAGCGTGGAGGAGGTCCAGTGCCAGCTGGTTGTGCAGCTGGCTTTCCTGGCGCAACTCCTGGCACAAATCTCGGTTACGTTGCACCAGGCTTCGGAAGTCTTCCCCGCGGTGCTCCGAGACCTCTGCTAGCAGTCGCAGCACCCGGTCTACAGCCGTGCGCAGTCGGCGACTTGCCCCTGCAAAGCAGATCGGGGGTCAAAGGTGATGCCTGTTCTACAGCATCCGTTGTGGTTTGGGTCCCAATTTTTAGTCTTGTTTCGCCAGCTGAGTGACATATCTTGGTGTGTGAGTAAAATATAACAGTCGCATGTCAATATAACCTGCGTCATGCTACAAATGGTAGACAGCAAAGTGTACGCAGAAAGTGGGTAAAGTTAGGAGTAAAGAAAAGAAGGAATACTGTTAGGCATCCTCATGAAGTTGAGCCCTTCTTTACAAAACAGTACAAGACAGATGGCTTTTTCACACTTACACCCTCCTGTGCTCACACCAGAGTTCACGGAATGTGCAATGTGCCTTCGCTAGGTATTTTTGTGTACAAAGAAAGCAGTCCCTAGATAATATTGTCTAGCTATAGTGCAGCTCAGTTAGAGCCCAAAGAAAAGATGGATCAGTGAAGAAGAGAAAAACAGACAAGATGAGTGCTGTTCCATCTTTTCTTCATGCTCAAACTGAGCGGCGCTCTGGCTATACGATATTATAATGCACCAACTTGCCGAATCTGCAGTACTAGATAATATCTTGCACCAGCCCACTTTCCTTAACAAAATGTACACAACAATGAGTGGTAGTTCACATGTTTTTAGGGGCGAAGCTCCTTAGGGCGTGGGCTGTGCGTCCCCTGTAGCCTGTATGTAGCCACCTCTAGTTTAGTTCTTGCAGTGTTCACTAGATGGCGGTACCGTCCCCTGTATGTAGCCACCTCTAGTTTAGTTCTTGCAGTGTTCACTAGATGGCGGTACCGTCTCCTGTATGTAGCCACCTCTCGTTTAGTTCTTGTAGTGTTTACTAGATGGTGGTACTTGTAGCTGATGATGAAAAGATGCAAGATGTTATAAACTAGAAAGCGGTACTTGTAGTTGATGAAAGACGCGAGATCTTATAAAATAGGAATGATGTCACATATGGCGCGTGTCATTGGTTGAAGGCAATCGTTCGATTTAGTGCGGCGACGTACGCTAGGGGGAGCGTTGTAATAAAATCCGTTCGCTGTTGGCGCGCGCTCGGAGTCGCCGGATGGATAAGGCTGCACAGCGGAGAAAGTGCAAGGCGGCAGCAGCGCGCGCTCGCAGACAGAATCCCGATGTGCAAGCGCGCGAGGCAAGGGACATCGCAAGCCATCCATCGTCTAAGAACAAATAAAAGTTGATTTGTGTATATACACACACAGCGTTTCTCACGTCTTTACATGATGATCGACTGGGTGAATTACACGGAAGATTCACAGTTTACCGATGAATCCCTCCGGAGCTTCGCCCATTCATCATCATTCACCCCGTGAATATGCCGTAATTTTTTATTTAGAACCTACATCTCACCCCCAGTTGCCAATCTAATGTGGTGCATGCGGCAGCATTCAGCAAAGCCAAGGACCACTAGTGTGAGATATGCCTCCCCAAGAACAAGCCACAGCTGTTCCCCGGAATAGCTCACCAAGGACAACATCCTCGCCCTCCATCTCCGAGGTGTCCTGCATTCCAATGGCTGAGGCAAACATATCCCACGTTCGCGGTGTTAGGTCAGGTCCATCCTCGCAGAGCTCAGAGAGGAAGCCATCGGCAAAGTCTTCCTTTGAGCCTTGGGTTTGGCAGCTCATACCTGCAAGAGCACAACAACCCTTATGAAAAAAAGAAATCGACACTGCAACTAATATTCAATGTATATTTTTCTTTATTGTATTCAACTAATTTCTCATCAGTTGTGTATTGGCAGACCCTGGCAATAGCAGGATCGAATATTTATGTGAGGATATTTCGAAGGATTAAAAAAAAAGGACAAATAAAAATAACTACTGTTGAATGTTTAATGAACAACTTTGGCAAATTTGACGTCTAACAAGTAAGAAAGTACCTTAATCAAAGCAGAAATGGCTACCTGTAACCACACACTTTGTAATTTCTGTAAACCACATTAAAAGGCCTGTATCCCTGCACCCCGAAAGTATGACCAAATTGTATATCTCAGTTTAAATGGGATTTGAAAAAAAAAAGCAATAAAATTAAAAAAAATATTAGGATTAAAGAACAGCACACTAACCCCCAAGGCTAGAGTAGTCTTCGTCAGCAGCCGTGTTGGAGGCCGGTGAATCGACGCGTGACAGCCCCAGCTGACCGAGAGCATCCTGGATCTCCTGCTCGGTATCCACGTAAGTCTTTACGAGATCAGACAGCACATTCAACAGACGCGTATTTGTCTGTGCTGTGTGCCTGAAATGCAAATGAGGAAGGAGGAGCCCGGGAAGCGGGGCACAGGTCGTGGAGACGAGACTCTTGATGAGACCAGGGCCCAAACTCTCAATGATTTCATGTAATGCCCAATCTTATGAGACCTATGACGATCACAATGCATAGAGTTTCCTAAAATTAACTAGAAGGAACTCTGGCATTGCGATCGCTAAACGACCATGGGAATGATAGGGTAGTACATAGATTTGCCTAGTCTCCGTGCTTGCAGGCACACTTTGTGACTTTGTTTACGGCAGTGTTTTGGTTTTGTTTCGAATAAAAAAATAAGGACCGTTTTGAACTTCGTGACCGGATTTGAATTGATGAGCCAAAAAGGTGGTGAAGTGCAACCACCAACGCCTAACATTTGCTGTTTGTCATTTTATAATAAAGCAGCTCCGAGCCACGTGATGACAAAAGGAGCCGAAAGTATGAAGATTTGGCAAATCTATGTACTACCCATTATTTCCACGCTTACTTAAGCACCGTGTGTTGCAACACCCATAGACACTAGCGCCGCAGTTCACTCTAGGGTATTCATAGAAAACTCCAAGACACGATGTACTGGACGGGGCTCTATGCAAGTTTCTGCAGACTATGAGGACACTGCTGTTAAATGTTGCTGGATGAGACACCCGCGGTGAGAAAGCCACAAACTGATAATTAGAAACAGATTTCCAAAGTGCACGTATCGAGCCTCATGAGGAGTGTACTGAATCGCATGTCGTGCAGAACTGCGCATGTTCAGAGAAATTAAGGAGGTACGGTAAGTTAAGCAAGTTGTCTTGGTTTCAGTTTTATATCTTAAGAACCGTTCTGTATTTAAGAAATCTTGTGCATTCAACAAAAAAGTTCTGGGCCTTCATTATGCCTAATGTTTATCTCATAGCTTTTTCTTACTTGTTTTAGAGTAGAATGCAAAATAAAATGTCCCTTTCCAGACACAAGAAACAGTATGATTATGAAATTTTACAGGCTAATTTCATTTAGTAGTGGCATATCCCTTCTTAAAAGAATGAATTCCTACATTTATCTCACAAAAAAATAAAAACATTTTCTTCTATTGTCAGGGGCCGTGAAAAAAAGATCTCCCAATTAGTCTTGCTTTTTATTAATCATAGCTTGCTCAGTTTTTCAGAACTTCAGGTTCAGACTATATGGAAAAGACACGTATAGTGTTAGAAACTTTCTGTGCAATCGCTCAGTTTTTCAGAAAAACTACATCCTCTGGACAATTTTCAAATATCCTATACTGGGAAGAAGGTACTTTTATTTTTAAAGATGTGTGCTAAAGTACTCACAAGAAAAATAAATGAATACGCTACAAAAGCGTCTTTGGTGGGACAATCTGCAATAAAAGCTCATGAAACTGATTGATTGATATGTGAAGTTTAACGTCCCAAAACCACCATATGATTATGAGAGACGCCGTATTGAAAGGCTCCGGAAATTTCGACCACCTGGGGTTCTTTAACGCGCACCTAAATCTGAGCACACGGGCCTACAACATTTCCGCCTCCATTGGAAATGCAGCCGCTGCAGCTGGGATTCGGACCCGCGACCTGCGAGTCAGCAGCCGAGTGAGTATCTTAGCCACTAGACCACCGTGGCAGGGCAAGCTCATGAAACTGGCAGGAAATTAATATATTTAACCAATATACCCATACTTCTGATAAAAAATACACCCACCCAAAAACAATGACCAAAAGCGTGTCAACAAGCCTCTGCAACCGTTGGAAGACGTGGGTTATTTTGGTGACATTTTTAAATGGCTCTGAATGCGCTCGCCAAGACATGCTTTCACTTCCCAGTGTATTATTTTTTACTCATGAAACAAACAACCCTTATTTGGGCAGGAACGAGCAGAGGACAGAAGATTTATAGTAACATGAAAGAAAGAAGTGACAGAAATATAATAGCTGTATTGTCCTCAAATGATTGCGATGGAGAGTCGAATCGTAAAGATGGTGCATCTTTACAATTAAAATGCTACAACGAAAAAAACAACAAAACTGAGCAATGTTTCAAAAGAGCTACTGCCAAGTTGAAATTTATCTTTTAACTACAATGCAACCTCACAAACAGAACGAATGTTCATTACTCGCCATTCTGTCTGTTTTGCTTCTAGCGAGTCCAAGTACCTAATGTTTAGCCCCTCTCTTGCAAGTTCCAAGCGTGCCCACACCCCAAATGTCTGATAGTGTCAGATACCAAATCTGTCTCACGGTGTAAAGTTGATCTGCTGTGCATAGCATCTCCACAGTGAATCAATGAACTGATCAGCTGCCTATGCCTTTACCTTTAGGGCAGCCTTGTTTAGCATGTGCCATCTTTCATGTCTCGGCGCATTTCTCGGTTCCTTGTCACACACTCCCCAATTTTTTTTCTGCCCAGCACAGGAAACACATGTCTACGGTTAAAGATGCCTAGACCACTTCCGCATCTGTCGTGCTTCCCCGACAAGGCAGTTTAGGTTCTCTCGTCTCTTCCAGCAACATTTACAGTGACATGCCCACTATAATTGAAGCTTTATGTGTCACCCCGACAGCATATATAAACCGATATGAAAGTTCGTTAATCCATTTTTACGTTGTGCTTTGCAACTTGGTTGATAATAAAATAATTCTTTGCTACATTGTATACACTTCACGGAACATGAGGGCGGTGCTGCTAGAAATAAAAGCAAAGATATAGACATAATACCAAGAAAGAAACTTTAATGAAACAATAACTAATCTTGGTAAAAAGTGAAAGAAAGTAAGAGACAAAAAAAGAGCAAGATAAATTAGGAACACTACCAGAATTGCACAACACCAAAACAATGCCATGGAACGACTGTACCCCGGTCATGATAATAGCATTCAGCGAAAAAAACCTTACAACTTGAAATACAGGTTGAAGCTACTGCAGCAAGACCAGGAAGCATTGCCCTTTCCTTTATGCAGTAGCTGATTGAGAAAAGTACTGCCTGCCTGAAAACCTCTACTGATCCCTGATATCATCAAATTAAACAGGTACTGACACTCATTTTCAAAGCCGAGTTTACTCTGTCGCACAAACCTCCTGCATATAAAGATGACTCTGAACAAGTGTGAAGCTTGGGAAGTGCACATAATATACTTTAGCATTTGAAGTAAATTTTCACGTGGCGTTTTTAGTGATGCTGACACCAACGTTATGTCAAGCTACAATGCAGCAGTATGACTGGCTGTGATGATGTAAGGTGCAAGAACATAAAATGGCTGCTCACGCGACGCTTTCTTGATAGTTTGCTCCTGTAGTGCAGTCACTGCAGTACAGCAGACCCATGAGGTGAGTGAACGGAGTCGAGCTTGCGCTCTAGCGTCATATGTAAACGACAGTACACAGCTGATGTTTCTGATGCTTGCACCTTCTGTTGTTGGGCGAGTTGTAATCGGGTGAGCTTGCAGTGGGGTCTAATGCAAAATGGTTCATGGGGCTGGCAATTTCAGAATATTGCACCCTGCTTGATTTGTTACTGTCGTTTAAGAGTTGCTAGACAAAATACTGTTTTTCGTTGAGTGCACACTTGCTTGCCATACATAAAGCACCCCACAAACAGAGTGGCCATGCAAACGTAACAGTATCTTGTGCAACCACATCACCAGTAGCTTATACTGCGTCCTGACGTCAGAATACACTAGAACCGATACTAGCTTTTATAAAGACATGTTGTTATCAATTTTTTCAAAGTGCACTCAAGTTTAGCAGTAATTTGTCTGCACTCTTGAAGGCCGGGACTTTCTTTCAAAGCAAATAAATTACAACTGAGAAGATTTGTGCAGAATCCCCTTAAAGTGAGCAAATCAGAGAGCATAGAAGTCATGATGAATCAAGGATCCATTTTGGAAAATAAAGTATTTCTTGCTAAACTCTTGCCACGAGGTCTGGCATGATGCGAACAGTAGCTCAACCCATGTTTCAAATTATGAAGTGGGCTCTATTTCTGATGGCGCAATGGGGACAAATTAGTAAGAAAAGCAAGGAAATGAATAGGAAGTGAGGTAAACTTTTTATTGGCAAATAAAAAAAAGGAACAGCCATCTTAGGCTCAGCTGCACTGGTGAAAAGAAGAACACCATTTGCATAGAACGAACTTAGCAACAGCTCAAAGCTAAAACACACATCCCACCGAAATCTCTCAACCACTAAGAACGCCAAGAGCTGTGACATGCATAAATCCCCAGTGGCTAAAGCATGTGAGATCAATAGAATGAAAGAATATAGTAAGCTGAACTAATACGGATATGCTTTTCTTTAATAAAAGTGCTTGTGAAACCCTTCACTGGCTAGAAAATAGAATAGCTTAGATCAAGGCTAGGGATGACAGACAGCACAAAGGCATAGTTTTTTTTTTAATCCTTTAGGAATTGATTTTTTTTGTCAGTTCTAAGGCATGATTCACCAGTATAATATAGCAAAGTACCCTTATAGGTGGTAGGGTCACCAGGCTCAGAAACAGCATGCACTTCGAAGGTTACAGTGTAACAGGGACAAAGTACGCACAATGCATAAACACTTGTTTTATTGATCGATGTGACTGAGCACACGCACCAGCCAGACCAACCTCACAATGTTTTTTCTTTCTTTCTTCTCCCAACAAAATCCTACTGAAAGAAAGCTACACATCAGAGCAGTGCAATGTCAAGGAAGGAGCCAACGTTATCACAAACGCAAGGAAGGATCGGGTGAAAGCAATGTGGCTGCTTTCGGAACGAGCTGCTCACGTTGAAATGGAAAGACGGAAGCACTGCAGCACAGCAAACTTTCAAGACCACAGAGCAGCACAAAGCAATGAAGAAGGCAGTGGACAAGTAAAGAACTGTTCTTGGTGACCCACAGGCTCAATGTGCTCGCCGTTCCCTTACAGCAATACCAGTGCCATGCTCGCCTCTTTGCTCCACCCGAAATCCCGACCACGTATGCATAAAGCGCAGATCTCGTGATTCTCAATCCCTTTATAAAAAGCAAGAGCTTTCGTGTTTTATCCACAATTTTGCGTCATAATAATCATCATCATCATCAAGAGGACAGACACCTATCCAGTGTTTCCCCAATGAGCTCAGTCCTGTGCTAGCTGCAGCCACGCTATCCCTGCAAAATTCATGATCATCTTTATCTACCTAACTTTCCGCCTCCCCTCACACACTTGACTTCTCTTGGAATCCAGTCCGTTACTCTTAGTGATCAGCGGTTACCTTGCCTATGCGCTACATGCCATTAGTTACACTTGATTTCGACTAAAATGTCCTTAACACGTGTTTTTTTTACTGATCCACTCAACTCTTTTCTTGACTTTAGGGTTAAACCTACCATTTTCCTTTCCCCGGCTCACTGCGTTATGTTCAGTTTAAGCTGAACCCTTTTCCTAAGCCTCCAGGTTTCTTTCTTTCTACACTGTATGTAAGTACCGGTGAGTTGCACTTGTTGAGGGATATGGGTAAACTATCATTCGTGATCTGTGAATGTCTTTTGAATGTGCTTCGTTCCATTCTTATTCTTCTGATAACTTCGATCTTGGATCTTCCCCAAGTAGGCATGTATATCTGCCATACTTCAGACTGCTGATAACAGCTTTATAAAGGGACAAGATGACTGAAAAAAACAAAAAAAAACATGGAACTCACTTATGAGTTATAGTACCTTGCACTTTAGACTCAGTCGAACTCAGACTCCCGAAAATTTTCCTGAGCTGAACTCACTGGGGCTCACAGTCACGAAAACTTCTTTAACTGGACTCACTCATACTTAAACTCATCAAAATATTACTCACCCGGACTTATGAGTGAGTTTGTTGAACTATGGTCCCCACACACATCCAAATCCTGATATTGGTTGATAAATGTTCCCATTAATCATTAATTGGTTATCAATGTCCTTGTGCTCTTAGAAACTAGTCTACGTATAGCATGAGTGTTGTCCATTGGCAAATACTTCAAAAATTTTTCCACAGGTCTCCAGTGGCACATCCATAGAGGGGGAGGAAGGTAGGGGGTGATCGCCCCCCCACCTCTTAAAACAAGTCTGTGTCAGCACCCTCGCCATCACTTCACTGCTTCTAGTCTACCTCCTATCACCAATTAGGACAAATGAATGAAACTGCTGTGAGCTCACATTCACAGTGTTTATGTTATGAAGGGGTTTTTCTACTAGTAAACACAGAGAAGTCATGACTACGCCCCCATCTTTGGTGTTACTTCAGGCGATCCCCCCACCTTCCCCGAATGAGTGGCTGGATCCGTCCCCGTCCCAATCCTTCCCTTCTCATGTCAGAGCTACTGAGGATACTCAACACAAGCTTCGTGCCCTTGACAACAGACACACTACTATCACGAATTCTGCGTGGCATACTAATAATATGAGTAAATACCTACCAAAATTCTGCCTGATAATTGTATCACTAGGTTATGAAAGTGTTCTGGATTAGGTTAAGATGGCACTGTAATCGAGCGCTATAAAGCTACAGTGCACACAACTAACAAAAAGTAATCCCTTTTGATTAACACAGGATTGAGAAACACAACTTGCTGTCTCAATGCAGCTTGCACTCTGTCTGTGCGCAATAGTCAAGTGCAACACCAGAGATATGCACGACCCTGCATTTGCAGTGAAAGCAACACAAATGATAGTGTGTGACTAAAAATGCTTGTTAGTATGAGATGCCTAATCAAGAAGAAAGAAGGCTTGAACCACAACTAGGAGAAAAAAAAAACTAGAGAAAAGAATAACAAGGTTTCAAAAAAGGAGAGAGCATTATTTATTAAGAGAAATCTTTGTAGAAAGTACACAAGGTGTTTTGAAATGTACACTGTAAATGCTGTAAAAAAATGAGAAAAACCAATAAATGTCAAGCTAGAAAAATGCTCCTAAGTAAACCTCACTTGATAACGTTAAACAATATTTTAGGTATCTTATATGTGCATGTTTTTCATGCATAACGCCTTCCGTCTCTGTTGTGCTGATGAGTCATTAAAGTTCCCAAGTTATACGGCTACTGTTTATTTTTTATTGTTTCCAAACTTGCAGCATTTAACATACGCAATGCCCATATGGCAGGACCTAAGTAGTTTAACACCTCCAATTTCTGTATTTGTGTCATTTTTACTTATAAAAATGCTTATGGATTGCTAACTGGTTTTCCATAAAGTCACCACTTTCTAGCTCACTTTTTGAAAATTAATTTTCGCTGTCGTATTGCACCTGACCGAATATATCAGTCTCTCCAAGAGCACATATAAATAAAATAAAACAAAACATACTGACACCTTTCAGATTATGTTTTGCTTCTTATAGAATTGATCACCGAAACTTGTTGTGAAATAACCAATGCATACGAATACTTCGTCAGCTCATTCACATATGGCTGATAAACTTAATAGCAAATCTTCGCACGTTTTTGGTTCTATGCTGCTGCAATGCTGTGCACAGCTACGATTATGTCCGCGTACAGTGTGCGAGCAGCCGATTTTTGTTCTGCGGGGCAACACTTTGCGGCAGTTTCGGGCTATGACGTGGTGGCATGTCGGGAGCATGTGTGGACACAATAACCTTGCTGACCACGTCAGAGCCCGCAACTGCTGCAAGGTGTCGCCGCGCAATGCAAGAACCAACTGCTCGTGCTCTCTACACAGAGCATGGATCTGGCTGTACATGTAGCTCTCATGTGCATATTATCACAACAGTTCTATCAGTATACTCGTCCGACTCTTGCTGAGACACAGTGATGGGATTTCTGCGTGTAGAAATAAACAAATGGGAGTAAATAAAGAGCAACCGAGCACTAAAGACTTGTAATCTGTTGAAAACAAGGACTAAGAACAAAAAAAAAAATCCCAAGGTGTAGCACATCATGCAGGTTAATAAAGCAAACAAACTAAAGCGCTACGAGGAAGTAGGTAGATCCACTGCAGCAAATGCAAAGAAATCTGCACATTAACAAAGATAAAACAAAAAAGAATCTTGAATCTAGCAGCATGCAAGTAAACCCCTTTAAAAAAAAAAGATCAGGCAAAATAAAGCAGCAGCATAGAAAGAAAGAAAGGTGAAGAGAGGAGTCCCACAAAGCAACCACCAGAAATAGAGCATTACAGATGAACACAAACTATGAAACTAATAATAATAATAAAAAAGGTTCTATGAATGCACTCAACAGCACACCTTAAGGCTGCTTCCTATAACTATTCGATGCTAGATAACTTAATTTTATTATTTTGAACATGGTGGCCACAACCACATATTTAATTTCTCCTCCAGTGCACTTACAATGACGAAACAAAAACTTGTGGCTGGTATTAATTCCAATTTGTTAGTGAACTCTTACAGCTATAAAAACTAAAATTTTCGGGTTCCATGGCCTATTCCAAATTAACAGCCATTACTTGGAATGCTTATGTAGACAAAATTATGTACAAAAGTGTTGGAGTGTCTCACTTCTAAAAATGTTAAAAGTGAGGTAGTCTGTTAAGCGTTGTGCAAAAATATATACAAATATTTCTCTTTTAAGGTATAACAAAATATCAATTTATTTTACTACTACATAACTAGCTATTCATGCTAACATGATCCCTATCCTAGAACATTTTCGTTAGCATAAAAAAAATAGCAAAGCTTCCATGATAAACTTGTAGAAACATTTCTTAAAGAGGGCAGTCTTCTGAATTCCACCTTATCCTCAAAGCTTCAGTTGTAGATAGGTGAGTAACTATGGTATTGCACAACTCAAATTAGCAAACACAGTGCTGGGTTATAAAATATATAACCTTATGGCAATAGCATAGCCTTAGAGTGCAAAATATCTGAAGCACTGCGGTGCAAGCTACCTCCATTACGCACACTTTTGCCATGACGAGCTATAAAATTCTTAATGCAAATGCATCTTTTGAGTAGCGATACCAAACAAAATGTTTGGGCCTTTACATATTGCAGGTGTTGGAAATAGGCTATTTATTTTCAGCAATGATAACACCGTATAAATTTCATCAGTGTTAATGCGGCACTTTATTTGTAAAAGTGGAAAGCCACACTAACATCATTACGAGTACTGCACGAATACGCAAATATGGTACATAACGCTCTGTAAACTAAATACACCAGGAGTAACTTAATTTTCAGCTACGTAATTACAAAGCAGACTGAACAGAAAGGCCTGCCTCAACACAAATTCTGAGCTAGGGTCGCTTAAGTGTTCAGTAACTTAGCGGAAATATCCTACCAAACATGTAACACGATGAATGACCAAAGTGCACTGGAGAGAATGGGTGTGCGCTCAATATTGCAGCAAGCCTTCCCTCCAATGACGCCCCTAGACAAGCAGAATCTGGCGAGTCAAAGGTAGGGTCTGGGAACGGGGAGCAAAGAGGGGAAGCAGCACGGGGGTGGGCCCAGAAGAGCAAAACCGAAAATTGAAGAAAAAAAATAAAGGTATGTAATGCATGTAACCCCCAGTGAGTTTTCAATTTAGAGCGATGCACTTACAGCTGCCAAGACTGAATCTCATTGGCTGTCAGCCCTGAGCCTGCGAGCCACTCCCTAGAACAGAAGACACCACCACTGCATGTGTAGAGCTGGCCGGCCTTCTCTTCCGAAAATGGCCGACAAGGGCTTTGCGGGAGTCGAAGGTCGTGGGGGTAAAAGGATGGCACACAGGAAGGCGTGGTGCGGTGGTGCAAGGTAGGGAGGAAAAAAAAAGTACACACAGGCAAGGAAGAAAAATCAGGGAGGGTGTGTGCGTACACATATATGCGAACAGAAAAAAAACTGGCAAAATAGACAAGTTTTAGTAGAGCGTTGCGGTTGCCTACGCATTTTCACCGCGAATTGGCTGACGGCCACGTCATGTGCATTCGTATCAAACCGTGGGCGCACACTCAATGAGAGCTCAGCATCCTGCACGGCTAAAGAATGTGCGACGCCAATTGTCATAATGCCATAGGGTATACTAAATCAAAGCACTTTGGGGTAAAGACGAAGCCTGTTGTTAGGCCAGATGCTGTCAAAAGGCACAGGTGATCACAAAAATGACTGTGAAATAGGGCTAATGCAGTTAAACCTCATCATAGTGAAGTACCATTAGGACCATTAAATTAGTTTGTTATATCTGACATTTGCTACAGCCGAATAAATACAAATTGGCACTAACAAATTGAAAATCAGGCTTGCACGAGAATCCTAAATAAAGAACAAGTTATTATACAAGCTTCAAGTCCATCACAAGCGAGGCCATTCATGGCGGTCTTCTCGTGCCATTTAAAACGTACCAGAATGAACCATGAGAAGGTGAAATTGCAACAGAACAAAGTTTGTTCGACAAAACAGCTCTGCGTTTCTATTTATTTCAAGGGGGATGCAAGCACAATTTAAAATAAATTTTTTCATAGTGTGGCCACACGAAAAGAGAGAAAGAAGAGGTGGTGATTTGTTTTTATACAGTCGATCGCGAATATATCAAACTCAGATATATAGAATTATTGGCTATATCGAACAGCTGAAAAATCCCCTTAAATTTCCCATGCAAAACTATGGAACCGGTGCACCGGTATATCGAACTCTCGCACAGCAAGACATCCACTATATCGAATGCTGCGTCGCGCCGAAGCCCAGAAAGTCCATTTTTTCTAGCAAATATTCATCAGTTTTTGGCCATGTTCTAACAAGTTCCAATCTTTTTTCGCGCGCAATCGATGAAAAAACTATGTCATTTCATCGCGCTGATCTAGTTCGCTGCACGGCACTTGAGATTACATCCGTCCATTTGATACGTGATCTGCAGGTCTTAGCGCATGGGCATAGTGTTTTCCAAAAGACTGATTGCCGGGGGCACTGAAAGAGAATGCGAAGTGACTTGGTAATCTCAGCGCAATGTTCGCATGTGGTTCACATTCCCTTCCTTGTTTGTTAGCGCACAATGGCATGCGAGCCTGAAAAGCATGGCCTTCGAGATGTGCAATTTTGTGACGTATTTTTTTAGTGTTTTCGGCTTCAGAACGCATATCTCGGAGGCTACGCTTTCTTTATCGTTTTGCATCAAAGTTGCTAAAAGCAGTCACTGCCAGCTACAAAGCCACAGTGACATTGATATCACCAAAATGTAGACGAGAACTCCTACAAACTCGGCGTTGCGTTTTTTGCGCCTTGTGGCCTTCTCGCCTCGTTCCTGAAAAATCTTCATTCGGGAGTTGAACTGAATGTTGACCCACACGCAGAGATAAAAATTATGACTGGCGCTCGGAGCGACGTCAAGTAAAACACTGTCGTAAACGTTCCTTGCGGGAGAGGTGATGACTTCGGGTGCCTCATGATCGCTGACAACGGCGCGCGATGGCTCGGTGAATTATGCAACTTATTAGCGTTTTCAGGCACCATCTTAAACAGTAGCGACTTCATCGGTACAGATTACGAAGTTTCTGACTGCATCGATGCTGAAATTTTGGCTGCCGCGGCCAGTGCCGCGGAAGTGTAGCCGTGTGGTTATGAATGCGCCTACCCCTTTGCTCCCGCTGCTAACCAAGCTTTTGCCGCGCTACAGAGCTTGCATCGACGTTCTGCATCAATCAACGTTGTGACCGAAGGAGCTAAGCTCGTTTACTTGAAAAGCATCAATGATATTGAGGATGACTGGAACTTGATGGCGTGCAAGAAGTAAGACAAGTTTACGGACTGAATAAAGTGTGGTAACCTGCAGCTCGCATCTTGTTTTTGTGCGAATCGTTACGTTAGCTTTTGTAACGATTTCCGAGGCCTGAAGTTCTTCAATTTAGGCCTTAAATATACATATTTTATATTTAGAATTCTCAATATATCGAACTATTTCACGATCCCCTTCGAGTTCGATATATCCGGGATTGACTGTAAACGTATTATTCCTTTAATGCTACCCTTTGAGTTTTAAGCCCCACCCAAACCAAACATTTGCTTGATACAGCTGATATTGCGGCATATGCATTTTCGGTTTTGTTATAGAAATTATAAATTTCTTTGGTTGGCCACTAAGCGTGGCCAGCCAAAGCGTGCATTTAGTTTGACACAACCTACACTTCACTATATTAGTATTCGTTATGATGAGGTTAAATTGTAATACATCTTCAATGAAAGACAACTCTGAGCAATAGATAACATTTACATACTGCTCTTGCGATAACAAGCAAGTAAAAAGGCGAAACTCGAATTGAAGATGGCATCATCATGCTGACGCTGCAGTTGCAAAAGCCATGCAAGGTCCACAAACACTAAAATAAAATGCTAATATACATAGACAACTTGCAAAACTCTTCATGGCATTGCCTAAAATCATATATAAGGTCAGCTATTTCGTGATTTCGTGTTAAAGGGTTTGATGTGCATGTGAAACTAAAGCTCTCTGATGAATGTAGGAATGGTCACGGTGAAGAGGCATGACAAAGGTGCGGATGAGAACAGGAATTGACACACCACTGAGGGGGGGAATAAAACAAGCAAGAGGCAGGGGTGGAAACAGCAACAAAGGCCAAACAGCACAGTGCTATAAACATAAAGAACATAAAGAAAATCAATCATATAAAACACAAAAAGGCATTCAAAGGGTAACTTTTATGACTATATACACGGTGTTTCAAGAATCCTGTCTGAAAATCCTTGAAAAAAATTCAACCAGCCCCACGTCGCGGACACTGATGAAACAGCGAAGTTGGTGGCTTACACAATACTTCACTTGACAAATTATTTTAGCTGGTTGAATGAAATGGGGTTGAATAAAGCGAGAGCAGTGGTAGAAGTAGAAGCCTAGATTGAAAACAGCTTTGTGGGTAAAGGAAGGACAATGCAATATCTGCTTGCTGCTTTCATGATTACCTTTTTCGTAGTGGCAGATGCATTAAAATAACTAGAGACATCAGCTACAGTAGTAATTAAGGAAATTACGCACTTCGGTTTTGCCGATGAGGTTGCTTGTATTCTATTACTCCGCCGTAATTACCAGAAGTCGCCTTTCCGAAATCTCAAAGCCAAAAGGCATCTTTGCGGAAAGAACCTCAATTCTCAGGCCTGTCCACTTCTCTCCGATAGTTACCTATAAACTCAATTATTTTAATTGATGCCTCTAGTTATGGTGAGATGTCTGCCATTACAGAAAAAGTAAATTTGAAGGCAGCGAGAAAATATCCCATTTTCCTTGTTTTTGAGGGTTTTCAGAATCATTTTTGAAACACCCTGTATTATCTCAAACATAGGTATAATCTACAAGGAAAGTATCCTGAACTGTCTACACAGCAGAAACTAAGTGGGACTGTACCTAAAAAATTTTGACTGGTTAGAGCTAACTATAGTTTAGAATATAGGCCAATAGATTGCCGACATGAAAAATTTATTGAAGAATGACTCTAGCTTCAGTGATGGTGATCATAGAATTCATCACTGGCATTGTCACGTATGATTGACATTGCTCACCTGCGCTAAGCCTCTGCACGGCCCCCACTTTATTATTCTACTTATTAATCTAGTTTTCGTAACTAAACACATGAATTGCACCTTCTTTTGTAAATATGACAAAATTGTGCTTTGCCTTAGCCGCGACAAGAGGCCACACTCTTTACTTGCGTGGAGCCGAAATTCACACTTAATTTAGTATGACAATTTTACAGTTATAGGTTGAATGAGCTAAGCGAAAAAGAGAGCCAGTAGATTGGCCACTGTGTCAACTTAACAGATTCGCTCAAAGGCTATGAGCGCACAATGGGTACGCCGGCTTCACTTCTCCTAAATGGACAGCTGGCTCTTGTTATGAACTGGTTTATGCAAGGGTGTGACATCTGCTGTAAGGTGTGACATCGCCGAGATGGCATACACACTTGTTGACGAGACAGCACTGCATACAAAGTGGCGACCCATAGAATGCCTAGAAGTGCGATAAGTTGGGCGGGTTTGTACAGATGCGTGACTGTGATGTTTAATAAGTCTCTAGCTTTCACCTCTGTGTCATATGTGCCCCTCATTTGAAGCCTTGTAATGCTCCTTGCAGCCAAAGGCACAATGTTGTCAGGCACATTTTGGCAACATGGACTGAGCATGTCAGTGCCAATCTAAGATGATTGGTTTGATTTGCAAAATCTCTGCCGTGTGTTAGGCAAGCACAGCTTTTGCCCAAAAAGCTTACACCCACAAACTAACCCCCGTATTCAGAAACGCTCTTTTAATTGAACTTCACTTGCCACTGCCTCAAGGCATGCACCTGAAACACGCTTGTGCTGCCTTGGCAACGCTCAAAGACAGTGCGTTTGAAATGCGTTAGTGATGCACTGCAGACCGTGGCAAGTGAAGTTCAAGTCAAAGAGCGTTTCTAAAAAGGGGGTAAGCATAGCACATCTTAGCTTATGAAAACCTGTTTACAGGATTAACTATATGGACATTAGCAGCTATCTATATGTGAGCGTATCTCGGCATGTCTCACCCTATCCTCTGCCCCCGTTATTTGTTAATGGTCAGCAGCAATACGCAGTGGTGGCATGGCTTGTGTTAGCTATACTATGACTAATGTTGGCTAATGCTAATTAGTGTTGGCAAAATAAAGATAAGCTTAGGCTAACGTAAGGCTATCCACTGTTATAAGGCCAACATTCTCTTCACTCAATATTAACCCATTGTTCTTGACATATGTAGGTAAATAGAAAGACACCTCATTTGATTCTGCCTGATGTTTTTTTTTTCTAGCAACGATTGCCGAGTGTAACCAATTCTAGAACACTGAAACCTGCTCTTTGAAAACATCAATACCATGTGTCTATTCACTACCTGCGACTAACCCCAACAAAGCCAGAAGATTTAGCTAGAATGCAAAAGTACTAAAAAGTGGGGTGCTGTTGTGAGAAGTGCAGGTGCATGAACATAAGAGGTTCCTACTCACATTCTGAGAAGCAGGGCCTTACTGTGTGAACAAACACAACAAAGGAAAAAAAAAACGCGTTATCTTCATTCTAAAAAAGATCAGGACTGGGGGTGCAATGACAACTGCTTTTGGTATCTGGTGCAAATGGTGGTGCACAGGGGGGAAGTTTGGATGGGGTCAGAGTGTGTTATCGCAACAGTGATATCACAACCTCGCTTTGTATCCCAACAGTGATACAAAGCGACTTTCATTCACTAGGCAGTATCGCCATACACAACTTCTGTTTTCCTGTTTAGAGTTCGAACACATGCGGAAAGGGCAATGTGTTAGAGGGCAACGGTTTTATGCCAAAGCCATTTTGCTCGATACTGGCTGACCACTTTTTCCTTTTTTTTTTCACTAGAAAATAAAGTGACTCACCTTGTGTACATCCAGACACTAGTAATATGTTTTAAAAGAGGAACTGTCGCTATATAGTAATTTTACTACCACCTTGTCAGTTCACTTCTAAGCTCTGAAAAAGTGAACAGTATAACATACAGCGCAACTACTTTTCGGAAGACCTTTGGCACTGCAGGATGTCAATTACTTTCCTTCATATTGTTCGTTGCAGGATGAGTGATGCAGAATGAAATGGCAAGTGTACTGCAAGGAGATCGCAAAACTGAACGAGGATTAGAGATAAAGTGCTAGACGCTCATTCAGCAGATGAAATTAGGAGAAAAGACTGGAATTAGAGAGTCCTTCCTAGTGTGCAATAAAAATAGCTGAGAAGTTATCAAAACAAATGAAATGGGTGCCTGGGAGAAGGAAGGCAGGTGACGGCGACATAATTTCAAGACACCAGTGAATGGAACATGTGAGAGCAGGCTGGAATATAATCTGGCACAGTGCCAAGGCAGCAGGAGATTTCTGGGGGAATAGCTTCAGTGGACATGGTGGTGGTGGCGGTGACCATGGTAGAAATGACTGAAACGCCGTGCTCTCTTTTGCTCAAATACTATTTTACAAAAGGCTGTCACCAAGACTATATGTTGTACTCTTAAACATTTTCGTGAGGAGAGCGTTGATGACCTTTGATGCCAAGTTGTCTGATTTTTTTTTTTACTCTCTATTAGATACAGGAAAAGTTTGGTGAAGTTTCTCTCATTTGAAGAAACATAACAAACTTCCCCTAAGCAAACATATGTGCGCCAAAGAGGCATGTTCAGGCAGAAAAACTGAAACGCTGAATGTTCTGCAATAAGAAACATTACGAATAAAGAATGGGTTAGAAGAAAACATGCAGAAGAAGCCTAAAAGAAAAGGTACCTGGGTGATCGTGAAGTGGCCCTGATTTCCTTAGACGTGAGCTCATCATTTGCTTTCCGAAGCTGCTCCTGCAAGTCTTCTTTTTCTGCCTGCAGCTGGAGACAAATGCACTCTTATGTGAACCACTTGTCATCTTACTTCACACCACAGGTGCAAACCACACCTGAGAGAAGTACTGATACCGAAATATCCTGTCTTGTAACGTACTTGTTAAAAACAGCTCAGATTGAAAACTGGCTCCGCATGACTGTGTGGGCCACTCAAGTGAGCCCCATCGTGAGTGTAGTGCAAAGAACGCCAATGTGATATTATTGACCTCTTTCAATAAATTGTTGCATTATAGCAGCTACAAATGCTACAATTAAGCTCGTGCACTGAAGCTTATTGTATTTGTGAGCAGAAAAAATATAGCACTTTTTAGAAATAGAGAATAATAAAGAAAAATAAATACAGTTGAACCCCTTTATAGGAGACATGCAGCGGGCAGCAATTCTCGTCTTTTATAAGAGGGGTCTCTTATAAGCAGGGTACACGTATGAGTTTTATTATGAATCACTATTTCTATGTAAGCCCACTGGTGTCTCTCATACCCATTTGTCTCTTACATCAGTGTCTCTTATAAAGGGGTTCTACTGTAATTCCATGAGAGTATATGAAGCCACAGGCATAAAGCCTGCTCTAATTATTGTACTACATAGAGTTGACTCTCATTAAATGAAATTTTAGGAGACCAGAAAAATATGCTCCATTGAACAGGAGTTCCATCTACTGAGAGATAAACAGGTGTCCAGAATTCGAGTATGAGGCCAATCATACAGAGGCACTTGTTTGATTTAAATGGCAACACCATTTAAAAGTGGGTTTACTGGGTGTCTACTGCACTACCCGTCATGCCCATGGAACATACCTGAACAGTCACAGCTTCAAAGTTGCCTCGCCCAACTTTTTACATGCACAACAATGCAAACAACCAGTGGAAAGAATGCCTACTGTTCCCAAGAGATACTGTGTGCTACATGTTATGGCACACAAAAATGAGAACATTCCTTGAAAAGTGATCAACTGAGAATACGTGTCCTGTTAATCAGATCAGAACGTAGTGAATTGGAGCAATGCGTATCATTCTGAGCAGATACACTTGCAGCGTTTATGCATGAGATTCAAAGCAACGGTGTTTTCGGTTGTCTAACCTTGTCAACAGTGACGCTGAGGCTCCTCAGCTGCTTCATCAGTTCCGACCGCTCGTACAGGATGTCCTCTACGGAAATGTCCGACCACTCCGCCGAGGCGTCCCTTGTGTTGACAGGACGAGTAAAACAAAAGTGGTAAACACAGGCTACATTCTTTGCATACCCAGAGAAAGCCTCTAATATTCATTTAAGCCAGATGACCATTTATGGTAACAACATGCATGGTAACAACAAGATAGCTTACATGTTGAATCCTGCCAAGATGAGCTAAAACAACACAGAAAAAGGCCTGAAAGCGATTTACAAAAGGAAAAATAGTTGAAAAACTGGCTAAAAAAGGGAAGCTTTCAAATTGAAGAAAATTTTATCGTACATTTAAAAAGAGATACTAGGGCCTTTCTAGAGAGCCAGTTATGTTTGCCAACTGATCTAACCACAGCGCTAGCAGATAAGACAGGGTGGGTGAGTACTCGAAGTGACAAATGTTTAATGTATATGAAGAATGATTTCTGCGGAAGTCCATGCCATGGAAAGAGTCTTATGAATGTAATTCGTAAGTAGCTCCGAGCTACTCACGGATGATAATTTTCGAACATAAATGCCAGCAACAAATAATTTTACTAAATTACTTTAACAACACTATTCTTAAAGTCCATGAAACAGCAACACTTTTTACATTACTGCACCTCAAAATTCACCCAAGACCTCAAGAAACTACAAAGGTATGCAACCTTCAAAAAGTAAAAAAATATTGAAAAACAATTATATCACTGTACTATACTTAGCTTGTCACCGAAAAGCAGACAAATGTGTAATTAGAAAGCTTTGGTCCCCACCAATGACGAAGATGTTTTATTACACACTTTGTTTCAATACACTCAAACCAGTTATAATGAAGCTGAAAGGCAGCCACAATTATTTCGTTATATCCATTATTTCATTACATCGATTATAACAGTTTGTAGCAATGTATACTCAGATGGGCGCACACCTATAAGCATGCATAGAAGAAAACCGCCTCGCGTCCCGATGTACCGCTACACGACCACGCGTGCGACGAAAAATAAACACAGTCCAATCTCATTAATTCGAACACGCTCAATTTGAACTTCCGGTGAATTCGAACTCATGCTGTGGTCCCGTCAAAGCTATGTGTATTCTTATGGGCGAAAATGCCCTGTAATTCGAACGCGCAAACACTTGCGACGGTTAATTCGAACATACCGCGCTCCGAAAATGCTCTCAGCACCATTCCCAATCCCGCGGCGGCACCTTTCAACTCTGCGCACGAAGAAGGAAAAGAAGAAAAGGAAAAAAAGACTGTGGCAGATTGTTTACTCTCGCTCAAATGCCGATCTGCAACGCGCTGTGCTGTGCTTCTCCCTTTTCTGTCTCTGCACATACGGACCCTTGTCCATTCAAGGCAGCGCGCAGAGAGAGAGGAAAAAGAAAGAAAGCTGTCACGGAGAGTTGGCTCTCTCTCTAATGCCGATCTGCTTCTCTCCGCGTGGAGACGCTCCTTCTTTCTCGGTGCAGAGGGTAGCAGCAGAGAAGCAGTCGCTGCCGTCGCCTTTAGAGTGTGTTGGCGCTGTACTTAACCGCGCGCTACTATGCTTTGGAAACTGCGTGCAAAATTTATTGAATTGCTGCAAAGCAAACGTGTGAAGACGCACATCACCGATTACTTCAATTAATGACGGATGTCCTCTGATTTGTGAATATATGCAAGTCTTCTGAAGCTTCCCCAGCGTGTGTTCTTAAGTGAGAGGGAAATCGCATTGCACCCCGGCGCCGCTTCTCGGTCATGAGACCCTCTGAGTGCTTTCTCAATCCACTCTGCTGGCTGTGTGAGGAGGACGGCTCGCTCGGCCGCGCGTGGCGTGGTTATAAAGTCGGCGCAGGAGTTTTGAAAGAGCCGCGCCGAACCGGCCTCAAACTCCGTAGAAAACGATATACTTAACACACAATGGTCGGTTGGTTTTTTGATAGACTAATTTAGTTCGTTATATCCATTTACCAGTCAATTTTACTTTGTTACAAGAAGGTTTAAAATGCATGGTTTTCAATGGAGCTTTCAAGGAGAATTTCATTTACTTCATTATATCCATTATTTCGTTATATACCATTATATTATAACGAGGTTTGAGTGTTTTTGTCATAATTACAACATTTCCAGGGGTGCTACAGCCGACACTGGATCTACAGCAATTTTCAAAGCAGCAAAATCTTACATTTAGAGCTCTAAAATGCAAATTTAGAGCAAGTTACGAAAAAAAATAAAACTTCTATATTTTATCACAAAAGACCAAATTTAGAGCAGTATAAAAAGAAAAGATGCCTTACAGTCAGAAAAAAAAGTATGCAGAAACCACTCAACACTACCTAAATCGTGCACAGTATTTCAATAAAACTAGTATTTTGAGCCACCCCACTGAACAAACAATGATGTAGACCACGTTAGCATTTGCAGAGCCTATCGAATTCATTTGACAGAATCTGTGAATTTGCATGTACTGTTTTTAGTCACATAATTTGCACACTTCTTTTCCGGATTTGGGGGCACCGAGAAGGGGTTGTGCAAATTATGTGGGGATTTCGCCAGCACATACGAAATATTGTGCCATAGTCCTAAAGCACAGAGTATATACAATTATAAAAAAAAAGAAATAAATTAGAGCACAAACAAACTGTACTTGTTAATTTTTAAAGAATTAGCACGTACTTTACCTAGTCAGATCGTGTCAAGCACGGTCTAGCGGGAATCAATAATCGCGAAGTGCGGTTGGGAATCATTGTACTTTCTTGAAGCTCTTTCGACAATGCTGGCAGAAACTAGGTCCCACTGACAAGGCGACACCGCAAGAACTAAGCATTGGCACACGATTGAAAAGGCCTCCTTCAATGGCTGGAAACATGCTTCCTCGTGTATTGACAGTGCCAATCAGTCACGTTGAAGTACTTTGCCGCGACATGCTTACCGTTTTCCTTGGCGAAATTCACACAACGAGCTTTAATTTCACCGTATATATAATTACTGCAGCACATCGCAAGGAAACCATCAAAATGCGTCGGCCAGATGGCGGAACTTAAGCTTCTGAAATTGACCACGCGTGCATTGTAGCACGGATGCAGAGAACGAGGAAAACAGCTGGAGCACCAGGTCCTCAAATGCCTCCGATGCAGAAAGTCGTCCGTGCCAGGATGTGAGCATGCATTCTCGTCATTATCGTGATGGTAGAGATTGGGAAATAGGGGGAAGCAAACGCTTGAGCAGTTCCGGCGACCCGTCAACGAGTTCGTGTTCGAGGTGCGGTATTCTAGGGACTCAAGTTCAGGGAAGTGCTCGGAAGCAAAGACTTCGCACTGGCAGCCTGTTTGACTGCGCTCGTCTGCTCGGCGAGGCGCGCACCCTGCCGAAGTGTCGAAAAGTCCTAAAGGAGCGTGCACGGGCGAGCTGGCTCAGGCAAGTTGGGGAGCGCGAAATATGCGAGTAAATATTTTTTTTTCCGAAAAGCTGGCAAAATATTAGAGGTGCACAAATTATGCGAGGGTGCAAATTATGCACTTAAATACGGTAGATCTGCCAAGCTGGCGACCTTAAAGTTTAAGGGATTCGTGAAACTGCATAGTAGGAATGGCGAAAAAAAAAAGAGGAAAAAAAAAACTGCCGCACAGTTTTCGTTTATACAATATATATATTTTTTAGGGCAGCAGAAGTGTCATACACTGCTCCACATCGTTTCCAGTAACGTTTTCAGACGTCAGCAATCATGCTAGAGCCCCCAATTATGCAGTAGTATACATGCAGAAGTAACTGAACGAAATGTGCTTCGTCCCGTGAGTATAGTGCTAATAGCCCCTTCCAAATTATAATACGCTTTTCCGCAGGGCACTGTGTACTGCGGCGAAGGTACCTTAAGAAGGTAGTTTAAGCAGTGCAATTTCAGCAAATTTTATGGTTTTGGCGCAGCTCGGTGCAAAAACGGCGAATTGTATCAAATTAGTGCAGCTGTTGCACCCCTGCATTACAGTTAAAATAACAAAGAAGTATCCCCTATGCTTTTCCTTGCTTCACCGTTTTAAGATTCACAAGGCTGTCTATAACTGTGTAAACACTTCAAAGTGCACTCCAAGCTGTAGCTAGTAGTAAGCATGGCGATATATACGCTGCATGTGTGATTGGTAACACTTTACCAGTGGTACCAGCTTTGAACGATGCTATGAAAATCTTTTACACGACAATATGCTAGTGGTGCTCAGTTGGTGGACTGTGCCTGCACTATGCATCCAGCACAGCAATCAATTTGCTCACCTATTTTCTGCAACAGAAGTGGCAGGGCGATGTTTTGACTTAACGGCTTCCTGCGTGGTTCTTTCCTCGGATTTTCCTTCAGGAAGCTTCCCATCTAAACTATCGAGTGACCCAGCCATCACAGGCTTCTCTGCCGAAGACAGATTGGTTGTCGCAGCAACCACTTCTTCCTCTATTGATGGGTCCTTCTCGTGCCGTTGACGCAAGGAGCTCAGCTGCTGCTCTGTTTTTGCCAATTCAGTCTTGCAGCTGCTTGACTCTTGCAGCACACTCTACCCTGGCGGTGTCCACAATCTCTGCGTAGTGAGCCTCTAGTTTGCTTTTCATTTCCTGGATGGCAGACGTCTTCTCCTCAGCCATGCCTTGCTCCAGCTGCGCTCTTTCGTTGGCCAGTTGTTTCACGACATTCGCGTGCTGTTCCTCCAGCTTCTCAATCTGTGCTTTATGTGCCTTCTTCAGGGCCTCCAGCGCCAGCTCGAACTGTGCCTTCTGCGAGTTGGCCACCAAGTTGTGCTCGGTCTCAAGGCTCCTGCGCAGCTTCCGCTGCTCTTCCTCGTAGCCGGCCTTGACGTCGTGCAGCTCTTGTTGCAGACTCTCTCTCAGCACCTCAATGTTGGCCCTGTGCTCCGACTTCAAAGCCTCTATCTCTGCGGCATGCTTGACCTCCAGCTTTCTCTCGATGTTCTCCAACTCCTGGTCGTACTCGAGTCTCTGGGAGCCGAGCGTGTCTGCGTACTGCTCCACTTCGTGCTTCAGTAGAAGCAGCTCTTCCTCTTTCAACTTCACCTCTTCCTGATACTGTTCCTGGCTTGCAAGCAGTTCTTCTACACGCCTCCTGTGCTCGGCCTCGGTCTCCCGCAGCTTCTCCTCGAGATTCCGCAGCATGAACTTATACTCGGTGCGGACAGCCTCCCCTTCGTCTTCCAGCCTTGCCTTCTCCTCAGACAGCAGCTTCTCGTACTCAGCTTGCGCGGACTCAGCCTCCCGTCGCAGCGCCGCATTCTCTTCTGCAAGTCGTCGAATTGCCGTGCTCGGGTCGAGTGCCGAGTCTGAGCTGGCGCTCCCGATGCTCTCTGCAGCCTCTACAATCTCTTCCCTTTCCTTCTTTAGAGAATCCAATGCACATTGAAGAGATTCAGTCTTCTTCTGCTCCTCCTCGAGTGCGGAGGAGAGTTTCCGGACCTCCTCGGCGTGCCTGTCGATGAGCGCTGCCATTTCGTTTGAAGTCTTTGCATGCTGTTCATCTGCAGCCTGGCTGAGGGCCTGTTCCTTCTCCCAGAGACTGCGACGCAGGACGTCCAACTCTTCTGTCAGTCGTCTGCGCTCGTCGACCAGCCTGGCCTCGGCAGTCCTCTCCAGCTGCTCCACTTCTGCCCGATGCTTGCTCAGCAGTTCTTTGGTGCGCACCACCTACGAAAACACTAAGAATGCTTAGACTCCAGGCAAACAAAAAAAGAAAGAGGTTTCTGAGAGTATGAGTGGAATGGCGAAAGGGCTTGCCACAACTTCAACGACTGACAACACCACTTAAGGTTCCTTGCCTCACATAGTGACCACATTCAACAGTGCATCTTCAAAAGGCACACCCACAAAAGAAAGAAAAAAAAAGCTATGTAAGCAGTGATTGGTGTATACTTTGTCATGTTCTTTAATGAAAATATTGTGCTTAACAAAGTTGATTTTGAGATTTTCTGAGCCACAACTACAATAAGACACCAGACAAGCAGCAGTGGGGGACTCCAAGTCAAGATTACCAGGAATTCTACTAGTACCGTTAAACCTGCTTATAACGAACCTCCATATAATGAATTTCTCGGTGTAACAATGTTTTTATATTCCCTGCTATTGCTCCGTAGAAGCACATGTATTTTCCACCTCTATGTAACAAAGTAACAGTGGAAGACAACCTTGATATAGCGAAATTCTGTACCTGTGATTATGTTTCGGGCCTCATTTTTACTTAAACAGGGCATTAAGAGTGAAGCAGTGAACGTTAGTTCGCTCTAGTTCTGTGTATGTTCTTTTCGTGCGTCATTTATGCATCAGCAGCACGCTGCATGTTTCGATCTGGTTGCCGTTCTCAGCAATAATTCCAAGCTGTTGCTATCGCATTCGTTGCTTCGCCCTTGCGACGAAACTGTAACTTTTCTTCATTTTGGACAACCGTGTCGTCACCACCAAGGGGATGCCAGACTAGGCGCTGATGGAAACTCTTCAAGACCATGGTGACGATGGATCTTTGGAGCTCGACTCGTCACGCCCTTCCATTTTGCGCCGCGAGTTTTCAGGCTGGCAGCTTTCGCGATTAGCCGATCAGTTCTGGCAACAAGACAGCGCGTTGAATGGAATGCAATGAACACGATAGCAAAAAATTGTAATGTTATAAGAAGTAAGGCTGACAGCCAACTCTTTTGGATCCGATATCGCGGAACTCCTACGAAACGCTGGTGTGAGCAAATACGGCACTCCAGGGAGAAGTGTTCTTTTCACACAGTCTCTTCGCATTGAAACCGCACTGATACTTACCAGGATAGTAAGCGTGCCAGCGATCGCGACCGCTCTTAAAATCAAAGTTCATTATTACTACTAGAGCAATTCCCCTCCCCCCCTCCTCGCGCTGTTTCATGCTCGTTCAAGGCGGGTGGTTTACTTTCTGTTTGAGCATTCGATGGCTATTCTAACATGCAGGAGATGTTATCTTATGCACTTTTCAGGCGATAGGGATGGGCCGACTCATTTGATCTCTGCTTCAGCAGCGCTTGCGCTCTGTTACCAGCTCGTGAAAGTTATAATGCCTGGGGGCATGTAATCAGTTTGGACTTGTTACGGAACATGGCGGTGATGGCAAAAACCTGCCGAGAGCATCCATATAATTTATATCACAATAATAACGCAGTTTTTTACTGTAAAATGAGTGTTTTGAGTTATTTCTTCCTTCAGTCCCCCTTTTGTTTAATTTGCGCGTTTATTTTACAAATTTTCGTATCGAACATACATATAACGAAATCCTCTTTATAACAAATTTTTCCGGGAATTCATCAATTTTGTTATATCCAGGTTTAACCGTACATTTAAATCTGAGTACAGGAGAGTTTTCACATTTCACCTTTATTGAACTAGAAATCCTGAAATTTCCTTTAAAGACACCTGACATACTCTGCTGAATATAGACTGTGCCGAGCCAGCGAAAAATCGCCACACTGCAAAGTTTCCTGCATACCTGCTCAGAGAGGAGAGCTGTCTTCTCCTGAGAGTGCTGCTCCTCGAGGCTTGCCCTTAGCGCTTTTAGCTGCAGGTCTTGTTGGTGCTGCAGGGAGGCCGGGTCGACCTGGGCACCTGAGCACAGCTGCTCGCATAGGCCCCGGTAGCGCTCGAGAGCCGAAGCGGCGTCCATTTTACTGTGCAGCTCCCGGTATACTGCAAGCAAGTGCTCCAGCCGCGAGTGCAAGCCACTCCCTAGCTCCTGGCCCAGTCGCTGGAAGGATAGCACCAGCTGCTCGGCCTCTGCAGGCACGAAGGTGGGATTGAACTTGTCAACATAGTCATCACCTGTTGTATTGTCATTGTATAGCATGCCTAAACTTTCTCACACTTAATTATTTTTCACTGTTAAGTTACTTACAATGTTTTCTTCTCATTGTATATAATACGCAGCCACCTATAACTCATGCAACATTTTTTTACACTCCCCTAGAACGCTAGCATCATAGAAGGCCGGTAGCACAAATCAACAGCCCAATTCATAGACCCCGAGCATGCGTAGCGTCCACGAGCAATGCGTGGCGGATAAGGGCTCACTAGATAACATTAGAGGGGATGCCGCAGAATAGCGTTGCTTTTCCCTACAAGATTAGTGAACAAATAAATATGATGGGCGGGGACAGAATTTCTAAAAAATCTGCCTGCCTTGCTACGAACGTCCGGAGTACTGAAACTGGCTGTGCGTAGTTGCATTTCACTAGCGAAGCTGTGACATAATGCTGCGTCACTGATGATAAAATTGTACTAAAACTTTAGCAAGTACAGTCATGGTGACGTCCGTGTATGGCGTGTGAGAAGCCGGTTTTCGTTCAGCGGGACAAAACCTTGAGGCAGTTTTGGGCTCTTATACAACACGTCAGGGCCCGAAACTGCTTCAAGGTGTCGCCCCAGAGAGCTAAAATCGCCTGCTCACGCGTTCTACACAGGTGTGGCAGCAGCTGTACTATTCAATGCTACTGTTTCCTCTGCACAGCCGTTGAAGATATTTTTGTATTTTGTTTTATCATTATTTCCTCTGTCGACTGGAGTCAATTTTGGCCTTGTTGGAGAAATTTTCTATGATTCCCTGATATTATGTCACTGCTTCTGTGCTGTTTCCCACGCTTTTGCAAATTTTCACCCCTGATGTGCCACGATGTTATACTTGCCTTGTGTTTTCAGAGCTCCTTCTAAATCTATAACTTATGTATTAAACTTTGCAGCTGAGTAAAACATGGATCTCATGGTCTCAATAAAAATGCCTTGAACCAGATCTACTTTAAACCAACCTTACATTACAGTAACCTAAAACCTGCATTACTACTCCAGACCCGATCCTTCTCTCGCTTATTAATTTTGCTGTAAATAATTACACATGTATAGAACATAGTGGTATTTGATTGTGACAGAAACTGGGGGAATGAATCAGGTAGGATTATAATAAATTTACTTAGGATTGAAAATTTTACTCGATAACCCAAAAACAGGCCCAATTTTTTTTTGCCTATTATATCACATAGCCCAACATATGGGTTACAACATTTAAGGAAGCTTGCTTGGCATGAGAGAGTGCCAGTCTATTTATTTCAAGAGCACTTTCAGGCAGGTACCTGAGGGCCACACACATACAACAGCAATATTTTGCTTGTGCTTCTTCTTAGGCTGTACATTTGTGCAGGCTTTTAAAGGGGCGCTAGCACTTATTGAGCATGGTCAGAAAACGATGCCGATCTGTAGTCGATGCTCCTGAGAACATGCAAGCGAAATTTAGCGCAGCACGCCGGCCTGGAATTTACAATACATTCTCGAAGTCAGCTGCAAATTGCTTTTTCTTCTTTTGGCGAATGATGCTACAAGCTCAAAAATGACTCGCCACAGCAATTGTGTCAGCCATTGGCTGATTTGAGCATGGTGCGCTCGGTCGATACTGGGGCCGCCACAGGAAGCCGCGAAATGTCTATGCGTGCACGCGCGATCACACTGAAAAGACGCGTGTTCGAAGAAAAAAGGAGAAAAGTGCTCAGGGTTACAATGCACGCATGATGTATTTTTCTTTCCCTGTGCCACTCCTCCCTGCTTAGCTTCCAGAACTTTCGTCAGGACGAGATAAGAGAGAATACAATTGTAGCATGCAACAAATCATTGTAACTCCACTCGTACCGGATGAATTCTAAAAATTGTTGTGGCGGTGAATTCGTGAGGCAATAAGCTCCTTTAGTAACTCCATTCTATCGCAACTTGAAAAAGTGTTCCATGGCCACTTTTAGAGCAATGGGTTTTTATGAAATAAATATAAACCAGACGTTTTTATGGCGACATAGTTTAAATTTCTCAAACCTCATAATGGCTAAATGTTCCATACATAATTTTACATATATAAGTAAAAGCCATAATTTTCATTTATGCCCATATCTTGTTTGATATGAAACAGCTTTAGTGAGAACACAATAGAGCCATAATACTTGAATAAATATACACTGCACTTTGAAACCATTTCAGTACCAAGTTAGGTGATGTATTAGCACTTCATAACCAGGATTATTATTCTTAACACAACACCTTAACTAATACCAGAAAAAGCATGCTCATTCGTGATTCCTAACATCACAAGTAAAATGTTTTGCACTGATCACAAGTTCATAGTGACATTGATTAAGCCAGTAAGAAAGAATTTTTACAATTTCTTTCCCGGTATATCCCGCTGTACAAGCAAGCCTTCATAAAAAAACCTTGCTGTAAAGACTGCCATGACCCCAACCAAGTGACTATTTTACCAATAAAGAGATATAGGAAGACGAAAACTGCTTTCTGATGCCAGTCATTAATTATTAAGGAGTCCGTGTGACTAGGTGGCATATAAGTGCAGTATTTCGTAATCAATGTAAATACTCGGTGCATCTACGTGAATGCGACATAGATGCGTCACATTTCTGCCATGGTGCACCCACACAAATGTCCGTTATCTACTAAGGAGCAATGCCCAACCTTTCGCTGAGTCCAGATGCTTCCTGAGATCATGCAGTAATGCTTCAGTATCGTCCCCAGCTGCTGTAGGTGAATCTTCTGTTGCTGCCGAAACAGGAGTGTTGGCATACTTCGCCTTCCATTCATCAGTTAGGCGCTGCAGAGAATAAATGAAGACTTCGTAAGACGTGGTTCATATTGTCACAGGGTCATGACAATGACGAAGGGAGCAGACAGTAGATCAAAGATTAAACTGTTAATTCAGCCGAACTTGTGGCCACATAAAAAGAAATTGAGATTACAGCAAGACACTGGCACTGATATCGGCAAACTGAAGGTCGGTTGTCGATCAACTGACAAGCGGCAAATCGTGTCGCCATTTATACTCTTGCCATCGAATATTCTAGCGTTATTGCTAGCGGAAACGTAGGTTCCCGAATAATATGCGACATTCCCGAAGTGGGTGTAATATTAACAAAACGATCTAGTAAAGCCTGGAAACTTCTCGAACATCATGGGCGCGGTTTGGGCTAAACGTAGTGTAACGGGGTGATAACAAAACTTGAGGAAAGGAACGTGGCATTACCCCCCTCTGAAAAAAGCATAGTACCGATATACTTTATTAAAAGATGAAAACACAACTAAAAAGACAATAAAAAATAAATACAGCAACAACAATAAAATGCAGTCCTCAGGTTCGCGCATGAAATGGCTTGAGGCGCACGACATGGACGACTTCAGGACGAGCACGGCGCCGTTGAGAGTTTGTAATGCCGTTGGGAACGACCTCGTAATCGAGTGGACCGAGACGTCGAACTACTCTGTACGGTCCGAAGTGCCGTTGCAGAAATTTTTCACTGAGCCCACGTCGACGTATTGGCATCCATACCCAGACACAGTCCCCGGGCTTGTACTCAACAAAGCTTCGTCAAAGATTGTAACGGCAGCTGTCGGCCGCCTGCTGATTCTTGATGCGCAGGTGGGCGAGTTTATGAGCTTCTTCCATGCACTGAAGGTAAGTGATGACGTCGAGGTTCTCTTCGTCAGCGACGTTTGGAAGCATAGTGTCGAGCGTCGTTGTTGGGCTCCTTCCATAGACCAACTTGTACGACGACATCTGCGTCATTTCTTGGACGGTGGTATTGTATGCGAACGTCACGTACGGAAGGATGGCGTCCCACATCTTGTATTCGACGATGACGTACATGGCCAGCATGTCAGCGATTGTCTTGTTTAGCCGCACGGTGAGACCATTTGTCTGTGGGTGGTAGGCGGCGGCGCAGCGATGGCTTGTCTGGCTATGTCTCAAGATCGCTAGAGTCAAATTAGCAGTAAAAGCCGTACCTCTATCGATGATGACAACCTCTGGGGCGCCATTACGAAGGACGATGCTCTCGAACGAAGAACTTGGCTACCTTATCAGAACTACCTTTGGGTAGGGCCTTTGTTTCGGTCTGGTGGGTGAGTAGTCAGTAGCTACGACGATCTATTTGTTTCCCGAATTCGAGTCGGAAATGGCCCCAGTAGGTCCACCCGATTTGATGGAATGGTCGGTGAGGTTCGATTGGCTGAAGAAAGCCTGCTGGCTTTGTCAGCGGTGTTTTGCGTCGCTCACAGCCTCGGCATATCCTCACACAACGAGCGACGGCGGCAGTAAGGCACAGCCAGTAGTACCTTTCTTGTATCCTCGCGAGCGTGCGCGAAATATCAAGGTGTCCTGCCGTTGGATCATCAGGGCCTGGAGGAGAGGAGTTCCGGTGGCAAAGCTGAAAGCACCACAATAAGGTACTTGGCTCGAAGCGGCGAGTTCTTTTGCAGAAGGCCATTTCGCAGTGACAATGACGTAAGTGCCCGTTTGAATACTTTCAGAACAAAAAAGGTCCTGCCCTCAAGGTATTCGATTAGGTCCCTGAGTTCCGGGTCAGCCCACTGGCGTTCAGCGAAGTCGTCGGCACTTATTGTTCCAAAGAAGCAGTCGTCATTCAGGTCTTCGGGCGGCGGTAGGTCGACGTGGCCTCGCGACAGACAGTCGGCGTCTGAGTGTTTTCTGCCGGACTTGTAAATGACGGTAATGTTGTATTCTTGAAGTCTCGGGCTCCATCGGGCATGGCGACTTGAAGGATCCTTCAAGTTAGCTAGCCAACACAAGGCGTGGTGGTCACTCACAATTTATAAGGGCCTGCCATAGAGGTAAGGATGAAACTTTGACGTTGCCCAGATGATGGCAAGGCACTCCTTTTCTGTTGTGGAATAATTGCTTTCAGCCTTGGCTAGCGTAACTAATAACCAGTCTGTCAGTCCTCTGCACAAGAAAGGCGCCGAGTCCAACGCTGCTTGCGTCAGTGTGAACTTCTGTTTCGGCGTTTTCGTTGAAATGCGTGAGTATCGGAGGCATTTGCAGGCATCGTTTTAGTTCCCCGAACTCATCCTCCTGTGGCGTTTTCTACTTGAACTCGATATCAGTCCTCGTAAGGTTAGTGAGGTGCTTGGCGATGCGGGCAAAGTTTCTGACGAAGCGCCTGTAATGGGTGCACAGGCCGAGAAATCGACGCACGGCCTTTTTGTCGGCGGACGGCAGAAATGCAGCGATGACAGCTGTCTTCTGCGGTTCGGGTCTTACTCCGAACTTGCTCAACCCGTGGCCCAAGAATAAAAGTTCCCTATAAGCAAAGCGTCATTTTTCTGGCTTCAGGGTGAAGTCTGGAAGTCTTGATGGCTTGAAGCATAGTTTCAAGATGCCAAAGATGCTCGTCGAAGCTTGAGAAAAACATAACGACGTCGTCTAAGTAAACAAGACAAGTCTGCCACTTCAATCCTCCCAGCACTGTGTTCATAACGTGCTGAAAAGTCGCAGGTGCCGAGCAAAGACCGAAGGGCATAACCTTGAACTCGAAAAGGCCGTCTGGTGTTATAAACGCCGTTTTTTCTCGGTCTCCCTCGTCGACTTTGATTTGCCAGTAGCCAGTCTTAAGGTCCATCGACGAACAGTATTTCGTGTTGTGGAGTCGATCCAAGGCGTCGTGTATCCATAGGAGAAGATAAACATCTTTTTCTTGTGATTTTGTTGAGGCGACGATAATCGACGCAGGAACATAGGGTTCTGTCCTTCTTCACTAACACCACGAGTGAAGGCCACGGACTCCTAGACGGTTGGATGACGTCGTCGCATAGCATTTCGTTGACTTGTCTTTTAACGACCTCACGTTCTTGCGTCGAAACTCTGTAGGGGCTCTGCCATAGTGATCTGGCGTTTTCCTCCGCTTTATGCGATGTTTCGTGACTGCGGTCTGGCGAATTTTTGACGACAATAAAAAGTAGTCTTTGTATTGCAGGAGCAGGGCCTTGAGCTGTTCTTGCTTATGCTTCGGAAGGCTCGGATTGACGTCGAAAGCTGGATGAGGAGCTTCATTCCACGGAGTAGATTCTGTAGAATCGGCGAAAGCGAAAAAATTGGTGGCTTCCATAATTTCGTCGATGTAGCCGACTGTTGTATTTTTGTTTACATGTTTGTACTCGTTGCTGAAATTCGCTAGCATAATTGTTGCTTTTCCTCTCCGTAGCTCAGCTATTCCTCTTGCAACACAAATATTGCGGTTGAGCAATCGGTGCCGATTGCCTTCAACGACACCTTCGAAGTCTTCTGGTTTTGGGGTGCCGACGGAAATGACGACGCTTGAGCGAGGAGATCGGTGACTTCTTCTTTCAGCACATTCAGGGCACAAATTCCTTATAGCGTGTGTGGCGGTAGTACTTTTTCTGTGGATAGTGTTATGAACTTTGCTCTCAGGTCGATGACCGCACCGTGGAGGTTCAGGAAGTCCATTTCAAGAATAAAATTTCTCGAGCAATGCTGCTGTACGACGAAGGTTGCAAGATAAGTGTGGCTGTCAATGGTAACTTTGGCCGCGCAGATTTCCGCTAGTGTTACTAGGTGACCTCTGCCTGTACAAATTTCCGGGCCTTCCCAAGCGGTCCTAACTTTCTTCAAATTCGTGGCGAGAGTCCCACTGATGCCAGAATAGTTGGTTCCGGTGTCGATGAGAGCTGTGACGCTGTGGCTGTCGATGAGAATTTCGAGGTCGCTAGTTCCTTCCCTGGCTTTGCGGTTGGGTCGCGTCGGATCACGGCTACGACGGTTCGCACCACTGTTTCGACGTAGCGTAATCAGGACTTTTTGTGGTCGCGAAGTTTCGTTGCCAGGGCTACATTGAAGTGATGACAGGTTCTTGAAGCTTCACCGTGGTGTTGTCGTCGTCGGCGGAGGATCTTTGGCAGTTCGTCGTGCAGCAACTAGACCTCCATCGGTTGCTGCCCTTAGTTTTCCTGATACGGGCTAGGCGACAGGTCCCGGCTTGGGCCAGTGTACTGACGACGATGCCGCGGCATGTAGCAGCCGGGTGAAGGTGAACGAGAAGATCCTCAGGGTGTCCTTTGCATTCTGGCGAGATAGCCGGCGATGTCACTCGGTTTCACCCCGCTCTGGACGTGGTGCATCGATGGCGAAACCACGTAGTCCCATCTGGCGTTACTGGGAGCGGTGGTACGTGCGCCTGGCTTCACCCCAGTGGTAGCAAAGTGGGCGGTAGTCAGAGACGCGCCAGACGCCAGTCTTCCTAGGAGCGTAGCGTTGGCCTACGGGAGGCCGATAGGACGTCGATGATGGCCGCGGAGGCATCTGACGGCGGAAATGCGGTGGGGCTGCGAACTGACGTGGGCGGGAAGGAGCGTCGCGGAGCACTGCAGCGGCGTAGCTCATAGCTTCCGGCTCGGGCAGTGGTGCTTGGTGAATTCGAAACAATTGCTGTACTTCTCGCACAATGTCGGCGATCGAATTAACTTGAGGCTGCAGCGAAGGTAATAGCTTGCACAGCTCTTCCCGCACAATCGCTCGGATTGTCTCGTGCAGGTTGTCGTTGCTGAGGGCATGAGCCTCAAAATAGTGTACTGCTGAAGAGTGGCGGTCATACTGCCTTGTGCGCATTTCAAGTGCCTTCTCAATTGTGGTAACCTCGGTGAGGAATTCTTCGACTGTCTTCGGTGGGTTGTGCACAAGCCCCGCAAACAACTCTGCTTTAACACCTTGCATAAGGAATCGGACCTTCTTGTATTCGGTCATGGAGGAGTCAGCATGGCGGAACAAGTGGGTCATCTCCTCGA